TGAAGAGAATAGCCGCCCCAGATCAATAATGAGATCAACCAACCAACAGATTCAACACGAAGGAAACTAAAAGGAGCATGGTGCAGAAGCCATAAAAGGCAGTTAGTATCTTGCATGGATTGTTTCCAAGTTTCTCCGTGACTAGTGGGTTCGCAAAAGGATGGGCGGAGGGATGGAGCCCAACCCCGGGATAACACCAGGTCCATGCATGCAGTGCTACATCAGTACGTAAGGGTGTCTGTCCATCGGTTTGCCTTCCCAACAACGCCGCTGGTACGTCAGCAGTTGATCGCCAAAGACGAGAAGCAGACATGTAAGTATGTGAGCAGGAGAAATAATGTGAGCAGTCCCGAACTCTGCATCCGAGAGGTGGTATAATTTGTGGGGAGAGCACATGCAGGAGAAAAATATACGCTTCATCTCGAATCGGAGACCGTTACTTTAGGATGCATGAGTGAAAGTGGCGTGTATGCTGTCATCCTGTACAGCGTATGTGCTGTCTTTGCTGGCTCCGATGACTCCTAGCTCTTGATAGTCGATTCTTGAACTACTTCTTCTAGTGTCACTCTGTGTGACTTCTTTGATATTTCGACTTTCTTGTCGTCGTCACTTTTCTCTTCCCTGTCACTCGAAGTATCTGCAGCTGAGATAAGCAGATCGATGCTTCCACGTGACGCCGATCTGCCCGGGCTCGGGCCAAGGAGCCTAAGCTTTCTAGTTTTTTTCCCCTAGGGCCGCGCGGGGAGGTAGAGAAGGAGAAGAAGAGCAGGAGAGGACGGACGAGGAGAGATTGAGGGGAGAGCGTAGAGTAGAGAGCAGGCAGACGAGCAGGAAAGGGGTCAGGACGCTCTGTAGAACATGAACAGGGGAGAGCAAGGGGGGCTGCGAAGGAGTGAGGAGCAGGAGTCAAGTAGCAGAAGAGCCTCCCGGCGCATCCGTCTTTGCCTAGCCAAAAAAGCTGAAGGAAGAAGCGGGAAGTGTGTCATCCTCCTACTTCTGACACTGCAGCAAAAAGGAGTCAGCTCCGCCAGAGGGACAACGGGCCAGGGTGAAAGTAACTGCCCCCCCCAATTTGGCCCCTTGGACAGAGCAACGGCGCTCTCCTCCCGCCGCCGCTGTTCATCTCGCCTCACTCGCCTTGTTTTTATTTCTTATTTATCGCACGTCGTTTTGATGTCGATAAAATAAGGTCTGCGGCTGTGCTGACTCAGCAAACAAACACGCGCTATTGGTGCTTCTCCTTAGTCAGCGCTTACCTTTTTTTCACCGCAAGCGCGCCGCCGAGAAAGTCTGAAGGGAAAAAAAGCATCTTGTGAAATCCGAAACGAGCGCTGGGCCAGCCTTTCTCACTCACTTGCTCACTCACTCACTGCTTTTTTCCGGCCTCACTTTTGCCTGCCTCTGACTCCTCTCCTCTGCTCCTCTCCGCTCGTTCTTCTCCCTCCTTTCCCGCTAAAGGATGGCCGCCGCTCTTTAAGGCACGCCCATCTGCCAATTAACCCCCCCCCCGGTCCCCCTCTCGATCGTAACATCCAGACTCTGCCTCTTGGGCCGCAGGTGGCCTCGCAGCCCTTTTCACTCTGGCTAACACTCGCCAAGGTGGATTTGGGCTCATCGACAGCACCTAGCGCCCGCGGATAGGTAATCCATGGCTAGGAAGAACCACCACGGACAGCGCAGCGAGTCAGGCCGTGCCTTGCCAGGGAAGAAGCTCGCCAAACAAAAATCTAATGGCCATCTGAATGGCCTTCCTAACGGATTCCACCAGGCCTCTAGCAATACGCCTCCCACTCCATCTACGACTCCTCCCGCTACTGCTTCGAGAGCAGAAGTAGCAGCAGCTTCTATTCCTCCCTCCGTAACCGCTGCTTCGTCGTCTTCCCCCTACGCCTCCGCTAGGACTCTGCAGAACCTCGATGGCCAACTGGAAAATAGCTATGGTTCTTCGAATGGTGGTATGGGCGGTGTGACCAAGAAAGAAACAGGCGGGCGTGTAAGCGGAAGTGCTCAGGTTAATGGAAGCAACGGTCACGCCTTGGTTAGCAGTACTAGTGTTGGAGGAGATGCCGCCATGTCACCGAACGGCCACCATACCTACTCAGCTGCCACCTGTATCGTAGCTGGAGACCGGCTCAACGAACATTTCTCCCGTCGAGCGGACAGGATGGGTCCAACTGTGAAAAAGGCCCATTCCGCCCGTAAAGGCGTCAATCCGTTAGTCCTTGCTTCGACGATCCTCAAGGCCTGTCCCACGTCCGATACAATCGCCATTCTCATTCTCCTGCTACAGCTACCTCCCATCGTTTTGACCCTGGTCCAGTTTCTCTATGCTTCCATGACGTTCATGCTACCCGCTGGTGTCTCTACCGGGACTTTGACCTCGAATTTTGACATCTTCCAAGGACCTGCCGGAACTCCCTCGCTAAGTACAATGATTGCAATGGACGGGTTTTGTCTTCTTGTATGGGGCTTGTTTATGTGGAATTGGGCAAAGAACTTTGCTATTGATCTCGCTCATGTTCAGGTAGCCATTGCCTTGGGTGCCGGAAGCTCGGGAGGCACCGGAGGTGTCAACACCTTCTGTGTCTCCATGGTGCTTATCGTACACCTCTTACGAAGTGAAGGGATACAGACCTTCCTGCTTGGTCACTTGTTTTCAGCAAAGCTTCTTTCTCCTGAAACAGTTGCAAAGTACTCGTACCTGATACCCGCAGAGTTTCGGCGTCAAGATAGCTCTTCACCTCCTAGCTGGATAGGAAGCCTCCTTGCAGTACACATCTTGGCTCAAGCTGGAACTGCCATGGCTCGACGATCAATGGCCAAGAATCGGTCTTCTCCCCGCGCCAAAAGTAACGAAAGGTCAGCTACGGATACCTCTGCTGCTGGAACGCCGACATTACCTGATATCTCCTCTATTGAACCTTCAACCGCTCTATCGTCTAGCATTTCATCTGAACCTGCACAGCCAAGTTCTAGTTTGAAAGATACCAAGGAACGCGTCTCCACTGCTAAAAAACGACGTCGTCAAGCCAACGAGGCGAGAAGGATACAACCTTTTTGGGCTGCTTTGGCTAGCACAAAATTTACTGTCACTAGAGAATATGAACGATCCCGGAATGGTAACTGGTACTCTCCAAATGCCCCTACCTCGGAAGATGATTTGGATGGCGTGTCTCCTGACAACGCATTTATTTGGATTACTGGCGTTGATACCTCAACTATTGAATTTGCTGCGAATGACTTTAATATCAGTGAAGACGCCGTAGCTGAAGGCGCCGCTTATGGAGCTGCAGGGCCATTTTATGTTCTTGTCAACGGCGCACATTGGGCCCCCGTTTCGCTTTCCAAGGTGACTGATAGCTCTAAGGATTCTCCGATTGCTCACTGGAGAGGAGAGATCTCCGGATTAGCGCCAGACTGCACATATACCTGTAGCTTTGTGTGTGTTGATACAAACGAGGAAGTCTGTGTTGTGAGCGTCAAGACGCCGTCAGCACCCGTCACAGATCAAGGTGAGTCGCTTATTTCATACAACCTACACCCCTTTCAGCCTGCCCTGCTAAACAAAGAGCTGTAGTCATTACTCCTCCTGTCGCCGTATCCCCACAGCAGTCTCTACGGCCTTCGTCACCATCAACTACTATCAAGAACTCGATAGTCAATGCTGAAGCTAAATTAAACGAACGCCGCTCCCGTCTCAAACGCTCAAGGAACAACCACAAGCTTCATCTGTCCAAAGTCAAACGTGAGCTAGATGGCTTGACCCACAGGTTATTGAGTGGTGGAGACGAAAGCCGCCAAAGGCAACGCTCCCTTCAGCTCGAACGAACCATTCGACAAACTGAAGATGCAACCGCCGGGATTGAAGCTCAGCTTGAGAAACTCGAAGATTTATCCGGTGCTGGTACCGAGCTGGAGGAATGGAATGCCCGAAAGGCTGTTATCGAAGCGGAGACATCAAAGCTGAAGGCACTCAGACAGGAGGTTGAGGCCGCTAAATCCAACATGGCGAAAGCCGTTACATCCTCTGAAGCAGAGCTCGCGTCTGCGGTACAAAAGAGAGAACGTCTTCAGAGCCGTCTTAACCGTCTAACTGCCCAACACGAACGCATCGTTTCCTCTACCAATGCTCAGGACCTAGCTGAACGTGAACAACAAGCTCAGATGCAAATGGCCCAGTCAGCCATTTACAACAGCTACTTGCCAGGAGCTTTTGTCCCTAAGGTATGCTTCCAGACCTTCTCATCTTGAATGGATATAAGATGAGAGTATTAATGCTCCAACCAGGTTCCAGCGAGGTTTCGTCTGATTCCTGCATGCGGTGGTGACCCTAACCTCTTCATTGACGTTGAAATTGCAAGCGAACCGGCGGGCAATATCCAAAACATATTCAGATCCGATCTGTATAGGTTGAATTATAACCCGCTCACCTACGCCGGTATAGAGCAGAGTATACCCGTAGAGTTCGCAACCGAAACCAGCAACGGAGTCGAAATTGAAGTCGAAGTTCGCGAAAGCCTTCGAATTCACATGCAAATACTTACTCCGAATGGCGTACCGATTACGCCATGGTATATCGAGCGAGCTGCAATCATCGAAGATGATCGGGCTATCATCACCGCAGGTGGAAGTATGGGGATGTATCGGTATGCGCCTAATGGGATGCGACAGTTCCTGCCATACGGGACGGGAGTTACATCCTCTCCAGCTTTGGCTTCTGCTCCTGTTCATATTCCTGCAGCTGCACTGTCTCATGCCCATCCTCATACTCCGGTTCACGGCCACGGTAACCAGGCTTCATACGTAGCTCCAAGACAGGGTGAGGTTATAGAGCAGTTACCAATTATATAATAAATAAGTTAATACTTTGGACCTGTGCATTGTAAGGAACACGTATCTTGCGCTCTCTAGATATCATATACGCATCAAATCAGAAATCGATCCGCCCATCAACATCAACCAAAAGGGGGTCTATTTATATACATCATGTAATATACTGGCTAGCTGCTGGCAGCAGAACCCATACTCTCGACAGCACCCTCCCTATCCCATGTACCAACCTCTAACTCCCTTACCCTCCTTTCAATATCCCTGACTTTCTCCCTATTGGCCTTCTTAGCAGCTTCTTGCGCCTCCCAAAGCTTCCGATACTGCACCAACATCCACGCAGGCAAGATGTTCAATTTCTTTGCAATCCTGTAATCGTATAACACTACATCTTCCTCACATCGAGCAGCAGGACGCTGCTTGGCTTCAGACATGATCAGCACGTCAAGATGGAGGTTGGAGAAGTGGCTTGGATTCGGATCATTCGGTGCCGGTGGTTCGTTTGATAGTTTGTGATACACGCTGATTTGGTCTGGGAACATCATGGGCTGAATGTTGTAGGTGTAGGTTAGTTGGTGGTTTTCTAACTTCGTTTGTACATTGGTAGATGTGTTAAATGGGTATACGCACGAATTTAAAGTCCACCTTGATGCTCTTTAATATGTAGCCTATGCTCGTGGAGCCCATGAGCTGCGACCATTCCTTACTGTTTTCGGGGTCGTGGTGGAGGGCTATGTTGCGGGACCAATTTACACGGCCTGTCTCTGCATAGCGGACATACATGACGTTATTCACATGGCCTATTTCGTACGTTAGTTTTCTCCCTTTATGGGGATGATAGTGAACGAGTTAGTATACGATGCATACCCTATTTCCGGAAAAGCGAATATAGCAGCACACTGATTAGAAGATCATTCATAATACAAATTAAGAGCAGATGATCTATAGCTGCTGGAATGCGGCTATATCATATAATCAAGGGAAAGCAGGTATCTTACCATGGAATCCTAGAAAGGTAATAGTAAATCAGTACAAACCATCCATACTCAACCGATGGTTATGTGAAAAGGAGAAGGGGGGGACAAAGAAAATAGAAAATAATGTAGTGGAACTCACCATCTCGCCCCAGACGACATTATGCCTGTGAAGACCACAGTACTTCTCACCGGTCAAGAATCCCTCGCTGCCCGCGACTAGCTCCCTCCAGTCTCGTGCTATCTCTTCCAGCACCCCTCCGGCAACCGGCACTAGATCCTGCTTCATGCCAAAAGCAATGCATTTCCCAATACGCCTTTTTATGTTTGAAAGCCATCGCGGATCAAGCTGGGTATTATTAGATTTGGATGCTGGCCTATGGGCTGTATGGGAATGAGAGGCTCGAGATAGAGCAGGGATAGAGCATCGGCCTGGGGAAGATAAGCTGGGTATGCTGCTGACCAATGGCGAGCTGGGAGCGCTGCGAGCGAGAAGCGACTTCCTCGCCAGGTTCATCGGTGAAGACATGTCTGGTACTTTGCTCCTACGCTCCCTGGAGACTGCTAGAAGCTATCAATCGCTCGCTTTCTCCTGTTTGTGTCTTTCTTGTGGGCAGCAGGTTGCTGGATTTGCCGGCCCTCGGCTTTATGGGCCGGAGTTTGGGGGTCAAAGCTAACTAAGCGGCACGTGACTTGGCGCGGGCGTTTTGGGATTTGTTGACGGCGAAGGAAGAGGACGACGACGAGGATGGAGGATGGAGACCGGACAAAGAAAGAGAAGAGACAAGGACACCGGACGAGGAGACGAAGGATCAGCTTGGGACGCCAGGGCAGCGGTAGCAGGCTTATGCAGGTCGGACGCTAGCAGCAGCGCTTACTTCAACGTCGGTCGTCGCAGCAGGGCATCTCTCTAGATAACCCACTGGGGCTGCTTGGACAGGATGAGCTCGTTAAGACACCAGGTGGTGAAGATCTATAAAGGTGAGCAGCCAGCATAAGGAATGGTTTGCTGGGAGAAGGAGACGGGCTAATCTGATGTTGCTGGAGCAGAACTCCTCTTTCTGGGTCGAGACTATCCTCTTGGATACGCATATTTCCGAGACCGGCTGCACCGGGCCTTTGCCAGCCAGGCGCACATCACCGACGAAGCGGAGATCAAAAAGGGCATAGAGAGAGCCGAGTTTGTGAAGAAAGGTGTGTACGATCTTGTGCTATTTCTGAGTCACTTTTTCGTGCGTTTCTTCTGACATTATAATAGAAGTCGAAGCATTGTAAGTTGAATTTATTCAAGCAAATTATATACTCCATGTATAGTCCCAGGGTCGTCAGACATCCATACATAAATACAATGCAACCTCCCGCCTTGCCTATATACTCCTATCCACCCGAGCAAGAAAAGGAAACAAAACAAGAGGGGAGAAAAAAAAACCACTCCTGACGTCTATTGTGATATACACCCCGTTTGAACCTCGGCATATTTTTTTGGTCGTTCCAGATATCCCCATTTCCGTTTCCGTTCACAGTACCCTCCCTTTGAGACGGTGATAGTAAAAAACAAACAAGACAACAAAGCAAGTAAGAAGTGCCGCCGTGCTAATCTGTGATATGCAGATATTACCTGAAACGGTACCGGACGCTGAAGAAGCGTTACCAGACACCAAGCAACTGAGCGGCAAAGTCGAAGTCGAAGTCGAAGTTGAAGGTCGAAACTGAAGCCGACGGCGTGTATAGGGTGGTAGTCCTTTTTTTTTTTTTTTTTTTTTTGGGTTCGTAATGGTTTAATTTGATCTGGGTGGGAGGTAAGAAGACGGAGAAGAAAGACAGAAAGAGAGGAAGAAGAAGAAGAGCAAGTTACTTCTTTCGTCCCCACCAGGCGCCGATTTCCAGACATTCGCCACTTGCGACGCCTCCCTTCTGCATCAGGTCGGTGGTCATGCCAGTCCACCAGCGATCCCATTCGGCCTGACCCTTGCCGCTGGCCTCCATGAGCAAGGGCTCCATGCTTTCGATCAGCTGGACGACGGTGAGCAGGGTTGTCTGGCGCAGGGCCATCTGGTCGGCCGTCAGGGGCTTGCCGTTCTGCTTCTGCTCCCATTTGACCTCGCCGAGCGGGATGGCAACACGCCTGCTGCCGGAGCTTTGAAACGACTCAGCCTCTGACGAGAAGGCGAGCCCGATAGTGGCGCAGGGCATGGTATTGAGCTTGCGGGCTTCAAAGGCCTTTTGTATCCAGGTGTTGTAGTCGTTGAGGTATTTGTTCTGGGCGTTGGTGAAAGGGGTAGCGGACGAGATGGTGTATGTACCGGTAATCTCAGCCTGTTCCTGGTACTCCTCGGACAGCTTGCCCGGGGCCACGGGCGGGTTAGGCAGCAGGGTCCTGTAGACCATGTCTGAGTCCCAGATCTCGAGCACTCCGCCTGACTTGAGCACCCGCAACGGCTCTGACAGCGTCCCGTCCGCCTTGAGATCCGACATGGGCCCGCAGAGCGAGACATCCTTGATGAAGACAAAGTCGAAGCTCTCGTCTGCAAAGGGTAGGGTATTTTTCCGTAGATCGTGCTTCTTGAACTGCCAGTCCACGCCCTGCTTGTGCTGCAGGTCCGGCGCCAGACTGATGATATCGAGACCGGTAAAGGATATGTCTGTCTGTCCGCGGTTGGCAAAGTACTCGTGGCAGGCGCTCGTCCACAGGCCGGAGCCACAGCCGAGCTCGAGGACCTTCTTGGGCGGGTTGTCTGCGGTGGTCGGGGAGCAGAAGGGCCCTCCCCAGACGGTCATGACGATGAGGGAGTGGAGGGACTGCCGGTGGATCTCGGGCACGTCGCAGGGCAGCGGATAGGTGCTCTCCGGGTCGCGCAGATAGGTCCGTCCATTCTGCTTGCCGAGCGGGTATGTGGTGTAGTCTGTGTTGTTGAGGGAGGCAGACGAGGGCGAGCCGCCGCCAGCAGGAAGCGGATCTAGGGCTGGAATCGACATCATAGGTGCGTGAGGGAGGAAGACATGTTTGAAGTCGACGGCCGAGACGAGAGTGGGCGGAGTGTACTGGTAGTGGTGGTTGTAGTTGTAGTGCCTGACCTCGCTGCTGCTGTAGTTGTAGGTTGAGCTGTTGCTGCTGCTGTTGTTGTTATTATTATTATTGCTGCTGCTGCCGCCGCCGGTGGTGGTGGTGGTGGTGGTCGTCGTCGTCGTCGTCGTCGTGGTGTTGCCGCCGCCGCTGGTGTTCGAGCCGCCTCCCGCTGGGGGAACGGCCATCCCTAGTGCGAAGTCTTTTTTTATTTTTTTATTTCTTATTTTTATTTTTTGCTTAGAGTTACCAGTCAAACTACCCTTGCCCGGGGCGAAAAAAAAAAGGGGGTGAAGAAGGGCAAGAAAAGTAACGCCTGCAGGGAGACTCTATGGCCTTGTCTGTCGGTCTGCTGCTGCTTCGTATCTCTCGGTCCCCAGCCTGGGAGGGTTGGGCCGGCTGTTTGCTCGCTCCTTGGAGGCAGCAGGCAGAGAGCGCTCCGTATGTAATAGCCGGCGTCAGGGGTTGATATCGGGGGAGAGACGCAGATGAGACGAGGCCTGGAAGAGCAGAGATACAGGGCAGAGATAGACGGAGACAGACGGAGAGAGAAGCGAGGAGTATGGAGTATAAAAATACGGAATGGATAGAGTATTTATATTGCTTTATGGAGCTGGGACGGGCCAGGAGCTTCACCACCACCCCCCTTTGGTGGTCCTGATATTCGTTCGCATCTTCGTCAAGTTATATAACGGACCACCGATCAGCTAGCCTATTTACCGCCTGCTGCCGCTCTCCAGCTGTCTGTTTACCAGTCGCAGAACTCGCTTTCGAGGCGTGGGCGGCCTAGTCAACCGTCGACAGTCACTAGTAGCGGCCATCCTGAGCTGTCTCGCATTGGCCTTGAATTGGTCTTTGTATCACAGCAGGTCTAGCACTCTGTAGATACGAAGTAGAAGTAGAAGTAGTAGTAGTAGCAGTGGAAGAAGAAGAGAAAGAAATAGTAGTAGTAGTAGAAGAGCCATCTATACAGGGTGTCTCCTGCTGCCGGCCATGGCCATGTCCTTCCGCCGGCCAGCAGCGAGTCCCAGGCTTAGATCTCCCTCCCTGCCTTCGAGTCTTCCAGGCCTTCTTCCATGACTTCTACGTCTTCTTCGTCTTTTCTTCCAGGCAGCAGCTGGTAGTTAGTTAACTAGATGGAAGAGCAGGCTGACTGCGCCACCAAGGAAGCCTTCCATCACTGTCCACCGCCGCCTCCCATGCATTCACTGCTCTTTGTGTATACAGCCTGCATTCTCTTGCCATCACTCCCTTTCCTTCCATGAATCTTTTTTTATCTTTTCCATCTTTTTCATCTTTTTATACCCTTTTTATATCTCTTTCTTCGTCTTTTTTGTCTTTTTTTTTTTTTTTTTTTTTTTTTTTTCAGCTTCTCTTTTCTCTTCAGCGTCATGTCAGGTGACTCCACGTGACCGACTCCCACCTTCGACTTTTCAAGGCAAAAAAACAAGCAAAAAGAAACGAAACGACGACGACGACGACGAAGAAAGAAGAAGACGAAGACGAAGAAGGAAGACGAAGACGAAGACGAGAAGACAAAAGAGACTCGCATCGACAGGCGCCGGAAGAAACACCACAGACTGACTGACAGTTGTAAGCGCTGCCGGACTCCCTCCCCTGGCCCCCCATCCCGCTGCTGCTCGCCCTTCTGACCAAGCCCGTCCCCATCCCAGCCAACCTGCTCGAGACTCCCCTTGCTGCGGCTGTGCCTCCGGACTGGCCCTCGGTGCACACAGACAGGCAGACAGACAACCAGACAGACGCCAGAAAGAGGCAGAAGGATCTAAACAGACGAGCGTTGCAGAAGAAGGGCGGTCCGTTCTGACGGTTGGCCGCAAGCTTCTCTTCTTCCCTGCCAGTGGAGGTTCCGCTCGCTGGGCCCTCATGTTGAAGAGACGAAGACCGCAAGCTCGAACTCCCGCCACGCCGCCCGTTTCTCTGTCCGGACACCTGCTGCTGCTACGCCAGCTACGCCAGCTACCCCCTCCACCGCCCGCCAGCACACATCCTCGGTCTCATCTGCCTCGTTAAATGGCAGATGGTCCCTACCGGTTCCAGCCTGGGGCCGGGCAGTTTTACTTCCAGAACCAATCTCAATCTCAACAGCAGCAGCAGCAGCAGACCCAGCAGCAACAACAGCAACAACAGCAATCCCAACAGCATCAACAGCAGCCCTCGCAGCACCACCAAGCTCACCAACGCCACCTTCTAAGAAACGGGACCAGCTCACCCACCGGTAGGCTAAAGTTCAACCCGGACACGCCCTCGCCGTCGCGCTCGCCGCCAATCAACCAGTCTCCCGCCATCAACTCGTTCACCATGTACTCCCAGGGCCATCAGGGGCAGCCGGTCATGCTCAACGGTGCTCAGGGTCACCAGCGGTTTGGCATGCCCATGCAAAAGTTTCAGCATCCCGGCCAGCACCCGCAACATCCCCAACAGCAGACGCAGCAACAACAGCAGCAGCAGCAGCAACAACAACAACACCACGCCCCTCACTCGCAATCAAACCCGGTTCTCTCGCACCAGCAACACAGCTACTCCGCCGGTGCTCTCTCCAACGCCGCTGCTCAGCATTTCACCCCCTCCCACCTGCAAAACGGCTCCTCCGCTAACCTCGAAGACGAGGTTGATGAACCCATGAACGAGCACTGGCAGCAGCAACTACAGCTTGCCGCAGAATCCAGACAGGCCAATTCCCCTCACTACTATGCCAGATCCGTCGCCCAGCAGACCAAGGGTATCCAGCTATCCTCCCATCAAAACGATTCCAATGAAAACGGCACTGAGGACCGTAATCGCGCTGTGGCCGTAAAGGAAACCCGCCGCCAGGACTGGATGGCCATTGACTTTGGTGGCCAGGGTCTTCGCGCTCTCTCCGACGGCCTCTTCCACTATGCCTTCCTCGACAAGCTCTATCTCAACCACAACAAGCTCAAAACCCTTCCTCGCAAGATCGGCCAGCTCAAGAACCTCACCCACCTGGACGTGTCCAGCAACGAGCTTACGGAGATCCCAGAAGAGATTGGCATGCTAACTAACCTGAAGAGGCTTCTTCTTTTCGACAACAATCTACAAACTCTTCCGTTCGAGATGGGTTATCTCTGCGAACTTGAAACCCTCGGCGTCGAGGGGAACCCGTTAAACGATGTGCTCAAGTCGCGCATCATGCAAGAGGGAACAAAGGCACTTATCAAGTACCTCAAGGAAGAGACGCCAGGTAGGATACTCTTAATCCTTTTCCCCCTTTCGATTATCGTCCTTTTTAAAACATGAAATGATATGTCGCTGTTTTACTAATAGCATGGGTAGTGCCAATGCCTCCGTCTGACCGAGACTGGATTGTTTTGGACGAAAGCGGCCGCGGCTCGTCGAAGAATCCGCATGACAAGTTTACTGTGCTTACGTACAACACTCTGTGCGATCGATATGCTACACACCAGCAGTACGGATACGCTCCATCAAAAGCACTCGCCTGGGAGCTCCGTCGTGACCTTCTTCTCAGCGAAATCAGAGGCCAGGACGCCGACATTGTCTGCCTGCAGGAAGTCGACCAAGGCAGCTACCATGGTTTCTTCAGGGAACAGCTGGCGTATAACGATTACAAGGGCGTATACTGGCCGAAGGGTCGCGCCCAAGGTATGAGCGAAGAAGAAGCCAAGGTCGTCGATGGTTGCGCCACCTTCTTCAAGGGAAGCAAGTACATCCTCCTCGAGAAGGCGATGATTCACTTCGGCCAAACCGCAGTACGACGACCTGACGCCAAGGGCCAGGACGACATCTATAACCGGCTGTGGCAAAAGGACAACATTGCCGTTGTCGTCTATCTTGAGAACCGCATGTCCGGAGAGCGTATCATTGTAGTCAACGCGCACATCTACTGGGATCCTGCGTACAAAGATGTCAAGCTCGTTCAATCCGCCATCATGATGGAAGAAGTCACGCAGCTTGCCGAGAAGTTCATCAAGATACCTCCGTGCACAGACAAGACAGCCTTCCGCTTCTCCGAGCCAGAGGACGAGACGAACAACAGCGAAAACACCAGCCCGCCCACGCCCGTTGAGCCGTCTCCGTCCGTCGAGTACAGCAGCCCATCTCAGATTCCGATCTTGGTATGCGGCGACTTTAACTCCCGCCCATCCTCCGCGGTCTACAACCTTCTCGCCCACGGCCGTCTAGAGGAAGAACATCCTGACCTCCGGGATCGTCTATACGGCAACCTCACGCGCCAAGGCATGACACATCCCTTCACCCTCAAGTCAGCCTACTCTGCCATAGGCGAGCTCTCCTTCACCAACTACACGCCAGGCTTCACCGATGTCATCGATTACATCTGGTACTCCTCCAATCTGCTGCAAGTCACCGGACTGCTCGGAGAAGTGGATAAGGAATACTTGCAGCGTGTCCCTGGCTTCCCCAACTACCATTTCCCTAGTGATCATCTGGCGTTGATGGCGGAGTTTTCGGTCAAGAACAAGAAAGGGAAGGTAGTTGAGGTCGACTTTGGCCCGCAACGAGATCGTGATAAGGATCGAGCTCGCGGATAGTGTTGGTTGGCATCGAGTTAGAAAGGAGAGTAAGAGGAGGCACAGCGTGAAGGTTTCTTCGTCTTTTTTTATATTCTTTTCTTACTGTTTCTTTTTTTTGGGGGTGAGGGAAGGGTTGTGCAAAGCTATATCTTTTCAACGGATGGAGCTAGGGTGCTTAAGTCGTTTGGTCCTTTCTATTTCCTCGTCTCTCTTCTTGTTCTTCCCCCCCTTTTTTTCTTGCTTCCTATGTTCATCATCATCATATCGTCATCTTACTCTTATTTCGGAATCTCTGCCGCGAGTTTCACTGTTCTTCCCCTGGTCCCTCCCCCTTTCGTCCCATATCTCGCCCGTCCTCTTCCTCTTCCGCTTCCGCTTCCTCTTCCTCTTCCTCCGTACTCGCCCTGACCTTCAACTCAGCTCTTGTCCCCTTATTCCTCTTGCATCTGCTGTATTCTCCCCTACTTTCTTTCCTGTTCACGTCTCTTGTCACGCATTCCTCGCTTCCTCGGGTCTCTGCTCTTGGAAACTATTGTCCATTGTTTGCTTCTTTCTCCTTTTCTTAACACGGCGTGGTGATATTTCTGTACCTTGTTTTGCTTCTCTTGCTTTCTATTTCATCGCCTTGTCTTCATTACTCCTTTTTTTTCCTCCCTTTTCTTAACTTTTTTGCCTTGTCCTTCTCCTTGCCAACTATCCTCATAGCTGGCTAGCTGGTCTGTCTGTTTTGTTTTTCCCAATCGAAGTCAAAAGAGGGTTGTATGATGGCCTTTCTTGTTCATTCTATGTTACCTCGCCTTTATCTACCTACCTACCTACCTATCTCCCTACCTACCACTTATTCTCGTCCCCCCCTTTTTATTTTTTTCCTTTTCTGTTTTATCTCATGAATCTCTCTGGATCTGCCTCGTTCGTATCTTGCAGACATTGGTGTTCTGGTGAAGGTGTGGAAATGGGAATTGGGTCGAAACATGAGGTTGGCTGGTTGGCTGGTTGGTCGGTTGATGATAGTGACGGTGACAGTGTGTGGGATGGAACTGTAAAGAAGGAAGACACAGACGAAGAGAGGATACAGCTTTCTCCCACCCAGCCCTTTTCTTATATAACTAACTAACTGAATAGTTATATTTAGTTACATGCCTTTACTCCCAGCGGCCCTGAAGCCGGGTGGTTTAAGGAGAAGGCAAGACGTGCAAAAAAAAAAGAAAGGAATAGAATTGGATGATGTTTCACAGTCTGGCCATGTTATAGAGACCCTTTTCTATAGGCAGAAGAACTCGGCTCCGGTCGTACGTTCGTCACTTACGGGCGATCGATCTCCATATATAGGTGCCCAGTTTATATCAAGCATGCCTGGCAGCTGAGGTTAGTTCGATTGGATACGGGCGTCGACAGGCCGAAATGTCGCACTAAGGGGCGTCTCGCCGTAACTTATGTCCGAGCTGGAATCCGTCTTTCTTTTTTCTCTCCCTTTGCTCCGTACATATTTTAGGAGTCATATTCCACATCTCATATGTAGGTAGCTATCTAGCTAGCTGGCTAACTGCTGGCCGGTCTGGGGGCAGCGGGCCGCTCCAATAATATGGGGCATCAGGGCCCTCGTCCTGGCGGTGCGACTATCTTCAAGCCAGGCCAGGCAAGACTGGCCGTAACAACCTTGGGCCTCGGGCTCGGGCTTGGTTTGTCCCTTCTGCTCCATGGATCGGATTTATCGGCATCAGTAAAGGCAAAAATATGCAGGTTAGTTAGCTCTTTGGCCGTTGGGTGAGTTAACGAGGGAGATCCATAGCAATTTCTCGTATACGGTTAACCATATATAAAAGAAAACCAGGCAGGTGGGAGACAGCGAATATATGACAGTATGATTCGTCTCTGAGCTATTTTTTCTATATTTCTTTATACATATAAAACCCGCTTCAACCGCTCTGCTGGTTTCTGCTTCTTTATTTTCCCCCCTTTATTGTAGCCATCCAGCGGTGGCGGCCAGACGAAGCAGAGCGTCTTTCCCTCATGGCAGGCTTGATGGAGTCGACGGCGACGGTGACAGGCGGGCAGGATGAAGCAGCCACAGAGATCAAGAGCTCGTCGTCCTCTCTCGAAGGGAGCACAGATTGCTCGGCCAAGATGGAGGCGCCGAAGATGCTTGCTGGCGGTGCGAAGGAGGCGGTAGAAACAGCTGGGCCAGCAGAGGCAGACGAGAAGCAAGGAGACGTCATGCGTCAAGATCGATATCAAGAGAAAGAAGACAGCCAAGATGATAATGGCCCAGAAGCACAAGAGGCTCCAGAGGCACCAGCTGATTCCAGCGAGGTCAAGATGTCGAAGGGCAAAGTCGCTCTCATCATGCTTGCGCTCTGCGTGAGTTGCATTCTATATTTCCCTGGTTTATTTATATTCGAAGCCATCCACTCATGCTCATCGGACTATCTATTATAGTTGGCCACGTTTCTTGCGGCTCTCGACATAGTAAGTCTTCTTCGCCTTCTTTTCTTCTTCCTTTCGTCTTGATTTTCATCCTTCGTCGACTGATAGGCTAATGCGAAACGCCATAGACGATCGTTACTACGGCGCTGCCAACCATCGCCAGAGAGTTTAACACATCACAGGCGGACTATGCCTGGGTTGGCTCTGCATATTTGCTCGGTGCTGCCTGTATGTTACTGTTTCCCCCTGGGCACTGATTCTTGTATTGACTTGTTTCCCAGCATCGACTCCATCATGGGGGAAAGTCAGTGATATCTTCGGCCGGAAGCCTGTCTTGCTGGCCGCCAATGTCGTCTTCCTGGTTGGCTCACTCCTGTGCGGCGTGAGCATCAATATCAAGATGTTGGTAGCCAGCCGTGTGATCCAAGGAATAGGAAGCGGAGGCCTTCTTACTCTTGTGAATATCTGTGTGAGCGACTTGTTCAGCATGAGGTTCGTTCCCATCTTTCCTGGCCTTTGGAAGTGGCTGGTTTTGGCAGGCTAACCTCGTAAAACAGAACTCGAAGCATGTACTTCGGTATCATCGGCATGGTATGGGCTATATCAGGCATCATTGGGCCCGTCATCGGTGGCCTTATGACCCAGTACACCACCTGGCGTTGGTGTTTCTATATAAACCGTAAGTTGTGCTCTCCCTTGTTGCTGCCCGTGATGGCTCTTAACGGTAGAAATAGTTCCCATCGACGGAGTTGCTTTTCTGATTATATTCTTCTTCCTGGAGCTCCATACTCCTACCACCCCATTGCTAGCCGGACTCCGTGCCATTGACTGGCTCGGTTCTCTCGCTGTCGTTGGCGGTACGGTGATGTTCCTCATCGGCCTTGAGTATGGTGGCGAATCTTACCCCTGGTCTTCCCCAACAGTCATATGCTTGATTGTTTTCGGAATAGTGACATGGGGCATCTTTATTCTTATTCAGTGGAAGGTTTCGCGTTATCCAGTCATGCCGCTGTGGCTCTTTACCCAGCGATCCACACTCGCGGCATATGGAACGGTCCTCATACATGGAGCCATTTACACTAGCGGAAGCTTCTTCCTTCCACTCTACTTTCAAGCCGTCCTTGGAGAGACACCGCTAAAGTCGGGAATACTCCTCTTTCCAAACGTTATAGCAGTTTCTATCGTCTCTGCGGTCACCGGTATCTTCGTTCGCAAGACCGGTCTTTGTCTTCCACCAATTTGGTTTGGAACAACCGTTTTAGTTCTCGGAACAGGGCTCTATATCAATCTCCCATCACACAGATCGTTGGTCAAAGTTATCCTCTACCAACTAGTGGCTGGAATGGGTATTGGACCCAACTTCCAGGCTCCCATCATCGCTCTTCAGAGCCATATAAGGCCCAGTGACATAGCAACTGCCACAGCCTCCATAGCCTTCTGCAGAAATCTTGCTAGCAGTATTTCTGTTGTCATCGGAGGTGTCATTATCCAAAACAGACTCCAAAGTAACATTCTAGAGATCCAACATCTCCTTAGCCCCAAAACCTTGGACGCTCTGCAAGGAGTCTCTGCTGGTGCTTCGGTACATATCATCCAGGCTCTCCCGCCAAACGAAAAGCAACCAGTTCTCGACGCTTATACCAAAAGTTTAAGCACTATGTGGATATTCTATACCGCCCTCGCTGCTATCGGTTTTATAGTCAGCTTGCTTCTACAGAAAAAGAAGCTCAACAAGGAACACGAAGTTACCAAGACCGGACTTGATGCTCAGGAACGAGCGAGGAAAGAAAGGCTGCAGATGGAGAAAGAAGCGAAGAGTAGTCGAAATAAGGCTGTTTGAAGTCATGCTGCGCATGGTTGTACCGCGTAGAGTATGACAGGCGATTTTGAAATTTATCGATACCCTTCTGTCTTGATTCGTTACCTTCTAATTTATTTTATAACTAATGAGCTGACCGTGGATAGATTCAATATAGTTTTCCGGGCGCAGCTGCTTCTGACCACGTCAATACCACATGTTTGGATGGCGTTTTTTAATAGATGGGTAGATATGGACAATGCAGCTGTTAATTATTAATTATTGAATGTCAATATAATACAAAATAACAAATTGAATTGACCTAATTAACACTTTAGCCTCTGCCAATCCCCATATTCTTATCTGATTGATAAGATGACTCTAAATTTAGGTGCCGCCATTTAAGCTTAATTATAGTTCATTAACTGGTTATATGGTTTCTCAGGGTGGCAATTTCAAAAAGATCTCGGTCCATACCATTATATCGATGCACATGCTAGTAGGCTTTACAAAATGATATTTCTTCTGACTTTCTGAGAAAATTGTGAACCAGATACCCTTTAATCTAATAGACCACTAGATGATTTCAAAGCGGCCCCTTTTGGCTCCTTCAAACATATTGCGTCTAACGGCATAAGCTATCCCGATCCGCTCGTACAGCTTAGAACTCCGTAAGGAGGGCCCTAGGAGCAGTGCGATAGCGAATGGTTCTCTCGTAGCAACCACAAGGTAAATGCAGTAGCCGGTCCAAGATCGCGTTGGAGGCGCTTCTCCGACCGGTACACGCACAGCTGGCCTGCACATGCCCCAAGGCTCGTCTCCCCGAGGCATAAGCGCCACATCCGCATTCACTACGGTTTCGACATAGTCAGCAGTGAACACCGCTCTATATTGATAGCTAAATCTGTCAGGTTCGGCCGGTGTTCTTTTGTCCTTCTTATCTATCTTTACCGTAGCTTCGACCCAGCCGGTAACAAAACGACCATCAACTGTGATTGATCCCGTTGCATCGTTAAGCCCGTGGCATTCTAGCTCGTATACCCAAGGTTTTAATACCTCCCGAGAAACTTTATTAGAGACCGAGAGGTTGCCGTGGGATATAGGGCCATTTATGCTTAGCCAACTCCAACTTGGCGCGCAGGTACTCGGGTTCACTTCACAAGGATGCGTTCCCTCTATACCACAATCATCTACCTTCCAACCCAGGCTTTCGACAATGGCGTGTTTCCATAAACCCCAAAAAGCTGTCCAGCCTTTCCGCTTCTCAATGCGATTCATAACCGCTGCAATAGCCGGGAGCCGATCAGAAGCGTATGTTATGTCCCTACGCATGAATTCATCCACTAGTTCCAGCCACGAATCAATGGATACCTTCTCTAGGTTGCTGGACCAAGAATTACCGGATATACCTTGATCAAAGCCTTCCCAGATAGAGTGGCAGTGACACTCAAACTTTAGGGCATGGGAGGTAAAAAACACGGTTCGCGCAGATAGGAGTCTCTCCTGCCAGACCCAAGCCCGTGTAGACACCCTTCCATAATCACCACCCTGATCCTCTGTACCTAATTTATGTGATCGTCGCCGGGTTTTCAAGTCCAAAGTGCCGAGCCCTTCCAGGGTAAGGCTTATGCCAGAAGATTTCCATTTAGCATCCCGTTCAACCAGTATATGGTCGTTCTCGGAGCTGGCAGAGGCCGCAGCAATTGTTAAGGTAGCATTGCCGTATATATCACCCATCTTGGGAGCCTGTTTCTTGAAGTCGCTGTTGTCACCTTGGATAATACACAATCGATCTACCCAAATATACTCAATACCAAGCAGACAGGCAATTCGAACCACATCTTGGAGTAGAGGCGGCAGAGCATTATAGTCTATAGTAGTCTTCCTCGAGCCTACTGTAAACTGGTCCGTGAGGTATGTATCTGCTGTTACCAAGCCCCAGCAGTAGCTTAGAGCAAGGTAATTAGCACGGGTATTCTTCGGCTCAACAAGCCGAATGTCCCTTATGTTTCCTCCTTGGATCCAGATGATGCGATCAGGGAGCAATGGCAATGCCGAATGTCCGTCATTCCCTCCACAATTATGCTCTCTGATGCAGTTTTCTACATGCTCTTTGATGAACTCAACGCAAGTGTCATCACCAGCATGGGATGCTATCTCTTCACCAAAGCCCATAGGCTCTAGAAGGCCAGAAATGAGCTCCCCTAGTTCCAAAACCAGTCAATATTTGCGGCATCTCTAATGTAGCGGTCCTCCGAGTGAGAGCCACGTACCTCTGTCAGGAGCTTTACCACTACTACCACACAGACGAGGTCGGTATATTTCTATCTCTGTTGTTGGCTTTGGCGTCCCAGTCTGGATAATATATTCGAAGTGCATGGGGACCTCAAATCCCATGGTATCACCACTGGAAGTGCCATAATGGCCATACTGCAATTGCACAGTCACAGGCACGTTTGGTGCTAGATTGATGCGAATGACTGTGTCTTCGGCTTCCCATCCAGGCTGCGCCGTCGAGAGGGCCGTGGAAATTATGGCGCAGAAAAAGCAGCCTTGGGCAGAGTCGAGTAAAATATGCGACTTATCTATAGTTATTTTAGCAACTGACGATCCTGCAGGTAAATTGTACTCCCGAGCAGCCCACGAAAGCAACGAAGGGCCATTTTTGACTGGCGGCCCACTTGCTGGAGCCTGGCTTGGGTCGAGATTGTAGCACACTTTGCATATTTCCTCTAGACTTATGCCTGTAATATCAGACATGTCTGGTCGTGGTTTGAGAGGCGCGAGCGGCTCTTGCTGGTGCTGCAGTTTGGATTGTGAGCTGCCCCTGAGCCGTTCAAACCAGTTCGGTCTTTTGCCATCTTTGGCTTTGCCAGCCCGTGGAAACATGCTAGATGCGCTGCCAACTAGTTAGTTAGCGAGTTAGCTAGTTATGATCATTAGCCGAGAAATACGATTATAATAAACATGCCTCTCTCTGAAAAGACGAGTTCAAAAATGGCCTGGTGTCCCCGCTATATACCAAGCGGCTTCCAATACCCTGAGCTAAACGAGCGAGGCTGGGGCTGAATTTCAGGGGTATCCTGCAGTAGGGGTTCCATTTTACGAGGCCTTCGGTCTTGGGTCTATACTGGGGTGTTGCACCCACGGACGCACGATTCTTTTCATGGTGACATCTAAATCGGCTGATCAGCATTCTATAGATAAAGCAATACTAGTAATACATAGCATGAACGTACAATATAATATGCAAAAAGGTAATCAAACCTTTCCCATTCTCCATATTCCAACAAAGCCACCACCCACAATTCTCTCTCCGACTTTGGGCCGGCAAACCATCACATGCTTGACGGGCTGGTTCTCTCCACCAAGCCCATTCTCTTGTGATGACTGGATGCCACTATCCTCTTTTGCGTAGTGCGTTTGGTTGTCAGTAGCTGAAGTATCAACTAGGCTGTCTAGCGCCTCATTCGCCGGTTCTTCTGCATCATCCCGATTTTTCACGCTTGCCCTTATAACTGCGGGCCGAACATCCCATAGTCTCCCGCCACTAATTCCCATTCCAAGTTCCACCGACTTTGTTAAGACAAGAGGCAGATGCTGGTCTTTAATTAGTTGAACGCAATCCCCAATTTGGGTGATGCTTGGCGTAAAAACTGCCAGTACTCCATCAGTCTTAAGAACACGCGCAACTTCAGGAATGCGCTTTTCTGCTGATGGCATGTCTAGTAGTGCGTATGATAGGAACGGCTTTAACTTTTCTCCGGGGGGAAGTTTAGAGCTTCGGCTTTCAATCTGGTGCTGAATCCAACCCTCTGCGCTTGAAACGTAAAAATCTACACTCCCGGTGTAAATGCCTCTTCTAAAACCGCGGACCACTTTCTCGGCATGAGCTGACACCTTGGGTGAAATTTCGATTGTGTGAAGAATTGCATTGCGCTTAGCCCTCCATGCATCCCAGTTTTTCTGTTTGATACTCTCCTCCTCTGTTACTTCGGCTGTGTCCTGAGCTTGACTCTGTGGGTCCAGAATTGTCCGTTGTGTAGCTTGTGGAATGGGCGGCGGGCAAGTATTTGCTCCATTTATAGCTCTTGCAAGATGTAGCGTCAGGGAACCATGGCCTGTCCCAGCTTCTAGAATCTCTAGAGGTTCACCATGTTGTTCGTCTCCGGATGGAGGTGGTGTGTGGATATCTAGGAGCGAAACTATTAAGCTCGCATCCGCCGCATACACCTACTAGCAGCGTTCGTCAGTTATACGTATATCTCCACATAGAGGTAAATGACAACTTTCTTTCGGTGAGAGCTTTACCGGAGTGACAAGTCGCCGGGTTAGGGACACATATTCATCGAGGGTTGGTTGAGTTATTCGGAAATCGCCACGACCTATAGAAATCGACAGTTGTTAGCAGCCCAAGCCAGACTACATTCTTCTGACAAACAATTGCTTGAATCGATACCATTATGTGTCCGTACAACGTCTCTAGCGCTTTTACCAATGATATGGTTATGCTCGATATACCCGCCGCGTACGTCGATTTTTTGGTCTTTCTTAAGCGGTTTCGTCAGGGTCACACCCTTCGTCGTGTTTAATATTACCCTATCACCCTCTTTAAGACCACAGTTAGCATATAGCAAGCACACATCGCCCAGGACATAAATTGAGTACCTTGAAATATCCCAAAGTTAGTGTCAATTGGCCGCGCATGACTTAACAGAGGAGATCTCGAGGTTGCAAAGAGCCGACGAGAAAAAAATGTAACAGATGCCATCAATTTTATATATATATATATATATATATATATATATTGTCTTATATCATATCTTTTCGAGGTGGAGATTTCAATGAGATGCTCTTCCAAAGCTCACGAAGCTCAAGAATTTAGGTAGTCAGGTAGGTGAGTCTAGACTGGACCGGAATTAAAGTTACCCGGCTAATAATAGCGCCGCTCCGAAGTGCCGTCACCGTGATCAATTGATAGCTGTTCGGAAGAAACCTGGTGACGAGAATATTCAGTTAACTATACAATCTACCGGCGGATGAGTTTCTGATACTTTGCTTTTTCCCCTATTGGGATTCGCATAATGAACACGATCTTCGCATTTGCTCTGCTTACACAAACCCTTCATGAAGCGCTGACGAGCTAGATATTTTTTTGATCGCCCCCTAGAACCGCTTCAAGATACAGAAAGGGTGCTGCAGGAAAGATGAACCGCCGAATCGTAAACACTTGCCTCCCTTAGCTTGAAGGCTTGCCATCTTCTAGTTCAGTTAACTAAGAGGGTATTCTAGATCCGAACGATAATCCAGCTCGGCATATTAACAGTCACCGTTGTTGTCTTCGTCGTCATTCTCGATAGCCAGATACGGGTCCTTCCAGCTTCAATACATGACCATTTGCCGTCCCACCACCCGGGCCTTGTTGTTACTGAACTGACAGTTACAACCTGCTCTGCCTTGAATGTCTTTTCAAGCTGCACACTCGATCCTAAAGTATGGCATCGCATAGAAAAAGACCTGTACCTTGGTCAAGGGTGGACTTCGAAGGCATATCTGCATATACAGCGGAAGAAAGGGGATGAGATTCTACCCACAGATAAAATTGTTGTTGATGTGAAAATGGGCCGGCTGGACCCTGGTGCCGGAACTGATAAAAAATGGGAGTCACGACCTGGAGGCATTTGGATACTCAGGTTACCACATTCAACCGACTCGCAAAAATCGATAACATCAGTCGATGTTCTGTTTGGCCCCGACGCTGTCGACCCTCGGCCTGATTGGGAATTAAAAGACATCCCTCTCATGCTAGATTCTAAGAGCGAAGCAAGGCTGACTGTACGGCGAGGACATGCCAGAAAGGTTGAACTACCAGTTCCACGAATTCGGAAAGATGGAAAGTTCAAAATTATGCAAGCAGCAGATTTACATCTGGCTACAGGGCTTGGACATTGTCGGGATCCTATTCCAAAGACTGATGAGGATAAATGTGAGGCGGATCCCCGGACTTTGGAATTTATTGACAGGCTACTGGATGAAGAAAAGCCAGACCTGATAATTCTGAGTGGCGATCAGGTAAATGGTGACACCGCGCCGGATACAGAAACAGCAATTTACAAATTTGCTGATCTATTCATCAAACATAAAATCCCTTATGCTGCTATTTTTGGGAACCATGACGATGAAGGAAACCTGGATCGCCGCACGCAGATGGACCTTATGCAACGCCTACCTTACAGCCTTTCCAAACCGGGACCTGAAGAAATAGATGGTGTTGGCAACTATGTCGTGGAAGTCCTCGGAAAAGGGTCCTCTTCTGCATCAGCCTTGACACTTTATCTCGTGGATACCCATAAATATACCCCAGATGAGAGAAAGTACCCGGGATACGATTGGCTGAAGCCAAGCCAGATAAAGTGGTTCAAGTCAACCGCCGAGGGACTTCGAACTGCGCATAAAAAATACACGCACATCCACATGAACTTGGCATTCATTCATATACCATTACCGGAATATCGTAACACTGCCAATTTCTTTACCGGGAACTGGACTGAGCCGCCAACCGCGCCTACTTATAATTCTGGCTTTAAAGACGCATTGATAGAGGAGAATGTGTTACTTGTCAGCTGTGGACAGTAAGCAAAACCTAACCTTTTCAACAGCGTAGTTTGAGGACATCACTCTTGGAAACTTACACTAACTCTTCATTTTAGTGACCATGTAAATGACTATTGTATGCTTGAGAAGGATAAAAATGGAAAACCAGCATTATGGATGTGCTACGGTGGTGGTGCTGGTTTTGGCGGATATGGCGGATACAATGATTATATCCGTCGCATCAGGTTCTTCGATATTGATATGAATGAAGCCAGGATCATGTCATACAAGCGTCTTGAATGGGGGAATACCAAAGAACGAATCGATGAAGCTATGCTAGTCGATGCTGGCAGAGCGGTAGGACCAACCAACTAACCCCCAATCCTAACCTGGTCGTCCTAGATAAATTTTGTTTGTGGTTGGTATGATATCTTCCCTCCTTAGCTTTCCTCCTTCCTCTATCAGACCTCTCGTTAAAATTTTCATTACCAGCAACACTTTCGGCTTCTGATACATATATTCTGCGTTTTTTATGTGTTATTATATATAAATTCCCTTTCGAGTTTTTGTTGGCGCGAGGGACTTGTTATATCATTGTTTGTTGATTGGGATTACTGCTCGGTGCCTTGGGGATATGGGATCACGCCAATGATGATGTTACTTGTTTAGAAGTTAATATTACTACTTTATGCTCGTTAGACGTGTTTAATCAAGGTAGCCATGTTGGTACTGTGCTCGTATGGCGCAATTGTGGATTGACGTGTTCTAATATTTATAACTGTGTGTTGGATTTATACCTTGAACACAATTACCACCACTTTTCATATAACACTCTTCTCCTTGTTTTGTCGTCTTCGTTGCCAATGAACGTCTCCAATTCCTTAACAAACTCATCAGTCATTATTGGCGGACCACAAACGTAGCATATCGTACCACTCCTTAGCTCGTCACTTTCGCCCACAGCTTTGTGTAGGTCGCCTGCTTCAATGCGTCGGGAATGAACCGTTATATGCTTGTCTGTATCCAGTATATTGGAGTGAAAATCAACCTTATTACCTCCTCTATTTTCCAAGTATGAATTTGTGAGGAACAGTTGCAAGTCGAGAGGATCAGTATTATCTTTCGCTCGGTTCCAGTCGCGACTGATTTGCTGAAGACGGTCTAGAAATAAAATTTTAGATGGCCTATCGGTGGCCAAAATATTCACGACTTCACCCGGCATTGCCATGTTAATAGGAGTGGACGACGAAGGGATCCTAGTCGAATATAGTAGATGAAGCCTTGCAGATGGTAGTAGGCAAGATCTCGTCCGGTGAATATAGGAAATCATTGATATGAGTGGGCTAATACAGTAAGTTAGTCAAAAGTTCTGCGACAAGACTATTTATATATGACAAAGACCTAACAGGACTCTCTTTGAATCGACGGGAGGAGATAGTAAAGGGGTCGTACTTGATACCAACGCCACCAGCCACAAACACGATGTTCTTGATCTCATCTAATGCCATACCATTTGGTGGCGGCCATACAAACCGGCCGCCAATCCTAACTTTGACATAGGCACCTAATATTTGCTCTATAGGCTGCCAAAACCACTTAGCAGCTGGGTTACTAGGTGAATATTGGACAGCTAGTTCAACATATGGCTGATGTTTATCATTTCCATCTGCAGCTATATCAATGTCTCCTTGAGTAGAAGCATCCTGGGGAGTGGAAGTTATTGTAAAACCCCCAGCATGTTTAATGTTTGGTATATGAACGTCAAGCCACTGGCCGGGTAAAAATTCCAAAGGCGGCTGCTGATTATACGTCAACTAGATATAATGTATCAAAGGTCAGTACGGTTGTCCGAGCTCCTAGGTATACGTATTTCTCAATCTACGGCAGATGGGAAACGTTGACAGAAACTCTTAAAGGCAGGTATTTCGGTAAATTTCGTGGTAGGGCCGCATACGTTCTCTGAATTATCTTTAGACCAATCAAGTGAGGTACAGCCACAAAAATTATTAAATCGGATAAGTCGAATGGTTGGGTTGACCTGGGATATATAGGACACCCTCAGCTTATAGAGGGAGTTCTGTCGAGGCTCTGTTGCTGTCCGAAGCTCGTGTGGTTTACTGCCCTGAGCTGACATGGTGGAATAGCTTCTATAAGTACAATAACGGGCAGCAGAATACCTTGAGGAGCAGCTTCGCAAGAATATCATGTCTCTGGACAAGCATAAGAACGACAATGCATTTACTCCATCATATGCATGTGCTTCGAGTCGACGGGAGGTTATCGCACTCAGGTTAGGTAGCTTTAAGGTTTCGCCCCAATTCGGCCCGAAGTTCTGATTATATAAGAAAACCTTACTGGAGTGGATTAACTTTAATACCCATTTAGCTATTTTTAGACCAAAGTATATACTTCTAAGTTACTTTCGACAACAAACGACGCGGACATCAAGAGACAGCCGGGGGAAGATGACAGAAACCAACATTTAATAGAATGGGTTGATGTGCGAGCTCTGGGTCTCGTCTTAGCGCCGGGCGGTGCTTTGAGGTGGGGAAATGGCCCTCGTTCGGCCCCAGATGCAAGGTTTCAATCACATCGCTTTGCTAGCGTGTGATGAGGGTGCAGGAAACCCCGGTTCGAGCATCATCATTGGTGGGAGCCGGGTGCAGTCATCACATCAATAAGACTGCATGTCAAGGATTTGCAACTTCCGCTGCAAGAGCCAACCAAAGCGCGAAGGACAGGCCCGGGAAAAATGGGCGCTTACATCAAAGGGATCTCGCGACGTCAAGTCGGCCTCCGCTCATCTTCTTCCTTTCAACCTCATCGTCTCGCTTCAGCTGTCGCATCGCAGACTCGAGAAGTCTCCCACACCACATAAAGTCGAGAGAATTAGCCTTCAACTCCTTTTCTCATCGTCGATACCACCAGGCCAGCCCCCTCTTTTGGGCCAACGGATTCTCTGCTTTCCGCCGCTTGTCAGAGCCATTCAGAGAGATGCAGCTTTGAGGAAGAAACAAGCTGTTTAAGAGCTGTTGCGCAATTATATTCTGTTGTCGACAGCACTTTCCCTGTGACTGATAATAGTCTGCAAGCATTGCGCACTCTGCCTGGACATCATCGCAATAATGGGTGGAATTGGGTGTTTCTGGCCTCGAAATTACTGGTCCCCCTTAGCGTTCAAAATACTTGTGGCCTGCGAACTTCCTTTGTCCATCGGGATTCTAACGCTTACTGGTATTGCGGCCCCTGACCTGTATAGAACAAAGCTCTGGCAAGATGGAGCAGATAATGGCTTCAACAGCTCTCCAGACGAAAAAGTATACGCTTTTGCCAACTACAGACCATACACCATCCCCAGGCCGTGGAGTCCCTTGTACGTACACATGGACAATATCTCCCGATAAATTTATCTACTAACATTTTTCCGTTATTGCTGAATAGTACCACCAATTTTAACCTCGTCATCACTGTCCTCAGTTTATTCTTCTTGCTCACGAAAACGCCCATGTTTGTGATGCACGTATTCTACCCGCCGCTTTCGATGATAGTTCACGGTATTTGTGTCTTGCTCTATTCAATAGGTGCGGCTTTCCAAGCTGCGAGCGACACGACCGACCCCAAACATCCGCAAAACGGACCCCCATGGTACATTACGAAGAACTGCAATGTGGCATCGCTTCATACAAACGTCAACTACTGTAAACAAGCTAAAGCGACATTTGCCCTCATGATTGTCATGATGTTTGTTATCCTCTTATATCTCGCATTCTACCCGATCAACTAACGTGATCTCATTCTATGTAGATTCATTTTCACCTGCCAACTTATCTTGGCTGCAGTTTCTTGCTTCCCAACAGAAGAAGACCGCGAAAAGAAGAGAATAAAAGAAGAACGAAAGTCGACACTGGCAGAACTCAAATCGATGAAATCACCACTCAATCCAGATGGGAAGATGACATTCCCGCTCACAACACCACGAACCACCGCTTTTAATAAACTAGAGGGGAACTCGGACCTGCCCCTGCGCGACCGATCCAATAGCTATTCAACGATGCCACATGAGGAAGAGACCCATGGAATGTTTAAGCAGCCGGAGCAACCTGAAGCGCAGATGTACTTCCCACCACCACCCCAAGCGGCGACAAAGGGCAAAGCATAGAATGTAAACGAGATGGCCGTTCCATCTACCGCCAACACTTTATATCCTATACCTAAAATAGTCTCACCCCGGCATATTCCACTCTGTTGTGTTTCGGCAGAGAGCCTTTTTTCAGTTTTCTATATACCCCATATATACATGTGTGTTTCTTTGATTGAGCTTTTGACGTCGCAATCACTATGTTCCGTCTTATGGTTATTTCCTATTTTCCCGGGCACTTTCTCCCCTGGTCGATTGCTTAATATGTCATTTCCAAACTCTACTAGCGGCGAATCTATTTATTTTCCATGGAAATGTACTCTGGATTAGTGGGAGCGATACTCGAAACTTTAGTCCTAATCAAATATTTCCTTTATATAGATATCTGCTACTTATCCGGCAGTGGCTGCGTAGTAAACATTTAGATACTTTCCTTTGAAATGAAACTAAGAAGGGGATGTTGTTAGATTGAACGAAAAAAACATACATATGTATCCCAGCTCAAGCAACAATAGTTGAGTTAGGCCATCAAGCCCCATTCTTTGGATCAGCAAATATGTTATGCAAAATCTGGCACCGACGATTGACTTCCCATGGATCTTTTTCCTTTTTCCATCCGTCAAGGGTAACATTGAAGATAGATTCACCATTCCCATATGTCGGAAAGTCTATAAGGCTAGGAAATTTTCTTAAATTCTTTCCGCCGGTAATATATCGCCGCACATGTTCTTGGAATCCCCTTGCGAGGTCAACATCAGTGACCGGAGTTGTGGTATTATCTTGGTAAAAATAATCTAATGAATATTGGATTAGTTTCTGGCTTCGGCGTATTTGGAAGGAAGTAATGTTGGAACATGGACCACAGGGCCATAGGACAAAAAGGCTTTATGCCCCGTGTCCATAACGGAACATGAGCCTACAGACACAAGAGGATGACTAGTTAATCCTGACAAGTAATACTCACAACTTTGGTCTAGCGCATGAATTGCTGGTGGAACAGACATAACATATCTCTGGGCCTTGGGAGCATATGCCTTTGCGGTATAATATGCGTTGCAGGCGTATGTTATATCAGTCACCCAATCCCAGCCCAGTTTAGCAGGGAGATCCGCAGGGTATGTATAGAGTGACTGTATCTTCTGGATCGTCTCGTCAGAGGCATGAGGAATTGTTCCACGAACTAGATAAGGGAATATCTCTGGCATATGGTCTGGCGGTGCCTGCCCTAGACCTTCAAGGGCCATATTGCTAGCCGCAATTCGTGAAACCCTCCTGTTATAGACTCCTCTTTGTAAGACTGTCAAAACAAGATCAGTGATATAATCACCATCCACGACGGGTGTAAATCCAGGACCAGGGCCTAAGGCACCAGTCTTGCCGTCTGTTACATTGACGAGGAGGTATTCGTTTGCTTTAAATAGGTCCTCCTCTGACAGCTTCCTCAGGCAGTCAGCAGAATCACAGTTCGATGCCTTGAGAACAGAGTCGAAAACCGCCTGCCGGCGACTTGGATCTTTGCGCGGCCAGATAGCTGGGGATGCGATGAATGCCTGTGCCTTGATTTAGTTGAATGATCATACATCTATATATTTCTACCAAAAAAATACCTTATCGAAGGGAAGATCTTCTTTGCCGTCTTTGGCAATAAGTAAAAGATCCAGCATCCCGGCACCGGCACTCTCTCCGAACGCTGTGATTCTTCGCGGATCACCACCGAACTTTGATATGTATTTACGGGTCCATTGCAGTGCTGCTAGTGTGTCATGCAGCCCGACATTGGCTTCTGTATCTTCGGATGGAGAGGAACTCCAACCGTATAGCCCCATTCTAGGAAAGTGACTTAGAAAATATAGTCATTGAAAAGTTATAGCTAACATACCTGTAGTTACTTGCAACGTAAATGAACTTCTGGGTCGCGGGGTCCATGTCCTCGAAGAGACCGCTTCCATCTCCACTGATCTTGTGGAGGTCCTTGCTTCCATAGGCATATCCACTGCCGTGAATCCAGTGAACCACTGGAACACTATCACCCTCCTTAACCCCTTCAGGAACCCTAACGTTGAGGAACAAGCAGTCCTCCTGTCCCCACGATCTTGACGGGAGGCCCTGTGGCGGAAATATGTTGGGAATAGCGCTTACACAGTCTGTTGCAAACATGGGAGCAGAACCGTTCTTGACCCCATGCTCTCTTGGTGGAGGAGTTTTCGGGCGCCTGAATCTCAAGGCTCCGACGGGGGGCTGAGCAAACCGGATGTTGTTGTAGTTTGCATACTTGAGGCCGTTGGAGGTCACATTGATGTATGTTGCAACATGGGTGGCATATCCCAGGTTTACTGGGGGGAAAGAAGCAACATCTTGGTGCGGATATCCAGCTGTGGCTGGAAGGTAGAGGATAGCGAGTGACAAAACACAGCTTGCGCTTGGAATCAACATCTTGCTCGAGCTTGGATATTTGTAATAGCAGTAGAGAAGTTATATGCAGGAAAGAGAGGAGATTGCCATATATATAGCTGGCCCTCCCATCCTGGGTATCATATATATCCATGCTCTCCGTAGCGATGCGAAAGGGGATCTAGCCTTGCCCACAGCATCCCCCATGCTAGTCTGCGTGGCTGTGGACCGCGCGGTTGATACGAAGGAAAGGATCAAAATCACGTATTGAACCGCCAGGAGGGTTTCTCGAGATGTTTCCACAGCAATTATAGGGATGCGGAATGGCCGGATATAACATTTTTGGGGCTGTCATCAGGCGTATCCCAACTTTGTAGCCTGGAGTCACTCCCAGAGTTCGGGGTGAAGATGACACGACAGAGCCAGGGACGATTCTCAGGAGACATGGTAGCTAAACAAAATTCTATTTTTGGATCTGGTTTGGTTTGATATGGAGAAGGGCTGTAGTTGTTTGTTGAACTGTTGAACTAATCATTGTGAACGAAGGTTGTCTGTAGAAAGCTGGCGGAATACGAGAACTGGTGAATCCACAGCAACAGCTAGTTAGTTAACGTTAGTTAACCAGATAGCACAATATAGCCAACGGCTGCACGAGTTTATTGTCGATTCAAATATTTAATTACCGGACTTACTCGCGGTGCTGCTAGTAACCAAGTCCTCTTTACATTCACTCTCAGGAGTTGAACTTATTGCTGTCTGCTTTTGACAGAGAACCTATACGGTTCGTTGAGTTGAAGTTATGAGCATTTGAACAGTCGACATAGCCTCAAAGGATTGGCTATGAAGCTACAAGTAATCAGACAAGAGACACAGGTTTGGCACTGGAGACTAGGCAGTGCAGTATCAAGTCCTGGGCGGCCCAATAGAGGTATTATAAATAGTACTTCTTATACACACATTAGTTAAGGACATGCTCTTCCTTCTTTAGCCCACGGCCTGGCTTCTCCCCCTTAAACCTGCTCTCCCCTAGCTTACTCTCTCCTTAGAGGCTATTCCCTAGCTCAAGCACTTCTTCATGCCAATGGGATCAAGGCATCTACAACGTCCAGGGGAAAGCATATAGAAAACAAGCCAATATTATCGGTATTGAACCAGCTGACAACTGGGCAGAAGTGGATAATGTTTGGTTAGAGAACTATGTTCAGGCATGGCTAGCAGGTAGTCGTTAGGCTAAACGGAAATACGTATACGCAAATATATGCAAACCAACAAGATACAACAAAAAGAAATCGAGACAAGCTTGAACGCAAGAGCCTTAAGAACCGAGGGGATATCATAACCCGTTGTCCACCGTTTGGAGAGGTACATAGCCTTCTTCTTCGGTGGGTGTCCTTCCTCTTCCAAAAGCTCGCGATATATATTGGAAGGCACCGGCCAAATTATTCTCAGCAGGGGATACCGGAGATGCGAAAGGAGATTTCTTCCACCACTTCCCAACTTTCCCGTACGCCTGGCCAGTGGAATCTATCAAACCTTCATCAACTTCTCTCTCCAAGCGTTCAATCTTAAGCCAGCTAGGTCGTCTCCAGAACTTTAGAAGCAAGCTGCTAACAACCACGCTGACACTCGAAGCTGCCATAGCCGCACCGGCAGCCATGGGATGGAGAGACACACCACCGAAGGGCAAGAAAAGCCCCATTGCGAATGGTATACCGATAGCATTATACACGCAAGCCCAAAGGAGGTTGAGCTTGATACGGTTGAAGATGGATATTGACAGACAGAGACTTGCGGGTACTGAAAGTAGATCCTCTGGCCGCATAAGCACAATGTCGGCTGCCTCCATGGCAACTTCTGTACCGGACGAGAGAGCGATCCCGACTGAGGCAGTGGCCAGAGCAGGCGAGTCGTTGATGCCGTCTCCAACCATAGCAATAGGGTATTCAGGGGTTTGAAGTTTGCTTATAATAGCCTGTTTCTCTAGAGGGCTGATGGAAGCATGGATTGAGCCCGATGGGATACCAACTTCATTGGCAACAGCGAGTGCAGTATTGTAAGTGTCTCCTGTTACAAGGGAGGTCGTAAGGCCCATGCGGTGAAGAGCTGCAATAGCGGCTTTCGCAGAAGGCTTGATAGAATCCTGTATCCAGAGCGTTCCAGAGTACTGGCCATTGATGGCAACATGGATTACTGTTGCTGTCTTCAGTGCCTCTGATTTTGATTTTTGTTTTTTAACATCTGAATCGGAGGAGTCTGGAATTTTGATTCCCTTAGAGCGCATAAAAACGGCGTTTCCAATGTGGCTTGTATATCGTTGGCGTTCAGGGCCAGAGGTAGGCTCAACGGTGGCAGAGACACCCTTACCAACTATAGCTTCAAAATCAACCACAGCACCATTAAGGGGGCCATCGTCTGAAACTCCTGATTCAGACTTGGCTTTTGAAACTATGGTTTTGCCAATAGGGTGTTCACTCGTCATTTCGGTCAATCCTACAATAAGCCACCATAACTGGCGTCGCCATTCGTTTGTAGACCATGTAGGTTCCATTTTGGCCTCTGCAACACTTGTCTTCCCCATAGTTACGGTTCCAGTCTTATCAAATATAACGTGTTTGATTTTTGTGGCCGCTTCCAGCGCTGCGCCACCCTTGACTAGGATACCATGTTCAGCTCCAACGCCAGTTCCAACCATGACCGCAGTTGGAGTACTGAGACCGAGCGCACAGGGGCATGCAAAGACAATGACGGATATACAGATCTTTAAACATACCATCAATGTTCCCCCACTACCTTCGACCAGGAAGATTTTGGGTGGGTGAGGGAGGAGGTGGCTCAGTATCATCCATCCGATAAACGTCACGAAGCCCAGGGTAATAATTGTGGGGACAAAGTACCCGGCAACGGTATCTGCCATTCTCTGTATGGGAGCACGATTCGTCTGTGCCTCTTGAACCAGCTTGACAATTTGGCTCAATTGGGTATCTCGACCAGCTCTTGTTACCTGAAAATCTGCCCATCCGGTACCGTTGACTGTGCCGGCGATTACATGGTGACCTGTAGTTTTGATAATAGGAATGGCTTCACCTGTCACCATGCTCTCATCGACATACATCTCACCACGAATGACGACGCCATCAGCGGCTATCTTATCACCTGGACGGATGCATACGATATCGCCAACCTGTATGAGCTCGGTAGGTATTATCTTTTGGCCGGAGTGAATGGCTGCTGAAGTTATATCGGGCTTATCCGCCGACATGGAATTACATGATTTCTTCCAACTCTCTGCCGCCTTCTCCGCAGCAACAGGGTCATCATAGATTGTTGCCATCGAAGGGGTAAGAGACATGAGCCGTGAGAGGGCGCGTGAGGTGTGCCCCTTAGCTCTGTTTTCCAGCCATCGTCCCAGAGTGATAAATGTAATAAGCATCGTGCTGGTTTCAAAAACAGTGCTAGGCTTGCTATGTGGTGATAGAAGCACAGAAACGAGCATTGCTAAGATACTGAAAGAAAAGGCGAGTGAGGTGCTAAGCATGATCAGAACATCCATGGTCGGCGAACGGTGCCTTAGCGACTTAAAAGCTGCCCGATAGAATCGCAGACCAATGCCGAATTGGACGGGTATCGTAAGGAACATACAGGCGACATCTCCAAGGAATAATCCGGGAATTAGTTCCACACTACCAAAGTCAAGGAAGTGTAGATACATGGGGAATATCATGCTTATTAACATGACTGGTATGGCGAATGACAATGAAAGGAGAAAGGCCCTTCTCCATTCATGTATCTCCCTTGTCTTTGCGAGGGACTCAAGTTGGGCGTTGTTATCATCGGATTCTGTAAGTAGAGCATTGTAGCCGGCGTCCTCAAACACTTTGGCTACAGCCCGGATCCCTACTTGCGAGGGATTGAAGGACACCGAAGCTTGTGAACTTGAGAGCCGAACGCTAGCAGACAAAATGCCTGGCGTGTTGAGGAGAATATCCTCCAAGGCTGCTGCCGAAGCGGCGTCGGTAAGCCCGTATACGTTAAAGTTGAGAGGCGTAGAAGACGTTGAATTGATGGAGGTGTCTGACTCAGAGAACAGAATTCGCGCGTCAAATCCTGCATCCTCGATAGCCTCCGATATTTTCAATGCTGGGAGAATGGATGGGTCATGTACTATGACCGCACGCTCTGCTAGCAGGCTTATGTTGAAACGGATTAGACCAGGCAGCCCTGCTACAGCATTCTCTACGGCAGAGGTACAGGCACCACATGTCATTCCTTCAATAGACACTGTAGACTTCATTTGCGCAGACGATTTCACAGATAGCATGGCTCTAGCGGAGTCCGGATCGGAGGTTTTAGATTCTATGACGCTTGCATCAAAACCTCGATCCTCAATAATCTCTGCGATCTGTTCCACCGTGATAATCGAGGGGTCATGCACAACAACAGCCCTTTCTGAGAGTAGAGATACTGTCGCCGATTCGACTCCTGGGACATCAGTGAACCCTCCCTCGACAGCGGACGTACAAGCACCACAGGTCATTCCTTGAACAGAAAGGGTTGTCGTGCACTGTGATGGTATAGATTCCTTTGTTGGCTTGCCATTTTCTTTTCTGGGTATATTCGTACTCAAAACCTCAGCATCGAAACCGCGATCTTCGATTATCTCCGCAGCCTTCTCGGCAGATAGAACTTCTGGATCGTGTTGTACCACCGCCCTTCCCATCATCAAACTGACCGAGACCTCCCCGGCTCCGTCAACCCCCTGAAATGCCGATTCTACCGCCGATGTACAAGCGCCGCATGTCATTCCATCAACTTTGATGGTGGTGGTTGTCATATGGGCTGCTTCGGCGGGCACTGACGGTGTACCGCTGCCTGGTGCAGGCGGTATAGATGGTGCCATGGTTTGCAAGGTCGCGGATAATGCCTAACTCAGGTTCATAGGGAGAAATGCTGAAAGAGTTAGGCTGGAGGAAGCAGCCGGATCGTTTACGGAGCGTTAAGAGGTATGGGACCAGCCAACCGCCGAAAGTGTGGTCGTCCGGATCAACCAGAGACACCAGTGATTGTTGTATGTAGAAGCGGAGGAGAGAAGGGGATCGACTCAATATCCTCAGATATCATGCGAATAGCGTGCCATGACTGCGCAAGGAAGACAAGCAAAACGCCCGAAATAAAAAGGTGAAGTCGCTGGCTGGCCTTGCGAAGAGGAAGCGCGGCGCAGTTTTAATTCACATCAATGACGAGAGCGACTGCTGACTCAGCATCCGGACTGCCTTTGTTCTTTTTTTTCTTTTTGACTGCCGAGATGCAGAACTGCGGTACAACGCTCAAGGTTTGATCCCGGGAGGAAGAAGAAAAGAGGAGACGATGTTGATGGCGCCGGGCGGGCCGGAAGAGGCGGACGAAGGACAGCGACAGGTCATCGCACCTCATCTCTGATCCCACACACTTCACCCTCACCTTGTCTCGAATTCGGCGCCCGAGAAGGCCAAGTCGCAAGCCCAGAGGACGACTGATGGAACAGGGGGCAGCCAGCGAGAAGACCCCAGTCTGGCCCTTGATTGGGCATCGTCCAGCCAGCTCAGGCAATTCCTTAACTGCGAGCCGTGTAGGGAGTGATACGAGGAACAGAGTTAGGACAGGATGCTGCCCTCTGGCCGGGATTTTTGGGTGGCTGCTAGATGGAAACTGCTCTGGGGGGCTTTGCTTCCCTCGCACTACTCTGCAGCCGTGCCAACGTCGCCCTTTATTTGACCGTTGGCTGTCTCGATGGGCCCTCAGCGTTCAAAATAACATATCACTGCTCAAGGTGAAGCGCTGTTTGATCTGCACCGGACGTTTTAGTTATCCATAGTTATATTAGTAAGCGCCGAAAATAAGATCTTACAGAGTTCTCCATAATGGAATATGGAGGATTGATAACGACGATAAGAGTCGGTTAACTGCTCGTACGGAGAATCTCTTAGAATGATAATGAGGGTAGCGCCATCCTTCATCCCTCAAATAGAGTACTCCGTACTCCGTATTCCGTACTAATAGTAATACTTCGTTCCAACTCAGTACAGCCACGATATCCCGATAGACCCGGACACAGCCAGTGGGGTCCAACCTACGAAGTGCCTAGCTCCCCATGTTTCCACTGGGCCATTTTTTGAAGAGCTGCATGTCCGCCACTTGTACTCCGTAGGGTAGGACTCGATGCTTAAAGGAAGAGAATGAACGCTGTAGATAGATGTGCTCGGCATCGATATCATAGGGGTTTACATAGAATTTCGGATTCCAGTTGGTCGATAAATGCTTGTTTCGGGCCAATCAGAAGCGGGAATAAAGATAGATTCCAGCCACTCAGATTAGTCAAAGTGGGTCTATGGAGACTGACATATCACGTGATGCGTCCAGAGCTCCCGCCGTGACTTCATAAGACCAAGAGCAAGATGAGCATATACAACAACCTGAACTGCTTCACTTGATAGCGAGCGAATAGCAGATTTCCCGGTGACTGCGAGCGTGGTTGTATCCGTGTTTCTGGCAGCAATTAGTACACGCATCAAGAACTGTGCGTCTCCTTCTGGCGGGCTGATTTTTACTATCATTCTATACGCTATTTTAAATCAACCATGGATCAGTCACAGAAGCAGGCGCTGGAAGCATTGCAGCCGTTTATTCATCTCGCAAATTCATCAACCACTCACAGCGCGCGGTTTATTGCTAATATCATTACAAATGCTACGTCTGCCCCGAATACCTTCATCTTCGCCGAGTTGCTCGAGACCCAAGCAGTTCAATCATTGGCACGCCCAGATACACCAGAGGAATATCGGTCTTATTTAAAATTACTGGAGATATTTGCTTGGGGCTCATGGGAAGAATACCATGGTGAGATTCTTCTGAACAAATGATACATAAGCCTTCATCCATCCTATAAACACCTGCTAACAGACAGTCTCAAGCAACCCCAAATCTCCCCGCCCTCAGCGAAGCCCAGGCACTCAAACTCCGACTTCTATCTCTCCTCGCCCTCTCTACAACCCATAACCCGCTCACATATCCCATTGTGATGAAATCTCTCTCCCTAAAAGATCATGTGGAGCTTGAATCTCTCGTGACAAAAGCCATATACTCATCTCTTATCACTGCTCGCCTATCACCAACAACAACACCTCCAACCATCAATGTCATTTCAGTGGCCCCTCTCCGCGACGTTCGCCCCCAAGCGGTTGGTGGGATGATATCAATCCTTACAGAGTGGCATGAAAGATGTCAGAAAGCGGTTGAAGGCATTGAGAGCGAGATTAACACAATAAAAGCTGATGCTGCCAGAAGGCGGGCAATGGAGAAGGATCGAGCCTATCGTTTTGAAAAGAGTGAAGGGGGCTGGCACGGGGATGATGATAAAGAAGGCGAGGGAGGGATTGCCTCAAAAGAATCGCGATCTCGAATGTCCTTTAGCAAAGAGGGCTCGCTTGGTGGGACCGCGGCTAATGCTGCAAGACGGCTCTTTGGGGGTGGCAGTTCTTCAAAAGGAAATAAGCGGGAATTCCATGCTACAGGAGGTTATTCGGGTAATGGCCAGGATAGCATGGAAGTAGACCCATCAACCCTTCCGAGATCTATGAAAGTTAAGCTTGAGGCACAGGACGTTTGCTAGATGAACATATTCCGAAACCAGCCATTGGATGATACCGGTATACACTGTTATACACGAGAAATAGAAATAATGACAACGAATACTTTGAATCCCAGCATGTAACTATAGAGTATAAACATTATGTAAAAGGCAGAGACGATAAACTCGAACAAGTCGTAAAAATAATGCACGAAAAAAAAAAAAGAAAGAAAGAAAGAAAAAAAGAAAGAAAGAAAGAAAGAAAGAAAGAAAGAAAAGAAAAGAAAAGAAAAAGAGAAAGAGAAAAGGATACTCCGTACTAAAAAGAGAGAGCGAACAAGAAGGAAAAATAAGAGCAACAACGTGATTTTGGAGGCATGGAAAAGGAGAACGTAGGAAATAGGAGACGCAAAGAGAAATGAGAATCAGAGGAGGGTGGGGACATTATTAAGGGTATCTCAGAGGAGCTCGGATGAAGTTGATGATACTGGGGTAAGCTGAGCAAATATGTAAAATCAAATCATCGCCAGCCACCCAGATAGAAAAGAGTATTTTGCTGCCGTTGTGGCAACATGAGATATCATAAAAACGTAAACGCTAAGGAAACACCATACCTTGCGCCAATGCTGGAGAGGAGAAACGAACATAAATGAAGCCAGTGACAAGACAAATGAGATAATGGATGGAAAGGGAAAACAATGACCGTTGTACCTCCGTAAGTTTAGGAAATCACGAAAGGCTACCACAGGAACGCCGTAGCCGGAGGAAAGATATCAAGGAAAGGCAAGGCAGATACACCAACGGAGAGGGTCGAGAGCCTCTACAGGCGGGTTCCTGGAACGAGGATGAAGAGCAGACAAAGCGCAAGGGCAATGACTACAGCAAGGAGTAAGGAGACCGAGGCTCGCTTGACGAGGAGAGCACGGACATATGGCTCTCTGATGCGTGTCCAGTTCATGAATGTGTACTCGCTTAGTCCAGCGAGCGCAAGAATTGGGTCGATCTTGTACTGGTAGGATGAAAGAAAGTATGCAGCGATTGAGAATGGAAGGATTACCTAGAAAATAAAAAATTAGTAAACAAATTTACCGTGGAATATGAACGTCATTGAAACGTACCCAACAACGAGTGTTTCGTGGGGTATCAGTCAAGATAACAAAGAATCCAGCCCAGAATCCAGCACCAAAGCTGACAAGAGCAATGACTAGACGAGCAAGGATGCTAGGTGGGACCAAGTTGCCGAGTGCCTTAGCCTGAAGGAAGCCAGGGAAAGCATCTCTTTCCATGGCCTGGAAGACGTAATCCTTTGCAGTATCAAAGACTTCGGGGTCATCCCTGCCTTCTTCCTCTATCATATGAACAATATCGTTGACAATACTGTCTGGTAGAACAACCTCGCGCTCAGAACCAGGAAGCAAGTAAGTGTAGAGGATCCTGACAGCACTTGCACGGATATCTGAGCGGGTAACTGTATGGCCTGGAGAGCTTGTCTCGTTGCCGTTGCCATTGCCATTCCCATTGGCATAAGGGTTGCCGTTCAAAGCATTACTGACGCGTCGACCATGGCCAGGAAAAGAGCCTTGTCTTCTCGAATATTCAGACTCCTCGCTGTTTCTGATGGAAGCTGGGCCCTCAGAGCGCAGGAAAGCCGACAGTCGCTGGTCAGAGTCCTCGAGTTCACCGTTGCCATGGCTACGCCCATTGGCGGCACCATTTGCGAAATCTCCGTCGCCTGGAAGGGCACCCCGGTGTCGCTGGGAAGCAGTAGAAGGCCGGCTATCGAATTTCTCGGGTTCTGGGGTCTCGAGGAGGACAGAGCGGCGTAGTTCACGTACGTAGTGACGGCACAGAGACATGTGCTGAGAGACATCAAGCCTGCCAGGGTTCGAGTAGTCATTAGCACCATCGCTCGCACAGCAGAGTCAACAAAGCAGAATAACAAACGAAAAACATACCAGAAATCGAGATAGTCCACAGAGCATTGCTGGTCTCTCATGTAGATGTAGAATGAAAACAGATCAACAGGTGCAAGAGTCCGTCTCCCCAGGACTTCCAGCAGGGTTGGAAGTCTGTTGCGGTACTCATTTTCCAGGAGAGATGGCGCCGACATGACTGCCTAGTACTGAACAGGTCAAAGGGATCCTAGTAAACGGAGTAGAACAGGCTGGATATCTCCAGTCAGGGTGTGAGCCTGTGCAAGATGGGTCTCTTAAGCGATATAAGTTCACGGTGTCTGTGATGAGAATCACACCGGCTGCCAACGGTGAAAATAGCACAGGACAAGAGGGGAGACTGCTCAGGCTCAGGGGGCGCAAGAAAGAGGCCAGAAAAAAGAGAGACAGCCTGCGAGGAGAAAGAAGAACAGCCACCCTCCTAGTTAGAGCAGACAAGCATGTCCTCGCACAGTGAAGCAGCAGAAGCCTGTGAGTATCAGGAGAGTTGCTCCCCTTGCCTGCGAGCGTTGTGGCTTAAAGGAGGTGGACGTCCTGATTGGGCAATCTCGCATTATCTTTCTTCCGCTCAACTAAAATTTTAAACGCTCGGGCCAGTCAGGGGCAAACCAGAGAAAAAGAAAAGAACCATGGATGAGGTGAACCTAAGTACAGCTGGCTGTGACAAAAAGTATATAGAAGATAAAATGTGATAGTGTGACAAGTATGACAAGGGGGTATTGTTGGAGCCCATGGACTCGAGAAAATCGACGGGCGTTATTTGCTCGTACTTAGAAAAAAGATAGCCCAATATCTGCCGCTCATAATAAATCATGCCTTCCTACTCCGCCCTCCCCCCAAAAAAAAACTCCATGAAATCAGGGATGCAAGTTGCTTAGAATTTTACTCTGTACATTAATCATCAAGGTGTTGGTAGGATCAATCAGCCAGATGCTAGGTTGCGTTAGTATAATTTTGCGTTTGTTGTTAGGAATAGGATCAGGGTTACTGTATACGTACCGACCACTCTGGGATATTTCTGATCTGTTGCCACATGAACTTTTCCAGTTTATTCGCACTCTTCGCATAGGGCGTGCTCTCGTTGTTGTATTTGCGGCAGTTGTCGAATATCAGCTTTGCATCCTTGATGAAGTCTTGTGGAGTAGGGTACATGTCCTTTTCGTGCTTCTCTTCCATTGTTGAAAGGTCCATGGGCTCTGTGATGACCTCATAGTAATCTGGAACTTCATCCCGGTTGACAGGCTGAGCAAAGGGCCACGCTGCACTATGGTTCTGCATGTCGTTGAGGAGATGTAGGAGTTGGTTGTAATTAGGGCCGTGTCTTGGCTGGCGGGCGAGCTCGTCCATATCTGGTGACCATCCAGACTCCTTAATAGCCGGGATGCTTAAAGGATCGATCTCCACTACCCCGTTCTTCCATTCCTTGGGCGGTTGGTGAACAATATGTGACTTGCTAAAGGCGCGGATCTTGGCGTACACGGCCTCTTTCTGCTTAAGCACCATACGACCGGCTTCTAGATAGCGTATCTTAGGAAGCATAGAGCACTGCATAATGGTACCTCCTTCGTAATCCTTTATATATCCCATCCATATGGACTTTTCAAGGCTGATCTCTTTGGTGAAGCCCTGCTTCTTGAAGTAGCCAATTGCATAGTTATCCGCATAGGTTAGGAAGTGCATTACGTCTGAGGTCGCCTTAACATAATCCTATTAATCAACACAGTTTAGCACTGATCCATAAAATCACTGGGTGGAAATAGATAGATTGTACCCACTTTCAGATGAGACATGAGGTGTGCTCCATACCCCTTAACCTGCTGGTCTGACGAAATAGCACAGAACACAATCTCAGCGAACTTGCGTCCGTGGAATGGCCGGTAGGTTATTCCACTACAACCGGTATCAGCCTTCGCCACTGTCACTCCATCCAATCCCAAAACACACTTACCCAACAACTTCCAATGGGTGCTTGACAATAGCAATAGACAAATGCGTTCGGTCGTAGACAAGCCGGGCTATATAATCCTTGGGCATCTTAGGGAGTTGTTTCTGGAATATGCATTTGAGGCCTGTGAGGATGATGAAGCTCTCCCGGGACGAGTCATTGTTAACGACACGGAATTCGATCTTTCCTTCTCTCTCTTCTAAAACAGCAGGCTATAAACAATACGTAAAAACTCAAGTCAGCCATAGGGTTCTGCCAAAAGCCGGTAACTCATTAGGTCATGACAGACCTTCTCGGCGTATGGAACGAGCTTCACTTTCTCTGCATCTGTCTCCTCCTAGTAATTAGTTAGCTCATGATCTTTCATATAGGGTTGTTGCGCTCTATTTGTCAGACGTTGCACACCTGGTCGTGTGTTTCTGGAGATTCCGTCCTGGCTTTCTTGATGTTCGCCTTGGAGTCCGGTGTGGTGGCTTCCTCCGAAGCCTTTCGCTTTGCGCCTAAGAAATTGAAAAGGATGTCAGTCGACCATATTGATATGAACATAGCATTGGGAAACCCACGATCAACTACCACTGGCGCCATGTTTTGGAATTTTGCGAATCTGCGGCTTCCCACCAGCTACAGCATCCTGCGATGTCGTCAGTCGCAGAGCTGCAGGTCCGCGCGCCAAGTGCGGGTGGCGCCTCTCGGCTAATAGTTTATCCGCAACTCCCTCGCGCTAACCTAATCTAGCAAACCTACTAGCTGTCAAGACTCTTAAATCAACATCAAAAGCCAACGTCTACAAAGACCAACGATAGATCCAGCCAGCGGTGCGACAGATAAAGGCAGCAATTGATAATTTAATACTTCCTCTGTGCCCAAACTCTCCATTGTAGCCCTGATGTCTTTGGAGGAGGTCTGGCGCTCTGCAGCTGGGAGCCCTTATCATTCAACCGTACCGACTAATTCCCAACTTCTTCCAGCTATATTACTTTTGTTAGCAGGTATGCTGTGCCCAATTGACTTACTTATACGCATCAAAACTTTATAATCCGCTAATATCTGAATAGGCTTTGTTTTTACTGGAATTTTCGCTTTAAGTATGGCCATTCCCAGCTAACGTTAGCGAATCCTTCTAACAATTTCTAGATCGCTCCGCTCTAAACATCGCTCTCTTGGGAGTTCCAGCTTCATTAGCGTTTGGGTAAGTGATCCTAGCATTGTTAATGAAATCTGAGCACTATCGCTCTAACTACCGTAGATTCGGGTCGGTCTTCATGATCTGCGCAGTGGGGGTGTATGTTTAATAACGTGCCCGCCTCCATTATATGATAATTATCACTCTGTTTCTGCTAGTCATGTTTTGTATTTGGAGTCTTTCTTTCATTTGATTTTTTAAAGATTCCTCAGCTTGTTTACATTACCGCGCCCAACTCAATAGTCGGCATCAACGAGCTGCGTTTGTCTTCCTCAATAGGCCACTGCAATCACGATGGATTTCACTCCTGTGCTTTCTGCCGTCTCAACATCTACAGACCAGCTCTATACCCTCCTTAAATGCATTGGCTTTTCTCGCCAGGCATCCGTTCAAATAACTCCTCAGGGAATTCGGTTCTCGGTCGAGGAGGGGAGAGTAGTTCAAGGACTTGCTTTTCTGGACAAAGCACTCTTCACGAGCTACATTTTCAACGTTCGGAATGTGCACGACGGTGTTACTCAACCCGAAGAAGACGGCGACTTCTTTGATACATCACTATATCCCAGGTTCACCATCTCTCTCTCTGCTCTCCTCGAAACATTGCAGATATTCGGAATTAGCGACTCCTTACAGAGACCAAATCAAATGACCAATCTTGAAAATACTCAAAGCATGCATGCCTTTTCAACCCCTGCTCTAGGAATGAACCGCTCTTGTACCATCGGCTACCGCCGAAAGGGATCTCCACTTTGCATAACCCTAGCTGAAGCTGGCGTCACCACTACATGCGAGTTAACTACCTATGAGGTCGAGGACTCCTCCCAGGACTCTACACCGGGAGAATTTGATATCCCACTCCAACGTGATGCTATAGTCTTCAAAATAATTATGCGCTCTACATGGCTTCATAACGCAATCATTGAGTTGGACTCAACATCACCTACCGTTCTATCGCTCTCGGCATCCCCGAATAAGGCACCATTTTTCGCATTATCTGTATCCGGCGGTCCGTTCAGTGAATCAACTGTTGAATTTGCAATCGATCAGGAATCAGATGGAGTTGACCCGGCATACAAATCATTCAATGAGGATGGAAGCTCCAGGCAGCCCAAGAGAAACAAGCTTGCACCGACCGTCACTGAAACCTTCTTGGTCGAACCCCCTTCGTCAAAATCCCGGATAACGCAACGGTATAGGTTTTCGCTTCTGAAAAAGGCGCTTGGGGCGATGAGTGCATCCAGCAAAGTAAGCATACGTGGAGATAAGCAAGGTGTCTTAAGCCTTCAATTCATGATTGAGCTCAACGATAATGCTAGCACTGATGCATCTGGCCCTTCCACTCAAAGTGCTTCTCGAACAGCCACGGGCAATGTTAGTTTTATTGATTTTCGTTTCGTGCCACTAATTGATGAGGAGGATATAGTTGAAGACTTAGGGGATGGTCTATAAGCGAATGCACGCAGTAATATTTAGACCTAAATCAAGTGGTACCGTTTACCTTCCTATCATTGGCGCTTCAGCCATTTATTTCACATAGCTATCAAAATGCACTTTTTCTTTTTTACGTTTGTCGGCAGCACCCAGTAGGCCAGCATTGTAGGTATGAAGATTACGCTTTCGACCAATTTTAGACAAGGCGAAGGCCAAGATTGACTGTAGTGTTAAAGTCCCATTTATATATTCAGTACTCCAGAGCCAGCTAACAGACGTCACACGAAACCATTCTCAGTAGTGAAAGATCACGGTATCAAAATAACGCATCAGTTAGCTCGTCACATCACCTAGCGAAGCGAGGGGGAAATATTAGTTTCAGCTTGTAAATATGGTGCATTAAAAAGGATTGTGTACAAACCTCTGCAATAGATTGTCTCTCAATGATAGATTTCTGGCGCTCATTTCGTGATACCCTGTAATAGTAATCACAGAAATCACCGCACTGCATGCTTCGAAGAAACTCCTCATCGTGAGTGATGACGATTAACTGGAAGTTTGCCTGCTGCTGACGGGCTCTGATAATTTCGTGCAAGGACTCAGCAAGAGAGCGGATATTATCACGATCAAGGTTGGTAGTTGGTTCGTCAAGCGCAATCAGGCCGCAATTAACACCAAAACATTCAGCCAATGCTAGTCGAATAATAATACTAGCCAGAACCTTCTGACCAGCACTGCAACGCCCTCTCATGTCCATCTCAGCATCCTGTTTGACCATACAAACACGGTAGTTGTAGGATCTGTTCCCTCTTGCACTTTCATTATCAGACCGGATCAAGATGGTATCAACATCCGTTCCCCTGTAAGTCTTTTGCCATAGCTCCCCGATGATACGATTAATTTCTTCCATCTTAAGGCCATGATATTTCATTATGGCCTTGTCTAGAGCTCCCCCGTATCTTCCAAGATCCTCCACTGCAGCTTTGGTGGTTTCAACCTTTATGTGAGCTTCCTTGAATTTAGCTCCAGCGTCCTTGTAGTCCGTATTCCAGTCTGCAAGAAGCTGCATCAATTGATCATCCTTTGATTTCATTTCACCCATTTTGCTCGCCTGCTTCGCTGCAAGGGCGTTGTGTTCCCTAGTGTTTCGTTCAGATTCTTCCTTGAATCTACTCCGATCCACCTCCGCATTTTGGGACTCGAGATCTGCTATCTCGCGGTTCACATTGATAAGAGCCTTAGATTCCTGACGATATCGAAGATTATCCGAGTATTGGCGTTTAGTACTCTCACTATCCTTTAGGCGGGTAGAGATATTGTTGAGTTCACGTGTGAGATCCGTCTGCTCGGCTTCTAAAGTTTTGATCTCGTCTAATATGTTCTGCAGCTCACGCTTGCTACGTTCTAGCTGAGCGGGGCCCCCTCTTTCAATATAATTTGTGATATCTTCACTGGCAAGGTCCAGCTGATGCAGACTATCATTTAGTCCAGAAACCTCTTGTTGCAGTTCCTTTTCTCTTTGCTCACCCCGGGCACTGATATCTTCATACCTTGCTTGGGCTTTGGAAACTTCAGGAACGAGACCCTCGATATCATTGTCAGCATTTTCAATAATTTCTCGCTGCTTCGAGTTTTGATTTCGGTATTCCTCCACCCGAGATACAAGAGTGGCTTTCTTTTCAAGCTCGAAATTGACGTTATCAAGCTCTCTGCGTAGATCACGAAGTTTCAATTCCAATTTCCCAACGTCCACTCGAGATTGATTCAATTCATGAGTCAGTTTACTGGAAATCCGCTTGAGACTGCGAGCTTTTTCACCGAGGGTAGCAATTTCATCTTGAATGTCTTCCAAAGTCCGAGAGGTTCCAGTCTCGTCTTGCTTTGCAGAAAGATCTTGGATCTGAGTTTGGAGTGTCAAAATTTCATTGTTGTATCTCGAGATGGTTGCAACATTCTTCGATAAAGACTCGATGTCTCTTTTAGATTCCACCCTCTGGTCCACAATTCTATCACGTTCTTCCAATTTTGCAAGGACCCCTTCACGTTCAGTCTCTAGACCGGATTGTTCTTTCTTAAGAGCAGGTATATCGGTTCCAGTCAGTCGGATCCATGTCTCATAGAAAGTTCCCACCCCTCGAACATTTTCAAGCTCTGCTTCTCGTGCTTCAATTTCAGCAACCACGTCCTCATCCGTGGCTTTCTTTATTAAGGCTTTCAGTTTGTTTTTAAATATCTGTAGTTCCGACTCTGTCTTAAAAGGGCGAGCACATGTTCGACATACTTTCTTGTCGTTTGCAGCATCTAAACACATGTTTAGGTATTCGCCCAAACCAGCATACTGATCGGCATCTTTCCTAGCCATATCAAGCTCGGTCTGCTTCTGTTTAACGGTATGTGGGTATTCTTCAGGCTCATCTCCAATTGTTTCATTTATCTTCTTCGCTGCATTCTCAACGTCTGCGCTGTGTTGCTGGAGATTTTTCCGCACATTCTTGAGTTTGAAGTCAATGAGTTCAAGTTCTTTACCGGTGCCGTCACGTTCTCGTTCTGCAGCAGTAACTAAGGTAGAGGCCTCTTTGAGTACATCCTGGTATCTTTGTTCAATATTACTTGGACTCCAGGATGAATCAACTAATTTAGAAATCCGGTCTCCGTGGGCACTGGACATGGTCTCAAGGCTGCGTTGTCGATCTTTCAATTCTTTTTTGAGGTGATCTAGTCGGGCCAGGTCACCAGCTTTTTTGGTTCCTTGGATTAACTCAGCGTTTAGCTTGGAGGATTGTTCTTCTAGCAATCGGAGCTCAATATCATTCTTTTGAATGTCACTCTCCCAAGAGGCATTCTTTGCCTTATCCTTTTCCTTTTCCAGATAGTTCTCAGTCTCCTCCATTCTTGCCTCAATTACAGCACGTTTTCCTTCATCAACATCCATCTCATCAATACGGCATTGAATGGTATCTGCCTCTTTATCATTCATGGATATTTGTTTCTTTGCAGCATTTTTCACCTCTTGAAGTGCCGATTTTCGTTGACTGAGCTGATTGAGGAGCGTCTGCGCATCTTTCAGCTGGTTTTGGGCTTCTCGTTTAGCTTTCTCCAGGGCCTGGTTTCGTTCTTTGGTTAATTTTTGAATTCGGTCCATGAAGTCGTTAATCTCCATTTCATCTAAATCACCGTCAAAGCCACGAAAGTTGTTTTGTCGGGCTATATCCTTGATTAGCCTTACTCGCCTCTCCACCTGTCTATCAAACTGAGCTTTATCATTTTCATTCTTCCCGCATTCGGTTTGTTTTAAGCCCAGCTTATGGCGGTTTTGTTCAATGAGTTCTTTCAGATCCATATATTTCTCCTTTAGAGACTCCTCCTGGTTTTGGTATTCTGCTTGTCGTGACTCAAATTGTTCCAACGTTGACCGAAGCCATTCGTCGGATTCATCAACCTCGACAAGATGTTGCTTTAGATTATTGATGCTGGTCTGAATACTCTTGGCTTCAATACGTTTGCCTTCCAATGCACCTAAAATCTCGGCATAGCTTTCAGACTCTTTCCATGCTTTATCCGCAAGATCAGCCACACGTCTCATCTCTTTCGAGAGTTCATGGCTCTCTGCTCTAAGAGCTTCGATTTCTTCTTGGAGTTTGAGAGATCGTTTCTCAGCCTTGGGAGTAGTTTAGTAACGGCACAACACAATGATATTTCAATACAATACTTACACGATCTGCTTTATCTTTGTCATCTCTAGCATGGTTTTCCATAATTTTGTACTTTGCAAGTTCCTCGTTCTGTTTCTTTCGCAATGCTTTGATATTGTCAATGGCCTTGGTATATTTCAAGGCCTCAAATATCTCGTCAAATTTCTTTTTTAACACAGATGGTTCACTCATCGGCCATAAGCTCTCATCTTGATGGCAAAATATGACAGAGTCAAGCACTGCTTTAGAAACGCCTAAGTACTGGGGCATTATTTGATCCAACTCGGCTACACGAGACGAAATTGCTGTTCTTTCACCCTCTTTAATCATCAGGAGTTGACCTTCTAGAGTTTTTTGCTGTCTGGTCAACTTCTTGACAGTGAGCTGAAGGCTTCTTGTGACTACCATTTTGGCAGCCGAGGTGGCCTTGAAAGCCAGCTTAACCTGGGCAAAGACTTCCTTTTCGCCACATAGCTATATAAAAATTTCATGTTATTATTTTTCCCCAAAATCATAGAAGGTTGGAAGAAATACCTTTGGATCATGGATAAACGCGCCACCCTTGCTATTTGGAGGAAGGTCTCCGGTCGTAGCATACTTGAGGCATTCGATAATTGTCTAGCAACAATTAGTTATCAATTAACTCTGGATTTTACCATTTTATCGGGTTAATACCGTCTTCCCTGAGCCATTGTACCCGACAATTAGAGTCAGAGGGGTATGGAACTGTATGGTTTCACTGCGGGTATTGTCGAACGACCGGACCCTGATAGAATTTATCAGTAATGGCATCTTTGCGGTAGAGAATTAGTTCCCATCTTACCCAAGGATGGAGAGTTTGTCAATTTTCGCTATGTCATTAGTTAGCGTATGAACTGAATATATGGCTTCCCCGGCTCATACGTACACCTATACAGCAATCAGTTACAAAGAGCGACAACAGACATAAGGAGAAAGCAAACCGACTTACATTCTGTATTACTGAGCCTTCTGTGGCAAATCGCATAGCTCAGTGTGAACGTTTGATTGACCAGGCAGCTACGCAGCGAGAGCAGCGTTGGAGTTCAAGCAACTCACTAAACGCCCATTACACTAAAAATACACGCGCGCGGCTGAAGCACGTGGTCACGTGCACTTTTAAGTTTATCTCCGTACTTCGGGATCCATGGATTAGGCAACGAAACGCCCACCACAGGATGATATTCGATACCATAATAAATGAAAGGCAATAGTTTCTGTGTTAACTCAGCAAAGCTACAGAAGAATTAAGAATTCCATTTAACTCCATATATACCCTTTTCGTTTGTCGCTAATAAGCCGCCAACTTAACGCCCACTGTGGAAATAAGCTAGTAAAAGTACATGATATTCTGAAGTAGAAGCGAAAGGTCTAAAGTCATTGATCGTTGATCGTTGGTTTATTTTTAGTTTCCCTCTCCAGCCCCTGACGCAGGGTTTACTGGAGTGGTGGTAGCATCCTGACCTGACCCATCCTTTGGTCCAGTGTCCATGATGTCAATGTCACCATCTGCATCAGCCTCTGCATCACCGTCAGGTTCTCCAGGTGCATCTTCATCTAATGTATTATCAGCGGACGCGTCTTGCGCGGCAGGCGCAGCTTCCCCGGATGATCCAGGTGGTGGGGAAGACCGAGCCAGCGACATTGTAACACCCTTTCCATTTTGCAGGCCAAGATCCTGAACGCCAAGCACATCAGGACCACGGGCATGAGGTACTTCTTCACTTTCATGATCAAGGACATGAGGTGCATCGGTTTCGGCATCGCCCCCTGCAGAAGGAGTTGCTTGTCCTTGGTTGACATTCCCCATCTGCTGAGGAGCCTGGTTCGAGTTTGGCGGGTTTTCGGCTTGTGTTTGTCCACTAGCTTCTTGCATTATATCGTCATCATCTGAGGATGGTGTAGAGTTGTTGAGCCAGGGAATAGGGGTTAATAATGCGCCTCCAAGAGATTCATCACTGCCGAGGGAGTTGTCATTCAGCATGAAGGCAGTACTCGTAGACCCATTGACGCCATTCGCCAATGATGCATCAAGTATATTATCTGCTGGCAAGGACACTGGTAATGGAAATATGTCTGCCCCGCTAGACACCGAAACCACTCTATCCACGGCTCGTAGGTATGCTGGCAAGGTTTTATAATTTTGTGTGGGTCGCAGAATAAGCTCTGCAAGGCGTTGAACTGTATGGGGGGGCTTTTGAGAAAAGTAGGATCTCAATGTGTATTTAATCGATGACAACTCCGCTATAAGAGGTGGAGGCAACCCATTCGACAGTGGCTGGGAATTTTGTGAGTCCGGTATACGATCTACAGAAGCCGAAGTTTGGGATGAGAAGGATGGAACAGGCGGCCGCTGCGGTGACTGGGCCAAGGACGGAGGAGCATTCTCCTTGTTGCTATTGGGCAGGGACTCGCTGGTGGGCTGCGATTGTGACATGAGGGGGACGGTTTGGATGGTTTCAAAGGAAGCATAGACCGGTATCTGTGGTATCCGGAATTCGTTGTGCACTATCTGCATAGCTGTTAGTGACCCAGCCAATGCCATGAGAAGGGAGTTGAAGTTGCATACATGGTCCAACCTGTCAAGCAGGGGCTCTAGGAGCGCTGGCCATTTCTCACTACACATTGTCTGTTGGCAACCGACGAATAGATTATTATGGCAAGTGAACTCACTACTCCATTTGACCATTTTTCGCGATGAGCTCCAGGACCTCCTCGTCTGCGGAATGAAATATGTTAGTCTCTGATTCCACTCAACTATCGCGTCCCCCTCCGCTGTCTGTCCAAACTCAGCAGAGAGAGCAAAACAGCAAATGTGAACACACCTAGAGACATGGCGTTGGTATATTATCTGTTCCCGAGGCAGGCAACCTCCTTTTGCTGGCTTTCGTGTGCTCTAACGTGTGTCTGGAACCCTTCCCAGCTGCTGCATGAGATAGCGAGGAACATGGCTTGTCAGTTGTAACTCTAAAAGCCGCCCAAGAACGACGCAGAGCCGCCTCACGTGACGAGATAGTGGCCCCATACCTTCTTGGGTTCTCAGATCTAAAAATACTTCTTGCTGCGACTCTCCTGTATATCTTCCTCCCAAACCCCCTTGTCCTTTTATTCGCGTCCCCTCACAGAGTACCGTCAGTTTACATGTTTTCCTTATACTCAATATGGCTATTTGCACACTCGTATATGTAAGTCTATATGTTTGTTATTGTGGCGATGTTTGAAGGAAACGCGCTGGCCAATAAAACTCGAAGAAATATATTCGTAGGATTCAAACTGTTGACAATTCTTGAATTTCTTTAGGTGCTAAGGGGTGCTTCTGATCAGGGATATCCCCGATTTGCTTGCCAGTTGAGGATATATACTTACAGAGTACTGGGCCATTGAGTCTGTCACGTTCAACAACAAGGTGAACTCTAGTTATATGCAAGCTCCTAGAAGCATTGAAAATGTCGAGCGACAAAATGGTGGACGACTCAAACTGGCTTCAGCCTGTACTTGGATCTTATCAGGCTGAAGCAGTCGCCCAATCCTTAGCCCGCGCACAGGAATTTGATCTGATACCGGTTGAGGAGAAAGAAAGGAGGCCTTCCTCATGGACTATCCGTGCAATCATCCGACCTGAAGAGCCATTGTATGCACTTGTCGTGCATCATACCATTACCTCAATGTGCAAAGGGGAGGTTGCTTGCTGGACATATATATCACAAGGAATGGAACGAGTCGGGCAGAAGGAGGTAGTATTTACCGTCTCGCGGAACACAGAAAGCGAAAGAAAGAAAGATTTTCCTAACGATCCACTTCGTTGGATTGAAATCGTCTACTCCATGGCAAAGGGAGGTTGCTGTGTAGGAGAGTTCGAGCATACAGATTTCCAGGTTGCCGAATTTCTTGGTCGCTCCGATGTGAATTGGATCGTGTACTGTCCTGCCTGCCCTATTCCGAACGTGGACGACTTCTTACTACCACAAGATTACCTTCAAGCTATACCCCTTCTCGTTGCAGAAGCAGAAGTTGCTGAAAAATACGGCTTGATGAGAACGCTTGGTCACCTGGGTGCCTCAGAGAGGTGGTTCCCTTGGCCACCCTGGTTTGATCGCTATCGCAAACCATGCATTACTGCGGCCCAAATGCAGGGGTCGATCAAGGAAGAGATGGAATTCCAGCACATCAAAGGACTCAGCTGCATTAAGAAGGGCTCTAATATCATCCTCCGTGTGCCAAAGAAGTCAGAACCTTTGCTTGTGGAAGCATTACTTAGGCACAGCCCTGATCAGGCATTTCCACTAAACACGGTACATCACATCAACTCAGATTCTGGCTTGCTATGGGATAATCGAGATCCACAGCCACGGGGATATTCCGCTGGGAATTCAAACGAATGCATGAACTTGAATTACTTCGCCTTTTGCCCCGGTCATGATGTAGACGAGCTGGTGCTAATTGAAGATGGATACATGTGTAAGTCCAATCATCCACCAGCATGTCTTTTAGAGTATGCGACTAATTTTCCTTCAAGTTATGCTAGCAGATGAGACCTGGCTTAAGATTCGCAGCTGCATTAAAAACATGAGACCATGTCATATCTCCCTTCCTGAACTTCAATTCTTGCTTCGACTAGAAAAGCCTTCTGTCCCAGGGTACCAAAACTAAACTCCCAACAAACTGATAATGGGCCAGCTCCGGTCAGTGTTGCTTTCATTTATTCAACCATCTATTTCAAGCATTTCTAGGGAAACCGGCAGTTCGTCATATATATATAGATACCACACATCATCTTTGGCTTCTCTGCAAATGTTTATTGCACCTCCGATATCAATTACTCCACATCTACACCGGTTTACTTATATACTGCTGAAGATTAGGAGTATATTGTTGGGTCATCATAATCAAATAAATATCCCAGTTATCAATAATATGGGCCAGAATAATCAGTCTATTTCAGTTGTTATTAAATGACTCACAGGTGAATCTCCAGGAGCAACAGTAAAGCAAAGCTTATGTATAGATGGACTTTGATTCTTTCAACCGGACCCAACTGATAACGTAAAACCAAGGGCAGATAGAGTGGTCAAAGGAAGCCATAGAAACTCGAAGCAAGGAAAAGAGACAAAAACTGAACATTTCCAACGGGCCATCCAAGGCTGGGTATGTATTTTGTCATAAACTGCTGTACTTGGGGCGTAGAAAAAAAGACGTACGAAAGTCATTAAATGGCAGTGTGGTATAGACAGGGGCATGTTTTTTGGTATATTCAGATCGAGAAAAGCCACCATAAATATCAGAGGGGTGTCGCGCGGGATAAAGCCATCCTCGGGAGGGATAATATATAGGTCGGGGAACGAGATAAAAGCTCAAGACGCAGGGACAAAAAAAGAAGAAAAAATGATCCAGTAAAAAATTCAAGGGGAAGAGGTTGGATAATAAACGGGAGAAAAAAATGTAGTCCCCCACATGTAATGTTCTGCTCAGAAAGAGCGAAGTGGATGCTATCTGATGCCATTATAATCATTTGTCCAGCCCTGGCCAGGCTGTGGCCAAGCACCTCCTGTGGTACTAGGGTTAAGCTGATCGCCCACCAGTTGGTGTTGCGGCGACTGGCCAGGTGGTTGGTTCAAAAATCCAGTATTGACAGGTTCCTCTTCATCCCCAAATCCAAACTCTCCCCCAGAACTTGCATCAAAGCTGCTTCGCCCTCCAATGTCACTATTATCGTCAACAGGGGCGGCAATTTGATCCCATTGTAGGCCTTGCAGTGCGGGATACTGTGCCAATAGAGCAGCAGGCAAAGTGAAAGAACCTCCAGCACCATCCATGCCTGGAACCGTGAGCGGCTGGTTGCCCGGTTGTAAATGGCTGGTAGAAGCATTTCCTTGCTGCTGTTGCTGTTGCTGTTGATTGAGGCTTTCTCGCTCAAGGGCCTCTTCATCAAGAAGAGGTTTAATGCATACTCTGCCGGCTTCGGACCGAAAATGGCGACCTAGAGCGTCAGCGCGGGCAAATCGCCGACCACATCCCCACTGGCGACCACTTGACATGTCACCTCGGCATACGAATCTTCTCTCGCCAGAATGTAGGCTTTCATGCCGTCTCCTATCATGTTGGCGGGCAAATGCTCTGCCACAGACAGTGCAAACAAAGGGTCTTTCATCGGTATGAGTTCGAAGGTGAGAGCGCAAGTTATAAGCTCGTGTGAATTTCTTAGGGCATAGTGTGCATTGGAAAGTTGCAGGGTGTTTTTGAACTCGCTTTGAGTCTTGTGTATTGGACCCTGGCCGTTGGGGGTTTGCAAGGTCCAAGATATAGCTACGACTATCAAGCGACGAGGTTGACTGTCGTCTATTCTTGCTTACTGGAGAGGCTTCTCTTGAAGAAGGCGTGCTGAAAGTACCCCCAGGTGCTCTAGATGGTGACAAAGAGCCTGCATTTATGGCCACTCCTCCTTGGGATACCCCAAGTGAGGAAGGAGCCATTGGCCGTGACATGAATGGATCAGATTTACTACGTCCGCGAGCGCCTATGCATTGTCAGTATTACCAACCATGTAATGGTGGGGATGGGAAAACATACGGTTCATAGGAGGACTTAATGTGTCCCCATCTGCACCCAGCTTCGGGCCTTCTACGGTAGACGTCCTGGAAGGCGGCGCAAATTCAACATTAATTAAAGGGGGGGTCATTTGAGCTGCCTGTCCCATATCACTAAGTCTAGATTGCTGCGCTTGGAAACCAGGTACAGGCGGAGCAGACGTTCCGACGTATGTATCTTGAGTGGCCCCTTGCATCTGGGACATATTTTGGGATAGAAGTAATGAGCTTTCTGGGTCCAGTTCCGTGTTTTGAAGCTGCGGGGAGAGTCTAGGTGAAATGTATGGGCTATGCGCAGGACTAAATGCATTATTGTGGTCACGTTCCGATATTGTGAAGGATTCCATTCCGAAAGCGTTATCATAAAGGCTTGGGTCAGTCTGAGGGGGTAGACGAGGAGAGGGCTGTGCAGAAGGATGAGCAGAGGTATCAAATGTATCATGCTGTGCTAGGAAAGGCGAGTGCGAGACAGATGAAACATCAGAATGCTCTGATGGTGCACGGCGATGGCCTTGGAATGAGCTGTTCCCGAGTATTCCTTGCCAGTTAGACTGCGCATCAGTATTGATATATGCCGCACTTGCTGGATCTAAAGAAGTATGCCGTGAATGCTGCGGCGTGTAGAAAGTCCCAGGGCTCGAAGCCGCGGCTGGAGAACCAGGACGGTTGTTAGGGGATGAAGCAGTCTCTGGAGGAACTAGATGAGGAGAATTAGGCATTTGCGGCGAGGAGAGGGGTTGAGCAAAGTCTGCCGGGTTGATGGTAGGGTGTTGCTGGATAGCGCCCATCATGGTTGTTGATGTGTTGAACCCAGAGGTCTGATCCTGGTGTGTAAAAGTGTTGAAGTCGTCAAAATTGAACCCCGGATCGGATGTATCAAAATCTGGAAACGGCTGTGAGTCTCTGTTATCGTTTATGCCGGAAGTGGCCTGGTCTAACTGGTCGAGGAAACTGGTATCGAACGCCTGGGAGAAGTCTTCCTGTTGATTGAACTGACGTTCTGGCCCAGTCACATTGGTGGTGAATCCGAGTCCTTCTTGAGATGTAGCGGCCAGGTAAGGAGTTGTGAAGAGGAATTGCTGGTTATTTGTTGATGTTGTTGTTGGGTAACTGTTGTTACTATTAGCATTTGCTGAAAGCGATTGGCTGGTGTGAAGCTGATTGTTGGTAGGATCCTGGGTGAAATGGGAGTTATTATTGCTTTGGGCAGCAGTGGACGACGACCTCGCCCTTCCGTTCTGTGAAGGCGCCTCCATCATGGCACGGAGAATGCTTGTAATCCTTTTTATTCCTTTTGTTTTTATCTTTTGTTTTGTGTCCTGCTTCCAACAAGTCGTTTTCTACCAGAAATAGACTGGCTTTGTGCAGGGGTCAAGCTTCTCCGAGCACTCAGCCGGCGAAACACTTCCTACCCGCCGAGGCTGATCGCGGTAGATAAGATGTGATGCCTGTCAGCAGGATGAAGCGTTTCGTAACGACAAGCGAGTCGACTAGTCCTCAGGCGTTTTGGGATGGCGGGTGTGGCGGAGTAGGATCTATATGGCGGAAAGTGGCAGTGTGAGGTACGGTGGAGCTTCTCTCTGGCGGTCTCTTAACACCATGGAAACGTTCGAGAAAGTCGCGAGACGAACTTGCGGTTGTTTCAGAGCGAGTCAAGCCAGCTTATACCGGGCAGCTCATATGGCTTTTCGGAGACGGTGCGCTCGATGCGCAAGACTTCGTGGGATGGTCGTCCGTTTGTCGGTGCCTGCGAAATAAGGAGGGCTCGCTGATGCCGAACGACCCCACTAGCTCTGTGCAATCGTGTAGAACAGGAACCGCACAAAAGGCCATCCGACGGCGAGCATCCAGCGGACGAAACGTAGCCTGGAGGCCCAAAGCAGGGTGTCGATATGCCGTATCTGGGGCGAGCGGGCGGGAGGAAACGGCGAGAAGGCGAGGATGTAGCTGTGAACGAGGGATGAGCGAGACGTGGAGGTTGGACTTCTGCGTTTTCGCGGGTCTTGGCACTATCCTTCCCGCTAAAAGGGGGCCTAAGGCAAACAACACAGTGTACGGAGTGGTGTATAGTCTTCTTTCTCGCTTCTTTCTTTCACTCGAGGGCCGCCTGGTTCCAAGGGGAGATATCCGAGTGGTAAGTGCGGGAGCTCGAGGACAGTCGAGGAGCAGGCAGGTGAAGTGTGGCTGACGGTTTCAGCGACCCTGGACCTGTGTGCTGTTCCCCCCCCTGGCGGCTCAAGCAAGGCACCGCTGGCGAGTGTTTGGCCCCAAGTTGCATCTAGACAGTAAGCTCGCGGGATAAGCTGTCCATCGCAGCTGAAGTGCGCATGAGGCCAGGATGCCGGAGATCAATATTTCTGCAGGCCGAATGATCGACTATGCGTTGGTAGATAGGTGCCTTGCGCAGGTTGGTTTGCCTGTGATACTCATATCATACTCTGTCCATCGACCAGCACCAGATTAACGTAGCTGAAGGTACTCAGTACTCATATCCCTGGCCCACTGCACATTTACGTGACGGCTTTGCGCCCCGAGCGATCAACCCCCCCAAGCTGGATGTCGACTTGCATTTTTGGGCTGTGCGTGGGACGAAGACGGGACAAGGCTGAGAGATACACCAATCGCTTTGTACATGGTACCTGATTGGCGGCATCTCTCCAGTCGGACAGGGACAACCATTAACATGCCAGATTATCACGTCCAATCCGATCCGCCGAACAGGTCCTTTATTCTTTCTTGAAAGACCGGTGTGAATGAGGCCGAGAGCTGAGAATGCGGTTCCTTTTCTGACGCAGGCATGCCCTAGTTAATACTGCGGACAAAATAAATTCTCCCTTGCATGCATCGGTGCCCATTCACTCTCCGGTAGATAGTTAAGAAAAAAAGGATAGGAAGGCCTGTTCGAGGATCTCAAGTCCAGTTCGAAAGTATCCGGTACCTCGCTTACTCCGTACCAAAAATCGCCTGTTGGGAGATCTCCCCATTCATCCGCGCACTCCGAGATCCATACACCCACGTTAGAGATGCTTTCTAGAAGCCATGTAAGGCAGAATTATTTATAGAAGCGAATCATTCTGCCTTATCGACTGAGGTCTGACGTAAATATCTTGGGCTTGAAACGGCCGATTCTGGGGCCCGTTATGGGGTCTCAGTGTCACCGATATATTGGAGGATGGGCGGTGCATGGACTGCGCCACAAAGGCACAAGATCGCCTTCCCAGCACGGAAGATCTTCAAGAAGCTGCCAAAGAGTTGCTATTTATATATTTTCGTAGCAAAGTTGCTGTAGTATACATAGTCCAAAAATCAAGACATCGATGCTAGTCTGAATCGCAATCAATGAGCACAATGTAATATCGTTTCGAAGATTCCAACCCCGTCCAAATGTGGTATTATTATTATACACGGCCCAAGATTACAGGGGAAAGGGTCAGGCAAGGTAGAACTGGTATCAGTCGCTGCAGGGAAAACGAATATCATGCAGGTCGCAGGTGGTTGTCTCCCCACATCAAAGCACCAGAAATAAGAGCACGCCGGCTGGGACAATAGGACAGAATGGAGAATAATGTCTTTTCGTTTCTTCGCTTTTTCTCCCTCATTTCATCAATTAAATTTGTTTCTCATCCGTCAGTACAGTCAGTATACACACTCCCTCCCACCAATTCCGACTCGTCCAATCCAAAAGACAACAAAAAAAAAAAAAAAAAAGTAGTAGAAGAAAATGCAATCAGTTGACCTCACTGGACCGCATCCATGTATGTCAATCAACTCCCCCAAGATTAAGAAGGGTAATATAAACAGCGAAACAAAGGTTTAAGGGGATATCTGACGGAGAAAAAAAAGGACATTGGGAAGGAAAAGAGGAGAAAACGGAGAAGAGAAATGAGCAAAGATGTATGCTATCCAAATTTTACAGCAAGGGGAAGAAGGGATAATGGGAATAAACTCCGTAATGCCCATGCAGGATGTGACTAAGGTATGAAATATAGGATGTCGTGTGGGATATATCGTATAGCCTTGATACAATGCAAGGGTGAAAAAAAGGAAGCGTAGATGACCATAAATGATGGTCTAATGAGGCGCAGTAGTGATTGGTAGAGAGTGAAGAGTGGTGTTGGTAGTGTTGTTGGGTGCAATTATATAATTACGTATGCAATTCACACGTCTCTGGTCATTATTTCATTTCGTATGCCGCGTATCCAGAGAATGGAAAATTCCAAGGAGGAAGGTTGTAGAGTGAGTATTTTCGATCATGATCATCATACGCTAGACTTGCGTCTGCCAAAAGTAATTCCTTCATCGCTGGAATCATCATCTTCGTCCTCGTCATCACCATGGTATCGTTGGTCATCATCATTAGATTCCATTTCTACCGGCCCGGGTCGCTTATTGTCGTCCATAGCCGTCCTCGCTGAGTCATCCGTAACGGTATCGCCTGTTCGAAGCATTGGCGGGACAACTGGGCATGTGCAAGTGCCATGTTCCTTCTCACTCTTCTTCTCGTATTGCAGGTCAACAGGGTATGCCGAGAGGCCATCTGCAGATAGAGACGAGGCACCTGATACAACGGATGGTATGCTTGGGTGTGATGCGCAGTGGGACATCTCACTATTATAATCATCCATGGACGAGGAGGACATGGTGATTGCTGACGGAGGAGATGTGATTGGTCTGGCTATTGGCTGATACTTGAACGGGTCATCCTCGTAACTCTCGGGTTCCAGGGTGTTAAGATAATGCACAGGCGATGTGTGTATGTGGAAGTCATCCTTGTCTGCATTGACAATGGTTGCGTTGTCTTGACCTAGATGATGATGGGATGTTGAGTCGGGGTTACGGAAGAGAAAATCGCGATGCAAAGGGGCAGGTGGTGGTCCGGCGAGATTTGCGTCTTGTCGAAGCTGATGGGACTTACTCCGTCTGTGAATGGTATACCTTCGCGGAGAGGCATGGGGAGTTGGTGTGGTATTTGATTCATGAGCGAGATCAGGAGGGTTGACTAGACCAGTAGCTGAGGCGGAAGAAATAGCTACACTGGGCGTAGAGTGGCATGCTGCGTCGAAGGAGCCACGTTCTGGAGACTCGCAGCTATCATTTCGTCTGTCTCTTAGATGTAAACTCTTGACGAGTCTATTCCTGGCTCCTCCAAATATGGTCATTCCACCAGGAGAAGAACTAAAAGAGTCGTTCCCAGTAGCCGTAGAGGACGGATCGTTGAGGAATGACATCTCTAAATTAGCAGGGCGAATTGTCTTTGTCGATCCAGCACTAGAAAGTTTCGAGACAGTGCGACCAGGTAGATCTGGACGAGGTTCTTGGACAGGAGAGCAGTTCACCGACGTTGGAGCTGTCCGTGATGTAGCTACACGGCCAAAGTAATCTGGGTGTTTGATATCAGTCTGCAAGTCAGGGCTGACCACTAGGCTCTGTGAAAGCGGGTGTTCGCCCTCCCTGCCGGCTCTTGGAGTTCTGGTGATCTCCTCATCACCGCGTAAACTAGTCCTTCTAAGTTCTCGGATGATATCCTTACCGATGGTCAAGCTACTACCAGACGAGACAGAGGGTGCAGTATCAACTGACGTGGCGGAGCTAGGTGCTCGCCTGCGACCAAATATACTGCCACTCCACTTAACGACATTGGAGCGTACTCGTTCAATAAACGGCATCTTGGTAACTGCACGAATGACATCGTCGTTGGAAACCTCGATCTTCTTGCCTTTGCTCTGGTACCCGGGATCAGTGTCTTCGATCCAGGCCTTGGGGTCCTGAATATCCCGGGTGATCCATGGATGATGTTTGATTTCCTTCAAGGTAATCCGTTTTGATGGGTTTTTGATCAAGAGGCGGCGCAAAAGGTCACGCAAATCTTCGTCGACGGTCTCATAAGCCAGTTCCCCCTCAGAACGTGTGCTGCTACTCACACTGGAAGATCTTTGAGTGTGGGAATGAGGATGGCTGTGAGAATGGCTGTGGGGGTGGTCAGAAATGGGCTCATCAGCCACAACAGCCTTGAGCCTCTTAGTCGGGATGAAGACGTCGTGTCTGACGATGTTCTGGAACAAGCTAAATTCATCATCTGCAACGAAGGGCAGCCTGCCATAGATCATTCCGTAGAGGGTGACTCCAAGGGCCCAGACGTCAATAGCGCCAGTAATCTTGGGGTCCTTTCCAACAGTAGGTTCACACTCAACGCCTGTGTAGCAGAGCTCTGGTGCATAGAAAGCAGGAGTCCCGACGGTTTTTGATAGTTCTCGGGCGTCATCCAATTCTGTAGCATCAGTCTCGGTAACTTGCTCCTCATCCTCGTCTCTGATGGGGCGACCGAGGTACGATACACCAAAGTCGGATATCTTCACTCGATGGTTACCCGTGACAAGTAGGTTGGCAGGTTTGATATCACGGTGGATGATACCTTGATAATGTAGATACTCAAGACCCAAGACGGCGTCTCTGAAAGCTGTACGAGCTTCACTAAGTGTTAGACAGGGCACATAGCCCGTATCATCATCATCAGACAACCAGTCAGACTCGGTCTGGAAGGCTAGATGGCTGGAAGCATTGCTATACCGGCGTGCAAACATGGGATCTGATGCGTATCCGCCATACAAACCGTTATCACTGCCGAAGCCAGCTATCTCCCGCATCCGCCTGTCGAACTCTCCGGTCGAAGTGAGTGAGTGCTGCGGAGATATCTGAAATTCAGGGGTATCATGCGAATGCGCCGACGATGCTGTGGGGAACTTGGACATGGGAGGATAGTCGGTATCAAGCTCGTTGTCCGACTCGCCACCATGTTCCAAGCTCCAGCCAGAAACGCCGGTGTGCTGAGCACCTTTTGCTCTCTGACGCTGCCGCAGGGCTTCTATATGCCGTCGACGCAATTGAGTATTATGGATAAACTGTTGACTATTCTCGATGAAAGAAAGAGAGTCGGGAATACCTCGTTTTTCACGATCAAGTCTTTGTTTATCAACCAAAACGATCTCTTTCAGCCCCTTCTTCCTCCATACTATCTCACCGTTCTCGATGTACTCGAGCACAATGTAGACTTTTTGCTGGTTCGGATCGTCGATGACTTCGAGGAGGCTGACGACATTAGGGTGGCGGGCCTTCTTGAGGATGGCAACCTCCTTCTTGACCTTGTCTTCGGGGTTACCTAGCTTGCCTAGACGGCGACGCTTGGAGTATCGTTGCACAATCTTGATGGCGACGGACTGGGCAGTCTTCAGGTGGCGACCCAATTTGACTTTACCATGCTCTCCACGTCCGAGCTCCTCTAGAATCTCGTACTCGTTGATTAATTTGTTTCCGGTGAGCTCGTGGCGATCCACTTCGACGGTATGCGTTCTAGTAACGATAGAAAGTCAGTATCACAAAAGAGGGTGGAACATCAAAACGGCTGTCAAAAGGAAGATAGAGCAAATCCATACTCTTTTGGTTCTTGCATATGTGTTCGGTGCAAGTGAGCACCAGCTTGGCCATCTTCAGAGCCGATAGAAGGAGAGGTGCGAGGTGTCCGTGCAGAGAAGAGTCCAGGACTAGATATCGGGGTGTTGCCGACTGTACGTGAATTTGGGGACGCATTCGACTCTCGCGCCCAAGGAGTGGTAGGTTGTGGGAAAGCGAAGTCAGAATGTGAAGGATAGGAGCTCCGAGTACGCAGAGTTGGTGATCGGTAGGGCGCAGGATGAATCTGTTGCTGGAGCATTGCGTATGACTGGTTTGGATAAACAGGGAGGTCGTGGGATGGGCCGCGAATTGTGGCACGGGGGGCGACCATCGGCAATTCCGCCAGGGGACTCAGGGGAGGAACGTTGCCGGTCTCGGCGGTCTGTCTGGGAGTGGTGACAGACTGGCTGAAGGGGTCAGAAACCGTCGAAGAGGAAGAAGCTGGTATCGAACTGGAAGGAGGGCCTGCCTCACCACCAGCAGCCGGGTCAACTAAAGAAGGCAACGAGCTTGAGGATGTGTTTGTCGAGGAGTCACGAGAGGTATTGGACGAGTGAGGTCTGTAGGGGAAAAGATGGAGCTTCTGGGCCAACGTTCGACGTTCCTCTGGCCTGCTGTCATTGGGGATACTCATCTGGCGAGATAGATTATTGGAGGTCTGCCTCGACAGGAGTCCGGCTGACATCCAGGAGAGCTTCGAGGACTCTCCGTCGCCGGTCTCGTGATCCTGATCCCGTCTGTCATGTCGAATGTTTCTCGACCTCGAACTCCTTATCCGACCTCTGTCATCTCCTTCCTCGGGCGTCTTCTTCGCGTTCCGTGACTGGGAATCCATCTTCAAGGGGATACGGCTAGAATTCGCCCTCCCATGTAGGTTCCTTGTATTATTCTTCTCCTTCTGCTTCTTCTTCTTATTATTTTTTTTTTCCCTCCCTCGATAATGGTCTATAATCAGGGATTGCTCCTCCCTCCCCCAACGGAGTATAAAGACGATAGATGAAAGGATCGTATGTAGAAAGGAAAGGCAAGAAAAAAGGGGGGGAGCAAAATAAGATAGAGAAAAAGATAATAAAAAAGGTGAGTCTGCCGACAAGCACCGTAAACAGCAGTTTACCAGGAGTGAAGGGAAGAGATGCCCGTAGCCCGCATCTCTTTGGGATTGTGCGATCTCAGCGAGCCAACGCCAGATTTTCGTGCATTAGTTAGAGAGAGAAATAGTCGCCATTGCCTCCACTCCCCGAGAAGAAGAAAAGAAGACCGATCGATATTGAGATAAGAGCGAGGCCCGGCCTGACGTCGTGACTGTCTTCTTCTGTCTCCTGGGTGTCCCTCGTCCGCGGTCGGTGAGCCGTCGTTGGTCGAAGGGAAGGGAAAGGCGGTCGACCAGAGCAGGTCAAGGTATATAACCCAAGCACGCAGCGGAGTCAACGGGGTCTCGCCAATGAAGGGGAGCAGGCAGTTCGATTAGCTATCTGGCGACCTTGCCGTCCGCTGCTCGTTATTCGCTATTCGTTGGGCGTGCAGCCGTGCAGGGAGTTGTGTCTTGTCGTAGCACACGATCAAGCCCCGAGAGGTGGAGTGGTTGGACTTGATAGGAACGCCGTGCTTAATATATATATATATAGAGAGAGAGAGATGTACGGAGTATAGGAAGAGAGAGAGAGAGAGAGGATGGCGAAAGGGGCAGGCCCGGCAAGGAGCGACTGGCACGGCGCAATTGGAGCTGTTCCGGGAGGTCCAACGCTCGCTGGTGGTGTCGCTGGCGATGCTGCTGGTCGGCGACGTCGAGGCGGTTGAGGTTGGTCTTCTTGGGAGTCGTTGGATGCAGAAGGCGAGCGAGCGAGAGACAGAGAGAGAGAGAGCGAAAAGGCAGCAAAAAGTACGGAAAACGCTTTCTTTGGTTACTCTTTTTGTATTTTGGGCGAGCGAAGGAGGGGGAGGGTGGCACGCTAGGCCAGAAGGGGCTTAGCGGGAGGTAAAGTTGTATCGTCATTACGGGACGTTACGGTACAAGATACACTACCTGTATTACTCGTTACCTCGTTTTATTACGGGGACTTTCATTCTATATATGTAGACAGCTATAGAGTGTATAGAGTGTATAGAGCGAGACGGCGACGGCGACGGCAACGGCGACGGCGAGGTGAAGGAGATGGGGGACGCAGGCGACGGTGATGGAGGATCCGTAGCTTCGGACATCGACTGCGGAGGATCGGCGTGGGAGAGGCAGGAGGCAGAGGTTGATTAGTAGTAGATAGAGCTGGCACTCCGTATAACTACTGCCTGGGCACACAGCCATCCATCGCGGGCGCCGGAGATTTAGAGGCCTGAGGACGCTGGGAGACACGGCGGAGCTGGAGCTGAGCAGAGACGAGATGCGGCGATCGTCCTGCTCGTTTCACACGGTCCTACGGCGGCGGGCATCAGGACGTGCAAGGCAGCAGAGGAGCAGAGCAGAGCAGAGCAGGCATCGCTCCCTTTCGAAACTCTGGAACTGAACCCTGCCCTCTCTTCCACCCTTTTTTTTCTTTGCTTTTTGGCTCTCCCAGGACCAGCTCTGCGACAGAGGAAGAGGAACGAACGGCCTGCTCTGCAACCATGGTTGATAGTGTACATAGTAGTGTCGACCACCGTCCGTCCTCTCGAAAGCTCCCCCCGTTCAAGCTCTCTGCAAGTTACGGCCCGTGAACCATGCCTGGTTTGGTTGCGTCTCTCCCCGTTCCCCCCGTTCCCTGCGCAATAACACCAACCCCCCCCCTGGTGGCCCCTGGCTCCCTTCTCAGCGTCTATCACTTCCCGCTCCCTTTCCTCCCTTTCTCGCCGAGTGAGTGAGTGTAGTTACAGTAGTTTGATCTGGTTAAAAGACAGATCAAACTTGTCTTTTGTTTTTGTTTTATCTCCCGTTACGAAACCCGCAGGGATGAAGCTTGCACAGCATCAAAAGTTAGATATCAAGTCCACTAGCAGAAGAGGCCTCGCTTGTCTCCCCACGCTAAGTCAGTGTAGATATCGAAGTACTTGTGGGAGAGAAGGGAGAGGGAGGGAGAGGGAGGGAGAAGGGAGGGAGGCGGCTGGCCTACCATCGTCGTCTGCGGTAATAGTCGCCTACAGATGGCCGTCTGGCTGCCCATGGAAGACCCGGCTGCTATTGAAATCGCAGCTTCTACTGGCCACACCTTGTGGCCCCCGGCGCAGGCAAGGTCTCTCTTTTCCTCTGGGCTCTGCATGAAAGCTAAACCAGCGAAGAGAGAAAGGCTACAGGAGGGCAGACGACGAAGAAGAAGGAATAATGGTGATATTCGTTTTTGAATCCCGGTATCTGCCACGGTAACTATGACGGACGGGATGGCGAGTCCGGACTCTTTGCTGCCGTCTGGAAGAGAGTGATATCACTCATCGCAAGGCCGTCTCCTCCGTCACGACGACGACGAGATAACTAACGGAGTGAAAAAGAAAAGAAGATAGACATCCCCTTCTTCTTGGATTGTCAACAGAGGGGAGCAAGCCAGCAGGAAGAAGAAAAAAGTGATATGATATCCCATCGATGTAAGTATGCTTGCTCCCTTCCACCCCCCACTGCGGAACAGAGAGTGACTTGCATATAGTTACTTGAATACAGCATATCAGCATATCAGCATATTCATTATTACTCGTTACCCGAGATACCTACGCACCTTTGGCAGACGGAGTAATTATTTCTCCTGGCCAGCAGCGATCCATGGATGCATCCATCGCATCCCTGACGGCGTCGTCTGCCCCCTTGCTCGGCCAGTCAAGGTTGGCAGGGGGATGCTCTTCCCCTTCGAGCGCCGTGCAGCAGCATTCTACAGAGCGGCTGGAGAGCCAACTCGGCGTCTACATTACTATTTACTCTTATTATGATTATGATTATTCTTCCTCAACCGGCACGACAGTTGAAAGATAAAATACGACGGACGGCTTCGTTCCCTTGAGCCTTAAAGTGGCCCCCGCCCTTGACGGCGGGCTAATATCCCGTACGAGAATGATGGCCCATCAGAGCTACGGGATGCCATTGCTTCCTCCTCTCCCTGAGAGACCAAGATGGACAGACACGCAGCAGATCCCAAGGACGCTCCATCTCTCCTCGCCGGCCAATCGCACCTCACAGCCAACTTTGTACTGGCGGGCAGCGAGCAAAAGGACATGGCCAAGAGGTCCATGTGGTGGGTCTTGACAGAGGCCCAAGCACCGGCTTTTTTTTTAAGTACTCCTCGTTATGGTGCTTCGCAAGGCCAGGGAGAAGATATCTCACGGCATATTCAAGGACGGATCGGATGGCCCAAGTACCTGCTTATACCCTATACCCATTAGCTATTGGCGCTTGAAAAATTCCCGCGGTGGTGTCTTCAACCAACATCAAAGACGGTTACCAAGTTGTTAGCGTCCCACATCTGCGGGCAGGAATAACTAGTCAACGGGGGTAGAGAAAAAAAGGAAGAAACTAAAGCAGACCGTTATTGGGGACCACGTCTTCAACTGTCCAACTTACGTAGTCCACGAGCAAAGACGAAGAGGGTGTGAGATCCGCTTTGGTTGTCTAACTGTCTGTCTGTTTAACCTTGAACTTGAAACAAGCCTCCCGCAGGTGGCATACATAGCACAACTGATATATATATCTATATCTGCTCTCTGATATAGCCCCGGGCTCGTGGTCAACCATGAGCATAATGACTAATTATTCACAGTCATGAATTCACGATGTCTCATGCAGGTTGGCGAGTTATGCAGTTCAGAGTCAAGGGTTGATTGATGTCGACGTATATTACAGTAAGTCGTCGGGTACTTTTGACCAGCATCTTCCTCCCGCCGATCTGGGCCGCTTCAGTGGACTAAATGTTGATTTACGGACTACTTTCTGCCCTGTCCTTCCAAACTCCACGACGACAGTTGTTTGATTTTAACTACATACGTATCATAACGGATGTTTGTTAAGTGACCCATATATCATACATTTCCCTACCGCTTTCTAGAAATGCTAAGATGGACAGCGCATCCTCCTCTCTCAGCTGTGACTTTCAAACCCGTCCATTCTGGTTGGCCGTTATAAGTACTGTCCGGTGCAAGATACACTCCAAACCACCTTGCGGTTGGGCTGATATCACGGGCCATCTCATAGGTACATACATGCACATACTGTATGCAACGACGAGGTGTGGCACAACTCGGGAGATCTCCGGGGTCTTCTCGCAAAGAAGAAACGATACATATATATTTCTTCGACCCTAGCGAAATACCGTGGATCTGATACGCCAGACAGCCAACAGCCCAAGTAGGCAATCCTGTTGGATTACCCCGAAGGGAAGACGAGGGAAGCCTGCACAGTCCAGGCACTCACACTCAGCATCTGCTTTTGCCCATCCTCAAAAGAAACGAAAGCCAGGCCAAGGGACGAATAGCAGAGGAAGAAAAGCAAACAAAAATCCCCCTTGGACGAAGACGCCGTTCACGTCTGTGCTTTGACCCTCTTCCTCTCTCGTTTATCTTCATACCTTCTCCTTACATCGTATGTAACTTTACTCATCTCGTCGATTACAACTGATGAATGTGTGTATATTTTCTTTTTTGGCGGTTCAGCCGCCACAGCTAAAGAATTCCTTTTTTTTGGGTCGCTTTTAGGGTGGGTGAGGGTGTTGTAGTCAACGGATCCCGGTATCTTGGTTTTCTGGTCGGTACACCCGCCTGCCGCTCGCTCGTCATAGGTGGTAAAGTTGTAACCAGCATAGCCAAAGAAAAGTTGCGGAAGCCCTTACACACAGACGAACAGAGGACGGCATTCTTGCTCTGTGTGGAATACATGGCAGCACTGCATGTTTCTTCCATCACCAGTCCTGCCCTGCTTTGCTTCCGTGGATAAGAAGGGGGGACAACCCCGTAAAATATACCAAGAAGTAGCCTCTCGAGAGCATGTCCGTACAACCATTTGTTTGTATACAGGGCTCGAGCCATCGTCTTTAGTTGCCAGGCCGCCTCTTATCGCTGACATAAAACTGACTTTTGTTTTACCTGGACCTGGATAGGGAGAATAGGTGCACCCTACCATTTGGCCTCTTTTACCAGCTACCGTGCCGCCCATTCTCGATGTGAAAGGGGGACGATGATGCTGCAGAGTGATGGTAATAATTGCTGGAATTCCCAGCTTCATCGAAAGTTAAATCCACATCTGTCATACACATGTACTCCATAACTGTGTGGTACATAACTGGGCGGCGGATGATAGGCACTTTCCCCCCGGCGATAACAAGTTGGTTTTTGGATAATTCCTCCGAAGGACTTTGCAGGTCCTCTAGTTTTTGCTTGCTTCCCAGAATACCGTTGTTAGCAGCTTATCTTCCACTTTTTTCTTTTTGGCGTTGTCATCGGTTACTATTGTCCTCTTCCCAGTGGCGGCGATAGGCGATAGCACAGATAACTGACTATCCATACAGTCCTATACGCCGTAACCATATATTTGTGAGTAAAAAACAAAAAAGAAAAAAGGGTAAAATACTACGCTGGAGGTGGCAGAGCTACACAGCTCTCACATGGAGATCGACCTCTGCTTCGTCCCTGGGCAACTGTGTTAGTATGGAGGAGCGCGAATAGGCCACTCGAGACCCAGAATTACTCGTTCCGGAGCAACCGAAATCGAGATTGTATTGGATTTTTAAGCTTCTTGACTTTGCCCCAGTCGCATGACTTTGGAAGCTTCAAGGGCAAAGGCGAACTAAGGGGAGACTGTTATCCGCCAGTCAGCTTTCCAGAAGCCAAAGTACGGCTTGGGCCTTGAAATCGAGTATCCAGGAATTCGTCACAACATTTCTGGGGCAACTAAATGTGCATGGAACTTGTCATATGGCCCTATTACTGCCAGCCTTGGGAGTGATTTTAGATTGAAGGTTGAAAATGTAGACTTTGTTATCTCTTATCACGCGTGGGAGCGTAGGGTGTGGTCGACCCTTCCACATACCCTGGTTTGAGCATCGTTGTATGCGCGCCTTGCCCTTGCATAAGCATTGCCGCAATGATATGCAAGATGTGTGAGCGTGTGGACGCAGCATGGGAAACTCACTAGATTTCTTGCTCACGCATTTTCACTCCTGCGCTTCTCCCAGCGGAAGTGACCGGAAACCGTAAGGAATCCAAATAATAATTTCAACTGCAACTGTTCAAACAAAGAGAGGCGGGCGACCGGGCTGGCGGGATCCATGATTGCCACAGCCACGAATAATACATATACGTATATTGTTCGATTCCCATAGCTCGGACTAAAGTTGGCCACAGCCTTGCTTCTACTGCCTACCTCTAGGCTGCCTCGTTATAGCCATGTGAGCTTGCTATGCTGCTGATTTTGTTTGAAGGCAAAGAAGCTCCTGATTACCCTTGTATCGAGTATACGTCTAGGGACACTTGCTGTGATAGTTTGTGAGAGTGTCATAGACGGTGGTAACACTCCGTTGTAGCCGTCAAGATACCGCTCTGTCTATCTCAAGATGGTGGTGTGGTCCTCGACTTGCAAGTGCCCGCGTTCGATGACGACATTGGACGATGGCAGGTAAGACACCCATAGCGTGGAATCGCAAGTAGAACACCGAGACCACTTTAACCTTCTGGTTGCTGCTGAAGAACTCGAGCGTGACCTTGACATGCGCGAGGAGGTCCAGGAGGGCTGCGGAGGGGGGGTGTGCGAAGGAGAGAGATGACTGCACCACTCGCAACAGCCCGGCAACGTAAGGTTAATTAGTTCCTGTTCCTTGCTCGGCACCGTGGTGGTGTGAAGCAGGCAGATCATGATCGCAAAAGAAAAGAAAGGGACGGACCCCAAACCTCCCTGTCGTCGTTTTCCTTTTGATATCTCGCACCCACTGGAAGCGATGGATGGGTGAGGTTGGAACAACATCCGCCGGCTAAAAGTAAACGCGAGCCGCCATCATGTGATAGGGCGCCTCGGCTGTTGCCCGGCAACCGCGGCGCTTATTTTCTTTTGTTTACTGCCAAACAACATCAGCCAGCATGTCGGCTGTGTATACGAAGCTGCGGAGGAGGCCTGCGGCCGTTGCTGAAGCGATCAAGTGGGAACTCGCAATATAAGAAAAAAATTTTGGCCTTTATCCTCTGGATAACCAATGACGTTTGGACCACGGAGAGGCCAAACCTGGTTCTAGAGCCCGAGGGGTCCAGCAGCTCCAGCAGCCCTCGATGCGAGTCACCAGCCACCCCACTGCATCAATAATTAATTTGGATCTTGTTATTATTATCATTTGCCGCCTCCTTCCCACCTCCCCCGCCAGTTTGGATCTTCGCTCGTCCTGGGAAATTATTTCGAAAGGCCATATTGCTAGGTGTTGTTCTTGTTGGACAGTTTGTTGTGATCATGCCGTGAGCCGTCAAGTCTCCCCTCAGACAAGTCAGAACTACCAGACCGGCCCGCGCCGCTTCATTATTACACTGGAATAGATCATGGGAGGTTGAGTAGCCCACGTTTTATTGTTGACAACAGGCCCAGGTGATCGACTGCTTTGGGTCGCGGACTCAGAATGTTCAAAACTTTTGCTGCCAGCACCTTCATCGTGCTGGCAGCAGCAGCAGATTTACCATACAACCCTTCATCCTTGTGGGTGTCTACCACCGCCGAAAATCACACAGTTGCCTATTACATATCGTCGACATCCAATGAGGTTAGGTTTCAATACATCAACCTCACCAGGTCATTCGATGCCGTATCGCCGTCCTTCTCGAACATCGCTCCGCCTCCCTTCTCTCCCAACGATGCAAAGTCGATAATTCCTATTGTGGACCCAGAGGGCATCCCTACAATCTATGCGGGGGATTGCCGGTCTTCCAAGGCCGAAGTTTGGCGGTTTGAAACTGAAAATGCAAAAGACACAGGTGATATGAATGGGAAATGGCTCAAGTCTGCGATTCAGCAAAAGAAAGTTAGAAGTGGCATACCATGGAGGGGTCCAAACTATCTCGCAGCCGGGATTGGATTCTCGACCCCGGAAAGTGATTCAGCTCCTGATATTTACGTGTTTGCCGGGATGTGCCCAACCGACGAAAGGAGACACAGGTCCTGGATAGCAGACGCTGAGTACTCCAGGAATATGACCTATCTCCAAACGGAAATGTCTTCTCCTAGTCCAGACTACAACATCGAAGCGTTATCCATTAGATCTCCTCCCGTGGCCGAGGCTGGTTTCAGTATGACCCCTCTTGTACCTGCATACTCAAATTCATCAACTGGTGCGAGGTTGCGTCACCAGAGCTTCGTTCTCGCTGGTGGCCATACGCAAAGCGCATTCGTCAACATGTCACAGATAGCGCTATTTTCCCTCCCTGAGGAGAGTTGGAGCTACGTTACAGTCAACCAAGCATTGAGTGATTCATCCCAGGCAAGGTTACCAGAAGGTATATCCGGAATTGAGCCACGATCTGGTCATACAGCAGTCCTTACTGCAGATGGCAGCAAAATTGTCATCTTCGGGGGTTGGGTTGGGGACACTTCCGTGCCTGCACAACCCCAGCTAGCTATCCTTGACATCGGCGAGGATTATGGAGGTTCTGGCGACTGGACATGGAAAATCCCAAAGAGCTCGCCAGACGGACTCCCTGAAAATACAGGAGTGTTTGGTCATGGAGCTGCCATGCTTCCCGGCAATGTATTGCTTATAACTGGAGGATACAAAATACCACCCCGGTCGTTCAAAAGGTCGAGCGATGAGTTTGTAGCTAACGACCAGACCTTTCTCTTCAACACCAGTTCTGGAACTTGGGTTACATCATATACTCCCCCAGATATTGCTTCTGTTCCAAACGAACACCAGAGAGGGCCCCTCTCTACAACATTGCAGAAAGTCGGCCTTGGGGTAGGCATTGGTATTGGGGTTCCAATTGTTGCTTTGGCTGCTGTTCTTGTTTTCTTCGTCTGCCGCAATCGACGCGCCCGTGAGCACCGTAAAGCCCGCGAACAAACACTCCGGAGCCTTGCATTAGGTGCTGAACGGCCTCATTTTGAAGCACCCGATCAGCAAATGATGCAGATAGACTCTGCTCAGCAATACGGGTTTGGTGGATATAGCGATATCCAAAATTCTCCATTTGCAGCGGAAAGGACGGGCCTCTTGGTAGACAACCCAAGTCCAACTAGAGGCTTGCGGGCTAGTGTACGATCTCGAGGTTACCAGCCAGGCATTCTGCAGGATGACCCAAGACGAAATATCAAATTCTCCCAAATCCAGCCCATTGATGAAGGAGAGGAATACGATGCTATTCAGCCAGTTCCAGCAGGGGCGGCTGGGTGTCGAGATAGCAAGTGTTCTAACAACTCGGATCCTTTCAAGGACCCTCCTTCCCCAACCAAGGACTGCTTCCCATCCCTTGTGCCAGAGGATCAGTCTAGATCGCACGCCAATGATGAGAACATACACGAATGGGTACATACGCTGAGCTCTGAGAAACTAGAGAAGCCTCCTAGTATCACATCAGAAAAGCAAGACCGCACGCTCTCCAACCTATCTGGCACCTCAGGCACTTCATCATCCTCACATCGTACGAATCCAAAGTTGTTAGATCGTTCAGTGTCACAGAGGTCCAATTTTGGCAACCCATCCAACTTCGGTAGCTCGGAAAGGGGGCACACAGCCGATTCTGACAGAGCAGTTCCTGGACGAGTTGCCTTGTCCGGCAGACCATCCTCCCAGCTCTCCTACGCTCAGCTACAGGCAGAAGGGTCCTCTCTGTTAGGTACTAACCCCTCATGGATGCCTCAACAAGACCCAAATCAACCTGCAGACCAACGCCAGGGGCCTATAACTTTAGAGCTAGCAGGGACCATTCGGCGAGTTCTTGGCTCGTTAAGAAAATCAGAAACATCTGGAGGCTCGAATAAAGCACCTAACCAGGCAGAGTCCCGCGCATCAAACCAGCGGAGTTCAAGCACAAGCCCAACAAAAAGCTTCTACAGTTTACCGGACGAAGAGAATCCGGGTTATTTGGAAATCGTACAAGGAACGTCACAGCGTCCCCATCGAGCAGTCAGCACAAGCTCTTCAGTCCTCAGGCGCAAACAAGGTGCCAAAGATTGGAATGCAAAGCGCAAATCGGGAGACAGTTCAATATTACGACAAGGGAAACCCCGGTATGAGTCTTCATCCGCCGAGGTTGGAAGTGCAGTAGGGGGCGCAAGCTTCAGAAGTAGTGAGGATGATTATGACTTTGACGATGAAGACTGGGATGTCGAGGCAGCTGCTGAGGGACGAGTGGTACAGGTTACATTTACTGTGCCGAAGGAAAGGCTGAGAGTTGTCAACGCCGGTGCAGGGGATACCATTGACGATGATGATGAACGCGACGAAGACAAGAAAATGAAACAAAAGCAAGTCGACACCAATGATAATGATCATGAGAAAGGTAAAGGGAAGGGATTAATCCCAGTTTCTGAATCTATGAGGTCTATCGATGATGTGTTTACAGATGCCCCTGAGGAGAGCAGTGAAACGCCAACAAAACAGTAGGCTGGGCATGGAGTTTAGATCTTGGAGTACCTGTGTGAAATTTTCTTCCCATTTTCTCTTCTTGTCTACTTCGTTTCTTTTGTCTTATTACCGAGATGCTCTTCACCGGGGTTATATGCCCACAGATTGCTTTCATGATGATCTTTTTTTTTTTTTTTTTCTTTTTCTGGGAAAGGATGGGAATTTGATATTGATTCTACGCGGACATGCGGGCTGTTTCTCAGGGGCCCTTTTTTCAGCAACCTCTTTCTTTCTTTTCTCCAATACATGTATTTAAGTATTCTCATTTAAATCAACAATTCAATTCAATCCGGCCGTTAGCAATCCCGCATTATTGCCTGTACTGCCTCGGTATATCTAGGGGCGGCGGTATACTGTTAGCGCCTCGACCCTGTGCATGCAGCATCCAAGTTAATAGCCTTTCCGGCTCCAACTACCCTTGGTTCCCCGTTCGCCTATCTGCCTTACTGCGCAGTTATTATGCCTTGCACCGAGGACAGGCAGCATATGTAGGCCGAAGCCAGGGGCCCGGGAGGAAGATCAACCCGCTCGTCGGGGTAAAGGCAAGCCAAATGATAATCGCCTCTGGTTTTCCGCCCCAAGTTCCTTGCCGAAGATCCTGACAGGGGTAGTTCAATTGCTCGATACGGGCAGTCAACATGGGACAAGCACAAGATCAGTCTGAGTGCACACACGGCCAGCTGGTTCTAGCCAGGCTGAACAACTAGCTAGTCAGGGGGCAACGAGTGAGGCGGGTTGGTAGTTAAATTGTTCAATCCCCCAGCAAAGGGCCCGCGCACTTGTAACTAGCCGATTAGTCGGACGGGCAGGGGAATCCAGCCATAGATATTGAATTACTAGGCTTGTTAACTGCTCCCGTAACTATTCAGAGGGATCTGCTTCGTCATGTTGGCATGCCTGTGTATGAGTTAGCGAAGGTCGAGAGGTAGTTTAACTATCCCTGTTATAGGGATCGTAGTTATATGCCGCAATATAAAGAGATCCTGAGGATGGGAGCAAGATAGCAACGCCCCCATGCCGTGTCTTCGTATCCCGGGGAATATTGCGCACGGAGTATTATATGAAAGATACTATGAAAGATTCCAAATGGGACGGAAATACATAGGTATATACGGGCACGAGGGCATAGGGAACGAAGTGTAATCGATCCTGCTTGCATGCATTATGATGAAGTTTTGCTTTTATATGGAAAATACAGGCATGGTTCCCCAGCTGAAGAGGCGCTTCTGGATACCGATTTAATACATTGGAACGAATTACTCTGTCTCTGTTATTCAGTTCGATACTCCGTGCGCTGTTTTGTACTGTATTTCCCAGGGGTTCGTTGGTATGCTGGTTGACCATGCCCCGTAAGCAAGTTCCTCTCGTATGTTGCCAGCTTGCTGAGCCACCCTCTTATGTCACTTTTGATAGTACCAGTTGGTAGATGGTAAAAGTAGCTGCCACGACCTTTTGCGTAAGCATGTGCTCTATATTCGTATCCAGGTCTAATGTAAATACGCAATGTCTTTTGTATTGTGCGTGTATTGAGCGTCAATAATAACATCTGTCAACCTGTTGACGGATCAGTGTCCAAGCTTACTCTCGAGCCACTTGGCAAGGCTCGAGAGCTCGTTATCTGGAGACCTCGACGCAAAGGCACCAGGGTGTGCACTCTCTTGGCTGGCAAGTGCAGAAGCAGAGCTGAGCACTGATGCCCAGTCCGATATTTCATGCAATGGCCTGTTATGCAGGATTTTATGGACACAGTTTGCTTCATACTGTGCAGTATCTGGGTCTGGTGATGTAGAAATGTGACTTTCGATGATGAGACCAGATTTAACTCGGAAGAACGCCTTGGTCTGCAGTCACAACACCGTCAATCGTAGTCAGTTAGTGCGCTACATTTGGTAGGGAGGGAAGGGCAATGTGGCGGAGCTTGCAGGGTTGAGACATACCGAAGGGGAGAGGGCAGGTGATATCTCTGGCCTAGGCCGGGGATCTTCCTCTGTTGGATGCGTGGAGAATGTAAACTGGGGGCACTGTTTGTATTTCCATTCAAGAGACTGAAAAATTTATGTAGGTGTTAATAACAGAACTTGAGTAAAAGGGTATAGCAGCGGGTGGGTGTGCTGACTTACGTGTAGTTCTTGTATGCCTTTGCACACCTCGGGCTCATTTCTTGCGTCTTCATCCGTCAAGATGCCGGTAACCCAGTCGTCCCCCGAAGATAGCTCCGGATTGTTGGCGTGGGCTCTTTGAGCTTTCCGCAACGCATTGCGGTCGAGATTGTATAGCAAAGCAAATTCTTCCATGATTTCCCCAATTATCTGCTGCATGAGGAACGGCCGGACTGATTCGTCCAAGGCGGAGGATATGTTTCCAACGGGGGACCTGACGCTCTCAACACCCCTTGCTTTGATATACGGACGAGCAGGAGACCTCAGAAAGAGTCCGATCTGCCTGAGGTTTGGCGAATCGATCAGACAGGTGCCATGATGCAAAGCACGGAATCTTGACAGCTTGTACGCCGAACCCGAGATCTTGACGGCCCGAACAGGTCTCTCTAGCGGTGGGCTTTCGACATCTTGGTCTGAAGGCCCAGCCTTGACTACCAGAGAAGACGGCTCTTCCTGTGCATCCTGACCAAGAACGATATCATGACGCTCGTTGACTCTTGTTTTTAAAGCTCCAACGTTCTTCAATGCCCTGACCACGAGCTCGGCGTGTTTATCTCGATGGAATATCGGCTTGGGACAGATCACGCAGAAATTCAGGTTCCCTTCATCATGGAAGACCGAGCCACCACCAGACCGTCGTCGAACGAATACGGCACTCCCATCACTGACAGTATTACCGCCTTCTCCGTTGTTTTCAAGGCCGGTGCTGGTCCGCAGCAGGCGCAGGTTTGTCTCGAGCCACGGGTTCTGGTTCCGCCCGATCACGACACAGGGCCTATTTACGTACAGGAAGAGGATCTTGGAGTCCGGCGGGGAGTGTTCATAGAGGAAGTTCTCGAGGGAGAGGTTGACAAAGGGGTCGCTGGAGAGGGACTGGTAGACCTGGAGTTTGGACTGAGGACGAGACGAGAGCGCAGCAAACGTCGAGGCTGGCCTGCTAGCCGTCCATTGGCAGCGGTTCCTGAGAGACTGCGACCAGTGCAGTGGCTGCAGGGGACGGGCTGAAATCATGAAGCCAACCTGACCTGCTACAGCGTCATCGTGGGTGTGTATCAATATATCGTCGAGGGGAGGTAGACAGCAAGCAGGAGACGGACGTCGTCCAGAAAAGGCCAGGAAGATGCGGCGGAAGCTTAGGGCGACCCCCCTGGCAGCGCCGAGCCTGGGCGTAAGGCTTGCTTTTAGGCTTGCTTGGGGCGAGTTTAGGGCTGCCCTTTAGGCGTTGAGCCCCGGGAGCTAGTTAAAGGAACGCCCCACGAAGCCTAGGTTTGCCCCCTAAGACTTAGTTAAAAGGCCCCTAAGCCGCCCACGGCCCAGTTAAAGAGAAGTAGCACTTCCATGAGCCTTCGTGACGTGTATCCGACCCAACCATGCAGTCCTGCCTGTTAATTACTTCAGGAGACAGACAGGCTCCGCCGGCCTCTCGGTCCGCCAGAGACGAAGCTGCTCCCCGTCCTCCAGCGTCTTTCTGCTCTGCCAGCCAGCCAGTCATCCCATCTGTTAATCCGCCATTCCGTCTGTTCGATCCGTCAGGCTTTAGGCGATCCGTCATCGGCGCTGAGTCATCCGCGTCGGGCCACGCAGAAAAAAAGAATAAAAAGTCGCAAAGACGACCAGGTGAAGACAAGAAGAAGAAGAAGACAAGAAGTCGAGAGCAGGAGAAGCCTGGCTGGCTGAGATCAAGCGATTGGACTCTGGACGGACCAGACTGGCGCCCGTATTCCTCTGACTGACCGATCTCACAGCGACCGAGCAGCTGTCTAGTTATATAACGCCCTCGATCCCTGCCTGCCGTCCAACCCCACCGTCCAGCTAAAGTACAAGAGTTAACTAGCCAGAGGAAGAGCTTCAAAGATGTCGACCTTTGGAGAGCATTTCAGGGTCACCACGTACGGATTCCCTCCACTGACATACACCGTATCAGTTTTGCTGACCAGAGGCGTAGCTATGGCGAGTCACACTGCCGCTCTGTCGGCTGCATCGTCGACGGGTGCCCTCCCGGCATGGAGCTCACAGAGGCAGACATCCAGCCCCAGATGACAAGGAGGAGACCCGGACAGAGTGCTCTGACAACCCCTCGAAACGAAAAGGACAGGGTCGAGATACAGTCTGGAACCGAGTTCGGTATCACCCTGGGCACGCCAATAGGCATGGTGGTGCGGAACGAAGACCAGCGGCCCAAGGACTATGGAAACAGCACCATGGACATGTACCCTCGACCCAGCCATGCTGACTTCACCTACCTGGAAAAGTACGGTGTCAAGGCCAGCAGTGGTGGCGGCAGAAGCAGTGCACGAGAGACCATCGGTATGGCTTCCTTGTGCTATATACTCAAGCCAAATCATCACAGGTAGTATCTCTGTTGACACACAGTTCCAGGTCGAGTGGCTGCCGGTGCTATTGCGGAGAAGTATCTCAAGCTCTCCCATAACGTAGAGATAGTCTCCTTCGTCTCCTCTGTTGGACACGAGCATCTCTTTCCTCCCACACCCGAGCATCCCAGCCCGGTAACCAACCCGGACTTCCTTAAGCTCATCGAGACAGTTGACCGGAAGACTGTAGACTCCTTCGCCCCGATTCGATGTCCACACGCAGAAGCTGCTCAGAGAATGACTAAGTTGATTGAACATCATCGCGATCTGTCAGACAGCATCGGAGGGACCGTCACATGTGTCATTAGAAACGTCCCCGTTGGCCTGGGAGAGCCTTGCTTCGATAAGCTAGAAGCTAAGCTTGCACACGCCATGCTCTCGATCCCCGCTACAAAGGGCTTCGAAATCGGTTCTGGTTTCCTGGGCTGTGAAGTTCCTGGATCAACTCACAATGATCCCTTCGTGGTAGAGACTAACGGTTCTGGAAAGAAGCTGACTACCAAGACCAACAACTCTGGTGGTATCCAGGGAGGTATCTCCAATGGAGCCTCAATCTACTTCCGTGTTGCCTTTAAGCCACCAGCGACTATTGGACAGGCCCAGACAACCGCTTCTTATAACTTTGAGGAAGGTGTTCTCGAAGCAAAGGGCCGACATGATCCCTGTGTCGTTCCAAGAGCCGTCCCCATCGTTGAGGCCATGGCTGCTCTGGTCGTCATAGATGCGCTCATGGCACAGAATGCCAGGGAAGCCGCGAAGAACTTGCTTCCTCCGCTGCCACAGACAATACCCACACGGCCAACGATTGCTCCAGCCCAGAATAAGGACGAACAGGCAAAGTGAACGTGCACTCATATCTTCGCTATTAGGCAGAATCCAGGGTAGCCCATTTTGTGGTACACGGCTCGTGTGCCTACCCTATTAACTTTGGTAACCTAGATCTAGATCTCAAATTCTTAATGCATATACATTTGGACATGTCGACATCTCATTTTTAAAAAAATACATCTCGAGATTATTCTTACCCTGACTAGATCTCCGGTAAAGCAGATATAACGGTAGAAGAAATGTTCACATCATCACATACATTGCATTAATTAAAAAAAAAAAAAAGTGAACGTCAAGGTATCAAAATTCAGTACGACGCTAATCTCCACAAAACGCCATATACTGTCTAGGTATGCAGTACTGATTTTTGTGTACAGAACGAGGGTAGGCCAGTCAATATGGATCATCAAGGGTAACATGCACTAAAGAAGCCAAATGGTATTTTTTAAAAACAAACGAAGACGAAGAAAGAAAGTGCCAGTGGCCTATCTGGTATCATTTTTAGTTACGCCTCTGGCGTAGTGAATACCGTGCATTAGGCGTGGCTCGGGGCGCTGGGCCGTCATCGAGGTTGAGGGATTTGATAATTGAGGGACTGGGGTTGCTAGGGCCTATGTTTGAAAATCTAAGCCGGGAAACAGGCGTTTGGACTTCTGATGAAACTGACGAGGCAGAGTCTGATGCTGTAGAGGTAGGGGAGAACGGGCTGTCTTGCAAAGCTGAGTCAAATGATGGAGAGAATGACAGAGTTGGCTTTGGTCTCCTGGCAGCTGGGGCTGGAGTATAGCCTGCAAATGCAGTAGTAGGTGTGAATGATGGCTGTGGTGTTGCCTTCAATCGCGTCGCAAAGTCAGGAAAGCTGTTGTGGTGTCTTTGGGGGAGGACGCTTGGTGGAGAGTTGGTATTGGGGCTCATTCTATTGTTAGCAGTCTGTGGCCGTCTCGCTTGGGGGCTACCGGCGTACCGGCTGCCTGGAGAGAGGTTGTTTTGGCTCATGCTCAAGGTAGTAAATGACCCGGCTGCGGATGACGTAGGAGAAAAAGGCTTCTTGTCTGTCTTTGTCTCTGCCTCCGCGGCTTTGGGGGTATTCTTGGGCTCTGTCAGGCTGGTGTGAGGGGCCAGGAGAGGTCCAAGTCCAAACATCTCATGTCCCATCATGAAGGAAACCAAATATATCCCAGCGTTATCCAGGCCAACTGGGCTGTCAAGTTGACGAGCCTGGATCACAGCCAGGTAAACGCAAGATACCAATTCAAACATAGACAGCAAGATCTCGGTCACATTCCAGACTGCCATTGGCTTCATCAGAGACTCCAAAAATGAAAAGGCAGCAACAAGGAAGGATATACCAAGTATCACCGACTCTATAGACTTTGCGGGCTCCGTATATACCTTGGTGATCATCCACAAGACCAGACAGGATAGCAGGAGGGTCATTCTCAAGACATGTGTTGGCTTGTTTCCAGAAACTGCAAACCTCTGGTTGATAGAAGCTTGACCAGACTGGTTCTGCTGGGCACTCGGTCCATCGGCGATGGAGAAAGCTTGGTCAAACAGGTTCTCCAGGCCAGTTTCGGCTGTTAGTCCGGGAGGGAAAAATTTGGGCGCCGCGAAGACAGCATTAGTCCGGACCGGTTTATGCTTCTGATCATCCTCATCTTCCGTCTCAATCTCGTCTTCCTCTAAAGAGGGTCGTGTAGGCTGTAAGACAGGAGCTTGATGGAATGGGTTAGGTTTTTTCTGGATCTGTTCCGCCTTTCCAACAACTGGGTTCCGAAGATTCCATGATGGCGGTTTTGGCACTTGGGGTAGCTGGCCCTGGAAGAGCATTGAAGAAGAAAGAGCTGGTGCCTGCGGACTTGTAGGTTTAACCGGGACTTGCAGAGACGGCCGGGATGGAGTCCAGTCCATCGCATCGACATCTTCCTGTCGAAGGTCTAGTGGAGGAGTTGGTGGGACGTATGGCTCGGGGGTAGCCAAACGGCGTGGCGCGAGGCTGGCAATAGGAAATCGCTTAGGAACTGACTGGCTGCCTCTCTCAGAGGCTTGTGGCTCTGGAGGATTCTTCAACTGCATTCCATCGCTGCTGTTTGTACTGGATAACAATTCCTCGGTATGGTCATGCCAATCAACAAGCGGTCTCTTTTCGAATTTGATAGTAGATGTTGATGCAAAGGTAGTCTATCCACCATTAGCGTAATTCCAGAGACCTTGGTAAATGAGAAAAGCAGCACGACTTACAATCAAGGTAAATATAGCCACAAAAGCATGTATCGACGGGTTTAAATGGGGATGCAGGCCCGTAATCGCAGGGTCTTGCAAACCGGCCCACGCCATAAACCTGACCATGAGAGCAACAATCTGAATACGATAATACTCTCGTAGCCCAATCAACCGGCCATGATGGCCTTCAACTTTCAGTCTCAGCTTCGGGTTCCACCAGAGAGCAAATGCGCCGAGAATCAACGAAAGGCCGGCATAAGGTGCAAGAAACATAGCACACTCTCCGGGAATGCGAAGATTTTGGACGGAGCTAGAAACGCAGTGGCTTCCGAGAGAGGACGTCGACATTGAAGCCACCTCTACCTCCTGCAGCTCGTAAGCGGAAGATACAAAGGCGACGACGTCCCAGACCAGTTGACCGGCAACACTTGACCAGAACGAAAAGGCACCCGTAGAAACCAACAGGCCCTTCCACTTCCACATCTGCCTTCTCTTCCGGGTCGATTTTCCCTTGCTACGTTCCATCATGCGCCGCAGATGGTCTGTTTTAGCTGCGTATCCGGCCTGTCTGATGCGATCGATGACCCGCGGCTTGCATTTCTCGCACACCTGCGGGTAGCGTTCCTCCAAGCTCCGTTTATAAGACGGATATGACTTCTCATAGGCCGCATACTCGGGGTGTGACGGGTCCGGGAGATACGAAGCCAGTGTCTGGGTGAAGAGATACTGGTTCTTCTGGCAGGTAGAGCAGAAGATGGTAGAATCGGCCGCACTTGGTAGCTCTGGTTGCTCCTCGAAGGATTGTGATAGTGATGATATTGACGGCGAGACGGGAGCAGCGTACCGATGGAACCGCTTCTCCGTAGACACCTCAGCGACCGGCGGATCGGTTATTTCGCCATTCTACCCATTGCCGCCGTCAGTATAGATGTAGATACAAGTTGTTTCGATGGGCAACGTACTTCGTCTAGATAGTTGACAGCCTGACAGCTCTCGCACTTCCACCGCCGGACGGCGTTCTTGTATATCTGCCTCGAGTTTCCGCCGCAGTAGAAGCATCGCAGTCGCTTTTGGAAGAAGGGAGCCATCGCAGCCTACATGAAGCAAGCAAGCAAGGCCCGGGTCGTGGAGTGACAGAAGGTGTTGTTATTATTTTGATTATTATCATTCCAATAACTAGTTAGTTATTTTATTTGTTATCGTCAACTTTTCTTTTCGCTTTTCGGGGCGGCTGGCGGCTTTAAGGCGCGCTAGCTCGTTAATCGCCGACGGAGCAACAACACCTCTTCGGCAGTTAATAACAACTAGCACTCAATAGCAGACAATAACTAGACAATAATCCAATAGCCAGCAGAGCCGGGCAGGAGGCTGAAGATGCTGGAAGGGAGAAGACGACGGTCGTGAATTCTAGCCATACGGTAACTGCCTGTTGGCTACCAGGAGATGAGACACGCAGGCGGCAGATAAAAAGGCTGCATCAAACAGTTGACAGACAGTTATTGATAGATTGATACCATTGATACCCCAGCGAATGCTGCTTTTGGTTATGGAGTATCCAGTTCTCACGGGGGCTGTGGCCTTGCTGGCCCTTATCTGCTTGGTTACGGTACAGTTGAAACCTCTCTTCTAGGCTGAATGCTTACATGGCTAACCTGTGGATAGTTGGCAATGTTCTGGCCGGGCAAGACAGATATCCAGGCACAAGTGAGGCAGCCTTGCCGTCCAGTTCATCTTCTGGTTGTCCTGGGCAGTGGTGGACATACGGAGGAGATGCTCTCTATGCTCAGACATGCGGAGCTGGACCCAGCGGTGTATATCAGACGTACATACATCGTAAGCTCTGGAGACGCATTCAGCGCGAGAAAAGCCGTCGAGTATGAGAAAAGCATTGAAACCAGTGAACAAACAGGCCAGGATGAGAGTAAAAGCAGCAACTATACCATCATAACGGTCCCTCGCGCAAGAAGGGTCCATCAATCCTTCCTGACTGCGCCGTTGACCACGCTGCAATGCTTTGGATTCTGCATGCTGGTGCTTATGGGCAGACATCCCGACCAACTCACCCTCACCGCTCACTCAAGCTCCTCAAGCTCCCCTTGCCCCGGATATCCTGACATCATTCTTACGAACGGGCCTGGCACGGGAGTCTGCGTGGTCGTGGCCGCCCGACTTCTCCGTCTGTTCGACCCGCTGGTATGCCGCATTCTGCCCCAGGCCAGATCAGATATCTCTTCCAAGTCCCAAACTAGTACCTACTCTGGCCCCGAGTCCCGTTCCCACTCCGGGCCTCGAGATCAACGCCGTGGAACCAGACGATATCTACGGACGATATTCATCGAGTCCTGGGCTCGCGTGACTACCGTGAGTTTGTCGGGAAAGATCCTTTTCCCTCTCGTCGACCGATTCCTGGTGCAGTGGGAAGGCCTAGCTGGTTACTCAGGGTGGTTTGGATTTGGAAGAAAGGCCGAATATGTTGGGACGTTGCTGAGCTAGGCGACGTGAGGCAAGAATGGGGTGGGAGTCACTACATATACATAATACATGAGAAGGAACCATACATATACGAGATGCCGCCTATCTCTTATGGGTTATATGTTATTGCCGGCCGGCAATTGATGTTCAGTTGGATGCTGGACGGAGGGAGATGGGGGGGCCGAGCAAGAGACGGTTCATGTTGTCCATTCTAGCTCTCTAGAGTTAATGGGTGGTGGTGCAAAGGGGATGCCGGAAGCTACAGGCCATACTTCTCCGGGGGAGACAGCCCGTCACACAGCGCTGGTTATACATAAATGCGATCGACCGGATGGTACAACGTTGGGATAGAGGAGGAAGAACAAGGTGCATGAGCAAAAATCCTCTACACGATAATCGCAGGTGGGTGAAAAAAAAGGGGGCAAAGATGGCTTGAGATTAAGCGACCTGCTCAGCTTTCTCTATCTTTCAGCCCAGAAGTGCAAGGGGTAAGAGCAGTAGTTAATATTAACTGTGCTATTAGCTGAATATACGATGATGCACCACACTTAACCCGCGATCAACAGTGTGCATCGCTTACTCCTATAATTAATAACTAATTAATATAACCGTAGACGCATGCACATAATATGTACATACCTCCCGTACGCGAGCTGATAGTCCGGTTCCAACCAATATATGCTATATGTAGTTAATTATAAACGGTCAATCTCTTACCTCTTTCTATACTTAGTTCGCTGACGAGCGGTTCCGAACCCCCATGCTGCAAAGCAGGCCGTGGGTTACAAAAAACGAGCCATTGAAGCGGGAGTAACTATGGACGAGCCGTCTATCGCATCGTGCACATGATTATCCGTGTGATGATTATCTGACTGGCCTCACAATGGAGAAAAACAGCTTCCGGGCCACGACATACACGAGCCTGGATGCGGTGCTCCAGCGTCTGTCTCCTTTTGCTTCCAAAAAAAAATGCATTGCATTTGTGTCGAGGTGATTTTGTACCCCCGTACCACTTGTACTATGCAAATTGCGACATACAAGGCCAGAGGCGAAGTACATAAGCGAGCCCGGCCAGGTCAAGTTACCTTTTTCTTTTTCACCTAACATGCCGAAGAGCTCTTACTCCGATGCCCGGAACATTTCTGGAGAAGCTTGCATGGACGGCTTCTCTTGCCTGGCGAGGGACGGCAGGACTATTGAATTGGGTGTACAACAACCCGGGAAATGTGCCGCTCGTTCATGCCGTCTCGTCCAGAACCAACAGTTCGAGGCATTGAATATTTGCATGTGGAGGTCAAGCTGGGAATGAATAATAATAATGATGGCAAACATGGCCGGAGGGCGAGAGAAGGTGAAAAATCTCAGCCAGGGGGTCCCAAAAATATTCCCCCAACATCACGAGCCGATTGCCTTAGCCTTGATATATCAGGTAAGCTTAATAATGCTAACCGGTCTGGATGCCTGTCAAATGCCAGAAAGACAAAAAAAAAAAAAAAAAAAAAAAAAAAAAAGGTCGATGGCAGCCGAGGGATGGGGGATTATCCTGGAGGCTTTAGGGCTTAAGAGGCAGGCGACTATTATTGCCAGGAAGCCAGCAAGTCAGCGAGTCGCCGTTTCGTTGCCCTGCCCGGAAGCAAGCCCAATTCGACCAGCTCAGTGCGAGATACCTGAGTAGATGCTGAGAGATCCTGGTTACATCTCTGACGCCTTACGTCAAACGTCCATCGAGCCCACCGAGGTTGGCATCGAGCGTGTGCGATGCTCGCCCTTTTTCCCAGCCCGCTCTCTGATCTCGATACGATCGATCAAGCATCTCCTGTGAACATCCGGAGTCTAATAATAATAATGATAATAATTTTGCCTTCCTTGTGTGCGTTCGAACACGAGAGAGCGAGAAGGCAGGCCGACGGTCTAGATGGCGCCGGACCAGTGTTACGGAGTGTCGATGCAAATAGTAATGGAGTCGCAAGATGGAGCATGAGCATGGATGGGGCGGACGGGGTACATGGGGGGATTGGAGTCCGATCCAGTCCCAGCCGCCCACGTCCACACAGATATCTGTATGTATGTCCTTGCTGTGCTGTGCTGGTAACATGGCAGCATCGCCGTCACCAGTCGAAAAAGGAGACAACGATGACGGGTTCGGTCGTAGTCTGACGAACAGGCAGCGCGGGTGCGTGGCCCGGCTGCGGCATGCTGTGACTGTGGACTGCGAACGTCATGTCATGGGATGGTGGCCATCGAGGGCAGGCTTTTCTCGACTTCTCATACGCAGACAGGCAGGCCAGGGCAGGGCAGGCCTGAGTTTGACACATGATGGCGCACCGAGTACTCCGTATATACGAAGGGGGATCCTGAGATCGATGCCTAGGTTAGGGCTGGCACAGGAAATAAGCGACTGCAGAGTAACTTTGCGTACTCCGGATACTCCAGCAGAAAGATACGCTCCAGTCGAGTGAAAAGACGAAGAAAAAATAAGAAAACAAATATAATAATATCGGGGGAGAGAAGCGAATCAGGGAGTTGGTCTCCTTTGCAACACAGGCTGCTTCTGCTTCTGCTTCTGCTTCTCTCTTGTCCAGTCGATCCTGCAGCGAAGTGCCAGAGAGATGCACCCCTTACTCCCGCCCGTTCCGAGTGATTAGAGTAGCAATAATAGTAAACTATTCATTCCTTCATGTGCGTGACGAGTTGTATTTTTTGGTCCAGAAGTCAGTCGATGAGATATGTGATGACGACTTCAGGCATCGACATCGGCCCTTTTGCCTCGTATCCAGCCACGGATAAGGGCGGACTGAGCTTCATCCTTGACGCAGGAACAGCTGTTGAAAAGTCTATCAGCTTCAGCTTTTCTTCTTCTTCCTCTCGGATGGATGAGCAGAGGAAGTCCTCTGTAGAAAGGGAAAAAGCAAAGAAGAAAGAGCCGGAGGGTTGTCTTGTCTTGATCCGCAGCGGAGGCAGAGCCAAAGTAAACAATCCAACGGTTTCCTTTGCATTCTTCACTCTCTTTCATATTCTCTCTTCCCTTCTTTGTTTTTTATTCTCTCTCTCTCTCTCTTCTTTCTTCTCTGTCGTTGTCTTTTTTTTTGTTTTGTTCTTCTTATTATGCTTCCTTTCTTTTTCATGCCAGACCCTCCCCCCCTGGCTGCGAGTAGGAAGATTTCCCTTGGGCGCCGGAGGTGAGTCAGTCCCCTGGTTCCATAGCGGGCGCCGTTTCTTTACCCAGAAACCTTTTTTTTTTTTTTTTTTTTTTTCTTTTCTTCTTCTTCTTCTTTTTTCCTTTCTCTTCTTAATCCCTTCACCTTTTTAACTCCTCATCCCATTTTCTCACAGTCGTATTGGCGGATTTTTGGCCTCTTATATCCATCCTCAAGGGGTGGAGCCACGTTTCGGGCCATTTTTCGCTCAGAAAGTAGTTAGTATATAAAATTTTTTTTCCTTTTTGCTTTGCCTCAACCTTGGTTCGGCCATCGTGGAACCAGCAAGTCTTCGGAAAAAGAAAGGCAAAGAAGGAAAAAGAAAAGAAGCCCGCAGCAGCAAGCAGAGAGAGAAGAAGAAGTAGAGGTGAATCTTGGATCTTGAAGCTGCTCGTCATGGCCCTGACAGACTGACGGGTTTTGCTGGGTGGGACATGGATATTTGCTTATTGCATGGGGACAGGCCAGGGAGGCAGGCAGGCAGGCTGGTCTGTTCGACGATGCCTAGATACACAGCAGCCCGTAAGAGTTATGTTATACTGAGCTCAGGAAAAGGAAAGTAACCTGAGTTGCGCACCCCCCCCCCCCCATTCACGTCGAGCCGTCCGCATGTATCAATTGAGTCAACAAGCCAGCAGGACCCGGGAGCAGGTCGAAACCGCACGAAACGAGGGGGGATACAGCCGGCGAGCACCCTGCCTGTCTCTGCACGACCATGGCTTGTTTGATAGCATCTGCTTCTGGGAGGCAGAGAAAAAGCTCTTAATCCCTCCCGTCTCCGCTGGCCAGGCCGTAGTTCTTAGTTTATCTTATAGTGTAGGCCCTAGCTAAGTATATTAGCATATGAAAGAAGCATCCGGAGCATCAGGAAGCAGAACCAGAAACCACAAAGCGGACCAGGAACCAGAATAACGGTGAGTTTCTTAGTCAGGGCAGCCTTCGTCTTCGTCTTCGTCTTCGTCTTCTTCTTCGTCTTTCTCTTTCTGTCTTGCATCTCTCTCTGTCCGCGATGACGGCCTCGCTGTGAGCATCCCCGGCCATGTCACATCTCTGTCCCCCAGCACCATCACCACCTCTCTGCCTGTAACTCTGCCTGTGACTCTGCCTGTGACTCTGCCTCTGTCTCGCCTCTCTGGCTGTCTCTGGCCTGGAGACCCGCCCCGAGAAGCTCGCTGGCCGTCTGTAAGTGGCTCCAAGCCCGTCTGGAGTCTCTCGTTTCTTTTCTTTGCTTCTCGACCGCACACAACCCACGTCAGGCCCTCTTGTTGCCCGACAGTTCGTCCCCGGGGAAGCAGACGAGCCCGTCTTCCCGCCGTGAGTGGCCCTGGGGCTGCGAATAAACAGCAGCAGCAGCAGCAGAAGAAGAAGAAGAAGAAGAAGAGTCCCTCCCCTGTCGCGTGCTTTGGTGCCTCTTGACTCTGCCTCCTCCCTGCTGTTCTGCTGTCTGCCCAATTGCACTTGCACCAGTCGAAAGAGAGTCTGCAGCCTCTCTCGCCCTCGCCCTGGCCTGTCCTCCCTCTTTTTTTTTGCCCTCGCCTGCCTTGCTGGACTGCTGGCTGAACCCCCCGGCCGTGGTTGTGGTGGTTGTTTGTTGCTTGCAGCCTGCGCGCACTTCCAAGTCCGCCGTCCAAAATCCTGCTACAGACCTCGCCTTCACCAACATCAGCTTGACCTTCAACTGCAGCTTCAACTTCGTCTCCAGCAAGAAAACTCCCCCCCCCCCGCCGCCGCCGTTCGCTGCCTGCTACGGCCAGTCGCCAGCTCCAGACAGCTTCTCTGCCTGCCCGCGACTACCGCTGCATCCTCCCCAGGCCGATCGTTGCGCCTTTCCCTCCGCGCTGCATGAGCTTCCCTTCCCTCGCCCGCGACTGGCCCTCCCAATCATCCCTCGACACAAACAATACGTCTGGCCATACAGGCTCTGCTATGAAGTAGAGGCCTCGTCTGCCCGAGCGCTGTCGACCAGAGAATAATAAATATTTCGCGTGCTGGCTTGCACTGCTCAAGACGAGAAGACTCGCAACCTCGCAATCTCGCAACCTCGCAACTCGCTATGCTGCGACTATCACAGCTCTTCGAAGCCAGCAACCGGCGCGACGGCGACGCAGCAGACATCGCAGCCCCGTCCTCCCATCCATCGTCCTGTCTCGCAAGGCCGCCGCCGCCGCCGCCTGAATCGCCCGAATCCATGATCTCCTCGAACCCGGGGTCGCCCGTCACCTCGCTCTTCTCGACCAGGACGCACACCCGCTTCCCCAGCTCGGTCTCGTCGCTGGCCTCTTCGCCCGTCACCAGCTCGCCCGACGGCTTCGGCGGCACCAAGACGCAGCTGACAGAGGTCAAGGAAGAGCCCGGCGAGCGAGAGACCGGCTGTGTCGAGAGAGATGGTTACTTTCGTAAGTCGCTTGCTGCTCCTCCCTACCATCTACATCTACGTTACTCTACATTCTGCTACATTCCCCCTAGTTAGTTGCCAAAGGGTGAAGGGAGAAAAAAAGAAACGAGACGCAGTCAAGAGCAAACAAGATGCTAACGTCAGAGGCTTAGCTCACTTTAATGACTTCCATGCCGCCGCTGCCGCCGCCGCATACGACGACAGCCATCTCTCGCTGGACTCGCACGACTTCGACCAGATAGACACCCTCGACGCCGTGGGCGCCTTCAAGAAGCGGAGGTCGGACAGCAGGTCGCTGCGCCAGATATCCCGCATCAGCACTCGCTTCTCCTCGCTCTCGTCTAAATGGAAGCAGGCCAAGCCCTCGTCGATCGCAGATACAGTCGCTACGCGCGATCGGTACGAAGACTCGCTCAGGTCTCGCGCCAATTCAGCCACTTCCGCCCTCGCCAGCCCGGCCGCCAGCTTGATATCCGCCCGCCAGAGCCTCTGTGCCCCCTCGCCGGCTAGGACGACGTTCGAGGAACGCCTGAACGAGGCTGGCGTGGCCGGCCTGGACATCGAACGGGCGAACCAGCAGTTCGACGGAGAGCCAGAGAGACATGTCCGGACGCCGCTGCTCCCCCCGGTCATGATGGACCTGCCACACATCGACAAGGACCAGCATATCGACTCTCCGCTGGAGTCCCCGTCCATTGCTCCCGTGGCAGACTCTCGGGACACCGACAGCCCGCCCATCACCTCCATAAGCGATGTTATGCCACCGACCTCGCCGGTGTCGCCCATTACCTCTGCTCATCCCTCCATGTCCTCCATCAGCCGCCAGCTGGCCATGTCTCGCCTCTACTCGACCCGCATGGCCATGTCTGACTCCGTGGACGAGTGGTCCTGCAAGCTGGGACACGCAAACTTCACCATCTACCCCGAGCCATACGTTCCCGAGATCTGTGACAGGGAGGCCCTGAACAACTTCCGTGCCAACTGGGAGCTTGCTCGCTGCAACTACGCAAAACACCTTGCACGGACTGATGAACACTACGGCTCCACCTCGCATATATACAAACTCACCGAAGAGAAGTGGGTATCCGTCAACAGCCAGTGGAAGAACGGCTACAACCATGTCATCGCCAACCTCGAGGACGGCAACGGTAACCGTCTCTCTCTCAGCCCGTCAGAGGTGCTCCACTGCTCCCAGGACGCCGTCAAGATACCCGGCCTTCACGACAAGAACAAGTTCCCGGAACTCGGAGACGAGGACATCGTCGGTCCCATGTCTGTCGGGCCCGGTCTACAACACTGTCGATCCAGTGACGATCGGATCCTCTCCAAAAAGTCCATTCTCAAGTTCTTGAACGGCCTCTTCAGCCTCCGCAAGAGCTCATAACCACCACCCCCACCCACTTTCTACTCTCTACCCCTTATTCATTCTCCTGTACAAAAAATACCCCTACCCCTTATCCTATCACCTCTATTTTACCCTATTTACCCGATATTTTTCATTTGTTCTGATTTGCTGCGGTACCTGCATGCAATTCATAGTCGTCTCCCACCATATCCGAGCTGGGCTAGAAAGGACGACTGGAGTTAAGATGTCCTGCTTGTGTTTTTACCTTTCTTTTTTCTTTCTTTTTTTTTTTTTTTTTACGGTTCTTATTCCCCATTCCACCATAGTTGTTTTGCTCATTCTCTCCTTATATCTCAGCATCAGATCATGAATCATGCGTTACGCTCCTTATGACCCCTTATTGCATCCATCGAGGAACTCCATATCCTATATATGCTCTATCATGGATGAACGACGCTCCTTATCCAGACTCTCATTTGTCATGACACTCATTTAAGCCATTGTTTTAATTGCGGCGTTTGAAAAAAACGGGCCCTAGCATTCCCTTGGCCCTACTTGTTATCCCGATGCATCCTTTGCCTTTTTTTTTTTTTATCTCTCTTCCATTCAGCCCATTTGTTCATCATACGTTATAGAGGATATACATAGAAATCGGCTCCCCCCATGGCTTTTCCTATATTTCATTTTTCTCATCATCATTTATGGTCACGGTTCACGGCGCGAGGGCTACGGCGCCGGTGGGATCTCGTGGAACTACCAATTTTCCTATCTACCATCTATCTACCAGGTTTCACTCTTATACTTTTCCTTGTTTGCATCTCTCTTTCACATCATCTGGTATCTCCTTAACGAAGAAGTCGACCGACAAGAAAAGAAGGGCAAGGCGGTTGGCCGGATGGATTGATATGCAGGCTGCCGTGCCAAAGAGAAAAAGCAGAAACCCCCTTAAGACGGAGGACAAGATACGACATCCTTCCCGCTGTTTTTCTGGGGAAGGACATGCAGCTTTCCTTCTTCCGCTTCTTCTCTTCTTCTCCTGATATATCAAAAAAAAACTACTCTATATCCATCGTCTTCCTCCATCGACCTCTCTTCTAATGTTTAACATACTAATCCCGCTCCGTTCGTTTCATCAATGGACGGACACCCGCCTCCTATCCTGCCTTTCCATCTACTACCTGCCTACCTACCTTTAGGTATCGATTGTTTCATTATGCATCCTTTACTATGTTTCAGCCAGCATGTAGCAAGCCGTTGCTGACCAGCTCAGCATATTTCCATTGCATACTCAACGTTGATACATCCTCTCTTCAGTTTGTCCTAATATACATACCTATACCTATACCTATACCCCGTCCACACCTCCATCTCATTATATCCATTCCTCTTACCGTCCCTATGTACTCTCCAGATGTATCGTCGCATGTATGTAACCACACACCCACACCCACACCCACACGCTCCTTCAAGAGATCCTTATGTTCCATATACCCTGTTCCGCGCTGCATTGCTGGCAAAAGCACCACCATCATCCAAAGAGTCTTATATATAGAGACGATGAAATGAGACAACAAAAGTTATGGGCAGAGAGATATAAAAGAAGCAGGTATATAAAACGACGTTTTTGGACAATAAAAAAAAAAGTTATAGCTTATGTGCTTGAAATAAACTGGATCTATCGAAAACTCTTCTAAGGATTTCATTATTTCATATCCAATACTGTCCCCATATCTCCCTCGCCTCCTTATCTCCATCAAACTGAAACGCAACACTGACCACGTCCTTAAACCCCTCAGATACATCTGGCACTTCGAATCGACGCGCATATTCGCTGAATGCCATTCCTGGAAGCTTGGTGCGAGATTCCGGGTTCAGTGACTCCTAATCCGTGCATTGCGTCAATATATACATACACATACGTACATGGCTCAGCGGGGGTAACGGGAACTGCAGAGCGCAACTGGCTCCAAGATAGGTGACGGGATAGATAACCCTGTAGAAAGGCATAAAAATAAAGGGTGGATGGATGGAGGGGTGAGGCACGTTACACTGCATATGAGGGACAAAAATTGAGTGCTAAAAATGGGTATTGGCATGGACGGGGAAGAGGAGGGAACTGAAAGAGAGGAGGGGGCAGAGGGGGGTGGAAGTCTAGACGGACAGGGCTGGTAGAAGAGATAGATGTATACGGACCTGGTTTAGATTTGCTGCTCGTACGGCGTCGTTGTGTTTGCAGACTGATATCGGAGTGGAAAGGTAGATGCATCTGATTGGGAGATTGTGTGATTTTGCAAGAGATATCCATTCGGCGCGGGTAGCTTTGTTGGCATTGGTGTTGTCTAAGTAGATGCAGAGTCAATATCGAACAGCTATACCGGCCATGTATAGTAAAACCGGGTACCGGCTATTGGTAGGAAACGTACCGACTGCCACAGACTTTCCGGCCAGCAGATTCTCGTTTGCAACTTTTAGGCACTTTTGTCTCTGATCCGTTTTCATCATGTTAGTCGGTGTAGGCATGTATACACGGACAAGAAATATTTGACAGGCCAAGAAGAGGAGACAGGCAACGTACCGTCTTGAGGATGTCTTGATTCACTCTCTCATACCCGAGAGGCTGCAGGTGCTTCCAGTAAAACGTCGATTTCCCTGATCCCGGACTGCCACATAAGAGCACCAGTTCTGTATCACTCTGCTTTGTAAAGGGAGGAGAGATCTTGTCCACCCCGTCTGTCGATGGTGTATCCATACCCATATAGTTCTTGGGGTCGAACACGTCGACTTCCACGGGGGCGGGCGGTTCATCCCGAAAGAACTCCTCCGGGGTCTTGAACTGTATACCAACGTTTGCAGCGAAGTTTCTAAAAACAAAAAAGAAAAGGGACCAAGGTCAACATGGATAATTTTTGAAATTTAGGCAAACGGACAAAAAGACAAACAGATTGACAACGTACCTATCACAGCAAGAATGGTCACCCTTTCGACCCGCAGCATCGCCAACAAAGATGGAGCTTTCCAGATCCAATGTCTTTACTGGTCTCGATGCTTCTTTCTCATCCACGTCATCAGTCATATCCAGTCCCAAATCCTTTACCATCTCCCTCCACATCCCCATCCTAGGCTTCCTATATTCGTCATACTGCGTGGCAGCATATATGCTAATTGAGACATCCAAGTCCAGTGTATCCAGCACTGTCGTGATCTTCTCCTTCAGTATGGACAAGCTCTTTGAGTCAGAGTTGCCTGTTTTCGCCTTGCCATCGGGCTTCAAACTGACTGCCTTTTGGTTTGAGACGATGACAAGCGTGTAACCGTCCGCCGCAAGCTGTTTCAGTTTAGACGGGACGCTGGAATCCCACCACTTCCAGTCAGAGGCAGAACGGGAGAATCTGCCATTGGATTTGGGCATTATTAGGGTGTGGTCCTATGGTTATGATTAGCATTCTCGCCTTCCAATCCGGGGTGGAATGAGCCGTCCAGTGCATCCAAACGGTTAGATGTTGGATAACTGAAGGCGTGCGCACGTACAAAGTCAAAGGCAGCAATCTTTATCTCATTCTTCTGCTCTTCATTTTGCGTCTCACCCTTTTGGCCAACGAGATAGCGGCCCACAATGCAACTGTTGTTCACTATGTGCCATGACACCTTCTTCGGCTGGCTGGATTTAGGCTTCTGAGAAGCAGGTTTAAAGAAATTAGCCACTGTTTGGCCTGCAGCGATGGTATTAGTGATGATAGTCTCCAACGGTAATGGGATGACACACTAGTGACGGAGGCCTCTGCTTTCACCTTCTTCTTCGTTGGAGGTGAAATGGCGCGCTCGGTGCTGGAGAGCGGTCTCTTGGAGCCGGGCGATGTCATCGTGAAGTGAGAAAATACAGCCACGGCGTTAAGCTGACCGCAAACAGAGGCATATACTGTACGGCAGACCAACCGATGCCGCAACCACAGAGACATATATATATGCTATCTCTTGCTGTTGATATCGCCCCAGGCAGCAAGCCCGTAAAAGTAACAACACTATTTTTGAGGCTGAAAAGGCGAATTTAAGCTTTCAAACTTTCTGGCGCGAACGCGAAGTCACGTGCCAGGATATCTCCCATTTAACCCTTTTGGGGGATATATCAATACATCAGGCTCAAGAAAACGAAGGTCCAGAGAAGAGAGGAAGAGAACAGGTATATTACGAGAACGCTCAGTTATTAGTTGGTCGCCAAAATATTGTACAGAATCTACGTATGCCATGGCAATTGGTGCATGTGTCTAGAGAGTGCCTGCTTTCACTCTGGGATCAAGAGCCAGCCTGTCCCCCGGCTCGAGTCTTATGGCTGGCCGCAGCTGCTCCTTTAGCGCCAGCATGCGCTGCGAGGTCGACCTGAGCAAGTCCGGGCTGTTGCTGTCTTGTATTGTAAAGCACGCCTGCAGGACATACCCTCCATTGGAATCGAGGGGCTTTAGCTGGTCGTATGGCGGCAGGCGGGAGAGAGGCTTTCCAACATGTGATGGCTTGTGTATCTCGGGAGGAATGACGAGTATACGGTGGAGGAAGAGCACTGCTTCATCGAGAACGAGGATGTTGCCTTCAACGACATATTCAGAGCAATAGCTAAAAAAAAAACGTTGTTGGTCAGTCAATCACAAGACAAACAACAATAGTTCAACCGAGGAGTAAGAACCTACTTGAACCCCCATTCGTTCAAGGAGGAGATGTAGTAGTCGGGTACCCGCGCAGAGGCCGCAAACCGCGTGGTCACGCCAGTCGCAGCTCCGGCATCAGGGACGTCCTTGAACTCGATCCTCCACTCTGCCTGGTCCTCCGCGACGCCCATCGCGCCACCGTCGGCGCTGCTGACGGTCCTGTCGACATCGCTCACAACCTGGATATGGTACATGCCAGAGCCCAGCATCTTGATTAGCCGCTGGACGTCGCTGAAGGCCGCCTCCTGGCCCTGGGCCTGGCTGCCGCCGACTCGCGGCTTGATGTAGCCCGGCTTGCGGAAGGACTTGAAGAGCAGGCGGCGCTCCAGCACCTCCGTCGGCTGCATGGCGGCCAGCCCGGCGAGCTGGTGCAGCAGGTCGTCATGCTGGGCCGCGGGGACGGAGGCAAACAGGAGGATCTCATGCATCTTCTCGTCTTCTCGTCTTCTCCTCGTCGTCGTCGTCGTCGTCGTCGCCTTTCGGCCTCTAAATCTGCCTATCGCCGCCTTATCGCGCCGAACGCGAGCAGAGGTTCGTTTACATAAGCCATTACCTAAGCAGCCGACCCGGCGCCGAAGACGGAACCGAACACCGAGATAAGGCCGCCGCGCCAAGCACCAATCAGCATGCGCCGCGCTTCCTTATCTCTCCGCCCGTCGCGGTTTTTTCCTTGCTCAACCTTTTCCTCCCGCTGCTTAGTCACCCGCTAGTTAGCTCGGAAGCTCAACACGAAAACTCTCGCTTTTCTCACACTTTCTTCTTTCTCAACATCTTCAACAATTGCAACTCCCTCGTGTCTGTCTATATATCAAGCCCGCAGCCTGCAGACCCCAGCAACCACAGACAGCTACCGCCGCTACAGCATCAACAGCTCACTCTTCGAATTCAACCAGCACAGCCAATTTCAAGATGCAGGCCACCACCGTCCTCCGCCAAGCTGCTGCAGCTCGCCAGCCTCTGATCAAGTTCATGGGCAAGCGCTCCATCCCAGGTATGCTCAGAAAAGAACCCCTCGGTGATGCTGGAGAGCTCGTCTGGCTGACTGACTGCTACTAGCCTCCATTGACCACTCTCCCCAACCCCATCCCGCCTCGCCAACTCACCAGCTGCCGGACTCCTTCGTCACCTACCGTGCCAAAGCCCAGCAGCACGGTCCTCTCAACACCACATACCGCCCCTTCTCCAGCATCGGAGCCTCCTCGGGCGCTGCCTTGGGCCCTGTCACCCCCAAGAAGGGCGAGTACTTCGACCGCAACGACCTCCCCGCCAGATTCAGACGTGCTCCCTGGTCTCAGGCTGAGATCGACGCCATCGAGACCGGCGGGGCAAGCATGTTCGCTTGAACGGCTCCCCGGTCTTGGCTAATGGCACACTCTTTTCCCTTTACTGTGGCCTTTTTACCCCCCAGGACAAGAATGAGTTGGACGGAATGATGGAGCTTACGATGCAGACGGAGAACAAAACACCATATACTGCCACGACATATACCCACCTAGCTGAGCTGGTTTCGACAAGGGGATATATAAAACACACTAAAACCCACCCGACACACGACGCCTGTATACTTCCGAGTAAGGAGATGTGTTCTTGCCCACTCTATCGGATCATTATATACCGCCCTTCACAAGCAAAAATTATGGCACAACTGCACGAGAACGAAACAACAGAATAGCAGCTGCACGGAACAGCTCAGCATAGCATTAAAGCATGGCAACGAAGCGAACAGTACACTTCACGGAGCAACACAGTCTTCCGGTTTCTACTCCTCCCTTCTCATTTCCTCTTCTTCTTCTTTTTTTTTTTTCCTTTTTACTTTTAACCTGAAGCTTGAGTCATTCTCAGCTTATCGGCGCTGGACGGAGTTCATCACTTTTACTTCTCGTTTCTTTTTCTTCACCTCCTTTTACAGAGTTCGTTATCACTGGGGTTGGGAACTGTCTCCTTGCTTTTTCCATGGTTTGGTTTATGGAGGGGCCTTTTGGTTGGGCCTGGTTGGCCGGCTGGGTTTTTGAGCGACAGCGAGCGACAGGCAGGCGGGCTGCTGGCTGGAGATGGAGGGCGGGAGGACTTGGACAAAGCTGCACTGTACTGTACGACCTTTTTCAACTGTACTTACCTGCCTTTATCCTTTTAATATGCTACTTAACTAGTATATCATTCTCTCTCAACTTGCCTGCCAACCTCCCCAGCTCCTCAACTCGCCGTACCGTCGGCGTTCTAGTCTCCGATATATCTCCAGTGTCTGACCTCGCCGCGGACAGACGGACAGATATAATCCCGAGCATGAGGTGATCTTCGGCGTTTTCTCTGCATGCAGGCCACCACCTCCCCCTGTCCTCCGATTCCTTGTATCCCGAACATCCCGCAGCGTACTTGCGTAGGAACAGGGGGAGGGCCGCCTGCCTGAGCACTTTGACCACCGTCTTTCCTTGCTTTCCACGGTCTATCCGGCCCTGGTCTGTCTTGTCTCTCTTGGCCTTGACCAATAATGTACTTGTTATGTTTGATATTAAGTCGTTATCTGGCTCCCTCGCTTCCAGCCCTTTTGGTAGCTTCGAGCCTACGCAGAACCAGCAACCGGCCTTTTTTAATCCCTCTGCTCTGCCAATACGAAGACGGCCGCTTGTCTTATCTCTCGCCCAGAGCTCCCCAGCTTTATCTAGCTTTACCCCAGATTATTTCTATACATAGTAGCTCGTTGCGTAATTGTAAAGCTGTCTGGTGCTCTCGCGCTGGATGAACCATGGCTGGCCACGCTGAACGCGGCCATCCCAGGGCCATCCCAAGGGACATAAACTAGAGACAACCAGACTGCGCCGGTTTGGTCCTTGTGGCAACTCCTGGAGCGTGATGTCCTGTGGAGACTCCCCGGCGCTCGACTGAGTTCGCTCCCTTGGCTGGCGAAATATCGGCCTGCTCGACCAATATGCCGCCGCCAACTTCAACGCAACCCCCTTCAGCCACGCTCGAGCAGAAGCTTTCGTCTCATCCCTGGAAACCAGCCTTTTCTCTTGACCTTGCTCATAAATAAGGACTCCAATCGCCGGCGGCCTGGTAGGCTGCGGTTCCGTTTGGATGGCTCCAGCCACGGCACCAGAGTTGATCGTCAAGGAGACGAACGAGATCGGGACGACGGTCAAGACCTATCTCTGCCCAAGCAGCGAGCTGCGGTCGAAGCGCCAGCCTGGAAGTGTGGAAATCATTGTATGTTATCCTGTTACAAGCCTAGTTACCGAAGCTTATACCAATGCTTGATTTGCGGTTCATGGGTGGCTGTGGATGTTGTGGATGCACCCTTGAGTGTTGACGTCGATTGATTTGATATACTCGAAAATGTCATTTCCTCGCTGCCTGTAATGAGGCCCATGCCATAAGATGCATCATAGACGTATCATATGCTGGAAAATGGGTGTTGCTCATGCTTGACATGCTGAAGTCGATGCTGACCTGCTGCAGTTGCCGCCAAAACTCCCGTCATCAACCTCCTACCTAACGTCCATCCTGAACGTATTCCTACCGGCTGGATACCCGCACAGCGTCACAGACGATTACATTGAGTGAGTCTTCCTTTATTTTGGGCGGCGTGGGCACCTAGCTGACTCTAGACATCTAGGTATCAAATCTATGTTAGTCCATAAACAATGCTGCTTCGGGGTATCAGATCAGACAGAACATGGGGTTAACCGCCGTATATCAGGACTCCCTCCAAGCATTTTCAAGCTCAATTGCAGGCCTCCTGTCATCCAGAGCAGTCCTTCAAGGCATGCATTCAACCTTATAGACATTTGAGAAGTTTGTACTAACATCTCTCAGGCGTCGGTGTCGGAGATGCCACTGCGTCTCCCACAGCAGCTCTGCTTCTCAATGTCCTGCAGGAAAGTATGGGCAGGATAGCCACCATACTGTTTGCTCATCGTCTCGGGACATCACTCGAGCCAGAATGTAAAATGTACAGGCTGGCCGCCGACATTCTTAACGATTCAGCGATGGTGCTGGACTGTTTGTCCCCAATCTTCCCTAAGCCTGTCAGAGTAGGCCTTCTCAGTTTTTCCAGTGTGTTGAGGGCACTATGTGGTGTTGCAGCTGGTAGCTCCAAGGCCAGCTTGAGTGCTCATTTTGCACGATGGGGGAACCTGGGAGAGTTGAATGCGGTAGGACTAGATATCCTACATCACAATCGACAGAGTAAAAGCTGATGGTGATTGAATAGAAAGATTCAAGTCAGGAAACCGTTATATCTCTCGCTGGAATGCTTGTATGCACTCTTTCTTCTCTTATTCATGCCCATTGCAACGGAACAGAACTAAAGAGACGTACAGGTCGGCAGCGTAGTGGTCTCATACATCACATCGCCGCTAGAAACGTGGATTGCCTTGATCTTTTTACTTATCGTACACCTGGGGACAAACCACGCCGCAGTTAGGGCAGTCAAAATGACAACTATGAACCGCCAGCGTACCAATATTGTCTTCTCCCATCTCTTCGAGGACGATCGAATCCTCACGCCAGCCGAGACTTCCGAGGAAGAACGAATCTTCGAGAGAGACGGCGTGCTCCGGTGGAAAGCTGAATCTAGTGGTATTCTGGGAACCTGTCAAATTGGAACCTCCCTGGAGCAGCTACTACTACTGCTACCTGAACAGGCTGATAGAGACGCCCTAGAGACCAGCCAAACGAGTAGCACAGCTATGGAAGCCAGTACCAATCTGACGGCTCTTCTCGAACTATTCGGAGAAGAGGAGTATATCCTCTACTTTGGCCCCCTGTCCCGCAGAGGAGCCATCGTACTAAAGGCCGGAGCTACTGCACAAGCACAGCTGAAAGCATGGAGTCATGCGCTTCTTGTTTCTCGACATCTGGCAAGGAAAAATGGCACAGCTACTTGCATACACGAGAAACAAGGCGGTCAGGGTGAGCTGTCACCGTCGGTGTCGGTACTATCTATTTTGAGAGACACGCTGCGGGAGCATACGAGGACGTTTAAGGACAGGGTCAAGCGCCTCGAACACGCTGGCTGGCAGACGGACGTCGCCTCCCTCGAGACAAAGCCGGGAAGGAGAGTTCACGTATCCGTTTGAGCCAACAGATAAGCTGTACGCAAAGTTGTAAACCGAGGCCCCTTGGAGGTCGTAAGAAGGTCATCCTTCAAAGGACCCCTCAGGGGGTATCATTGGTAGCTAATATCGCTAGTCAATTCCAGATGAATGGTATAATATTGATCTCAACCATTTGAAGGGGGTTCCCAGATACCAGGACTCTGGATATAATATGTTTCTTTTTCTCTCTCCCTTTTATTTATTTATTTATTATTTTTTATTTCATTTCAGCTGCTTCTTCCTGGGGTATCTCAACTCGTCGAGACAACGGCAGCCCTGCTGGCCGGTGACTCACTGGGAATTAATAACAAACAACATGGCAAACGCCGAGTGGCCGGGTCCATCTTCCATCCCATAAGGAGGCAGCTGCAGGTATCGGAAGAAGAAAAAAGTCCTCTTCATGCATAGACGAGATGAAGGACGACGGCGTCTCTTCCCTTCTCTCCTGTATACGCCGTATAAAAATCTTGCTCTTGCCTTGTAGCCGACCAAGAAGACACTTGAAGCCCCTAATCGGGGTATCTTCGCTACCAATCGCCGGATTAGGTAGTCCAATTCAACTGATTTCTTTTTTGGCGAAGAAGAAAAGATACAGACAGGCCAAGCAGGAAGATTATGATGACAATGACATGCAGTTCGTTTCCTGTATGCATCTCGTGGCATCAGGATGCATGGTTTATATTGCTGCTGCTCTTCTAGAGCAACAAAGACGGAGGCAGAAGCGAAGGGTCTGGCTGCGTGCCTTGCAGCCGCGCATAGCCACATGGTTTTTATATATAAACAAATTTGTCTTTTAATATATGTATATCTCATTGATTCGCCCATGCAAGCGATGTACACCGAATGTAGAATATGTTAAACCCCAATGCCAACGAGCCTGTAATGTCTTACAGGCGCAGATGGCCTTGAGTTCTACGGTTGAGCAGTGCGTCGTATATGCTGTTTGAAATATAGATGTCAGTGACGCAACACTTCCCACCCGGCTCGCCGTGATCGTCGAAACATCGATCAATCACGGATCATAAACATGGATCCATAGAGTTGAATATGGAGAACCACCCATCGTTCAATTCAATATCCAGGCATGCGTCAGTCCTTCAGTTGCAAAAATGACAGCGGGAGAGACGACTCCACAACCCCATATCGCCCTATGGTTGCGCTGCTGAAACGGCGCCGTTCCTATCCAACCATCTGGTTATAGTTGCATGAACTAGCAACAAGCATCATCTATCAATCTGGCACCATCAGGTCGCGGGGTCACCAGAATAACCCTCTCCAGGGTTTGCAGGCCCACGCAATAAACTCCTCCCCAGACATATAAACACAGCCCCTAGTCTGTCGGCATCCTGGGCCGTTGATCCGCGGCCAATAGTGGGCAGCAGCTATCACGGTGGGAGGGATAACCATGACGATATTTGACGGCACTAGTTTGGCGATAATGTGATTGAAAGTGGGCTCAGGGTCGTGTTCGATAAGAAAGCAGCTATATATATATATACACACATGATAAAGCATATGTGTATATACAACTAACACTGTAAGTATACATACTTGGTCGAGCAGGTATACGAGAGAGGCAAGGGAGAGAAGACCGGCAGTTCCGGCAACCCCAGAAAAGTCAACAAGCGCCGAGGGATGTTGTATCCATCCCGTTCGATGATGACATTGTGCATCCTTCAATATGGGTTATGGTATAACTGGCAGGGAACGGAAGACCAAGAGTCCAATCTCCGAGTATCTCTATCACACTCTCTCAACCGAGATGATAGAAGACCGGGTAGGAGTAAGTGAAAAAGACGGTCAAGGGAGGAACGCCACGATGAGCTGATGATAGCCATAGAGACACCACCGTTATAGCTGGCTAATCCATCTGCCTACACTAGAACCCTGATAGTTTCAACGGACTCGCCATCAACATCCACCCATCCAATACCAAAAGTCGTACGGGGGAAGGAAGACAAGTTACCCCAGATGCTCGTCCTCCCCGCAAAGCTTGGCCATCTAGGTATCTTCTTCCTTTTTCCCAACGGCGACCTTCCTTGGCCGGGCTTACCGGGGATCAAAACTGGTCAATCATGGGCTGGAGGCGAGCGTAGGGGATATTGCTCATTTCCAAGTGTTGGTTCGTATACATTAATAATTCCAACAGCTGAGTCTCATATGTGTGCGCGTGTGGACAATGACAAGCATCCTCTCTCTTGGCCGTCCGTCCGTTCAAAAGCCAGCTTCTTGCGGCCCGATAAACACGAGAAGTATGCATCAGGGTACTCTCCTTGCTTGCCCTTGCCATGCTTATGGGCCGAGGGATGGGGAAAGGAGCGAGAGAGGGTCGTCCTACTTCGCTTTCACCTCCCTCTCGTGTCATTTCACTTGATCAAATCGAATGTCGCCATGTCATCATCATCTGTAGTCACCGACAAATACGACGGACTGGTATTGAATTTTTCCAGATTAATCCAATCCTCCCGGCTAACACTGGGGAACTGGCGATAGGGCGCAAGTACTGCTCCCCACACACCCTTTAGATTGGCAGATTCATTGATAGTAGCGTATATCTCTTGTATATACGCCAGACTAAGTCGCAGTGATTGATCCACGAGATGAAGAAGCTGGAGAAGAGTCGGACATGTGATACTTGATAGCCAGGATCTACCATGTATAGTCCACCAGCAAGCGCGAAGATATCAAACTGATTCGGATGGAGCCATGACGGAGATCGATCGACCTTAATAATTCGAAGACTTTAAAGTCTTAACCTTCTTTCTCTTGTTTCTCCATGGCGATGGCGACATCTTCAACTTTTCTCCCCTCTCGTTTCTGCCTTACCGACCATCGCTGGCTTCAAACATCGAACCCCCTTACCGAGCAGACGGGTCTCGTGGCGATCTCATTCAGCCATCCCCCGGATTCTCCTTCCCAAGGACCAGGGAGAGAGGCAGGCCAACGGACGCATCGGGAACCACCGACAGCTACTAGTTCGGTTCTCAACCGCTTGAAGCGAAACGAGTAGTCTGTGTCTATTATTAATAGTAAGAGGGAAGCGCGGACACGGCGCCAGCGATGACCCCTTTGAGGCATCGTTGGTATTAAAAGAAACTCCTGGGGAAAGGCATGAATCTTGACTCAAGCGACAGGGAGATTTCTTCTGTGCCTGTAGCATTGACTCTCTGGCGCTTGCAGAGGCTGCTCGAGGGCCTCTTTGCATGTATATCAAGGCGGCGCCTCGTCCAGAGGGAAGCCGTTGACTGAGGGCCCAAACTCCTCACGGCCCCAATTCTAAGGGGACGCCGAAGTAAATCATAATAGATTATGTTATTTATAGCATCAACCTTCACAGAAAAAGGGTCATCTTGCTGCTTCTTCATTGTCTGTATTATTATTATTTTTTTTAATGGCTGCAGCTTGCCTGAACGCCGTTTTCGGAGCAACCAAGCCATGCGTCAAGCCTGGGGAACCTTCGAGCCTGAGGTGCCCAATGAAGGGAGGGAAAAACAAAGGAACTCGTATAGTGCTTGAATAATCAATTGGTAAGAGGCACTGGTACAGAGGCAAAAAAAGGATTGGTAAAAAGCAAAAGGGGCTTCTCTTAAAGAAGAACGCCTTTTGCCTGTTTGAGTCAAGAGGCAAGCGACCACGAAGAACTATTCGACCGGAAGCCAGGCCCCGACCCAATCAAGCGGACGTCAAAGGTCGAATTCGAGAGGCCATGCATTGGATCAGTAAGAAAGGGACGGCTCAACGCCCGAGAAGAAGGCCTTGCCATGGCGGAGGTTCAGGCGGGAAGCAGCAAGACCAGAGCAAAAAGCAGGAGAAGATCCGGATAACATATCCTCTTAGGGGAAGGATGATCTAGATCAGTCGGGTTCACCCCTTAAAAAAATCATCTTAATTTTTTCACCTTAAATTATCATCGATCAGTTTATTTTCCTCTCGCAAAAATAAACTGTTTGCCAGCATCAACGGATAAAAAGATAGTTAAATCAGGCTCGTCGTTTTTTTATTTTTTTTATTTTTTTTGCAGGTTTTCACTTGGTTATCTCGGGCAAAGCCGATGGCAATGTTTGTTGTCAGAGTATTGCATGTGTGCGTGTTTGATATCAATAGTCTCGGAAACGAGATCGGGATAGACTCTGTGTTTGATAGGGAGTATGTATCCTGGACGTATATAAGTAGAAGTCGATCTTAGCGACGTCAAATATCGAATTCACTTCGGCCAACTGGTTAGTTAGTTGTTAGCCTGGAGGCGAAAATAAAATAATAGAATAAACATAAACAAGATAATAATAAAAAGAGATAAACTCGCCTAGTGACGGATGTGGTGATGACGATGAAGATGACGATGGAGAGGGGACGGCGATGATATACAAGGTGGGTACGGAGTACAGTCCAAGTAAGTAGAAATATACATCAGCGATAAAAAATCTCTGCCGTTGAGCTACTCCGTATTGGCATGCAATATATCCCCCGGGCCGGGCGTAGGGCTGGACGCATATTGTTTGTCCCCGTCTACCGTGGAGTACGGCAATATAAGTATAGTAATTACTTGCTTTTATGACGGTGCCACCAGCCCGCCAGCCGCCTTGGGAAGAAAACCCTTCGACGGGAAGTTGCCAATAGCCGAGAGAAGCACGGCCAGATAGTGGCGAAAAAAGAAAACGCAGAGATTTTTTTCATAAACAGCCTAGATGTAACAGACCGTTAACTAGTTAGCTAGCCAGCCAGCTAGATGATGGCGAGAAGTCGCAGACTACCTTGATGTCACTTTTCTGCTTCCCCGTCTAGGACATCTCAAGTTCGACCGGGAGAAAGGAGCGGCGAGTCCCGAGGAGCTGTAACTGACCAACCACCCTCGTCACTTGGATGCATGTGCTAGAAGGATTCTAGAAGGACAAGCGGACAGGGACAAGGATGAAAGGACGGGAGTTGTCTTCCAGAACCTTTCTAGAAGGGGGATTGCGGCCTTTTTTCTCTTCCTTTGGTTGCTTGGGTTCCTTACACCTTGCTGTACGCTGTGTATAATACGGACAGGGGTTCAGGGGGTGGAGAGCGAGGGAGCCTGTGAGATGCTCGGCCAACGATGTTGACAGAAGAGACATCCACCACCCCCATTTTCGCTCCATTTCCTAGCCCTATACCAAGCGGCATGTTAATACCCTTTCGAAGGGGGTAGAGGGTCAAGCTTATCTGTGAGATGTTGGAATTATCCGTTGAGCAATCCGGAGACTAAGTTGGTAGTGTGAGCTATACGGAGAGACACTCCGTCAATGGTGCGTTGGATGGATGCTGATGGAGATGCCCCAGTGCGGGCATTTTCTTTTGATCGAGAAAGATTGACAGCCGTCTCCTCACCACCATGCCAATCGGCGATTTGGTGGAGGGAATATACGTGGTCTCAATTACGAAATAGTTAACCATCCCGCGACTGGGACGAACAGGATAATCTATCTCAGACCCCTATGATCCCACTTCTGGATGGATACTCAAGAGGCCAAACGAGAGAGAGAGTGTGTGTGAGTGAAAGATGTCGAACCCTTGTTTGTTCAAGGGGGAAAGCGCGATTTATTTTTGCATATCTTTTTCAGATTTTTCCCCTTTCCCACTGCGGCCCACGTTGAGGATGCAGGTCTCTTTGTTGGAGGCTGTTCGTTGCCGCCAGCGTCGAAGTCGAAAGACGGCGTATGATGTGGCTTCCATGCATGGCCAGCACGTAGCTAGCTGCTGGCCCCCTTTGAGCGGTGTGGCAGCAGCACGATCTGGTTGCTGCTCGCTGGCTGATAGAGAGACAGGAATGCCCGATGCACGATGGCATGGCTATCCAAAGTCAGCCTCAAGAAAAGGCGCCGCCATGCATATCGCTTAGACAGGACGTCTCCTGATGATTGTTCGCAGTACGGAGTCGTACGTATGATGTATGTTTTTCCCGTATCAAGGCGCTGGGCGGATACACGCCTGAGATTCCGACGCAGACATGAGTCCCCATGGCACTGGTACGCTACGAATGCAGGCCTTGCATGTACAGCGCCTAGGAAGCGAAGCCGGAAATTCGCCCTTTTGCCCACCCCTCCTTGTCTGCTCGTTAGTGCGACTGTTTAGCTGATAGTATAAGCATAAGTTGTGTTTATCAAAGCTCTCCCTTGTCACTCCGGAAAGTTTCTTGCTCCGTGGGAATGTGTTGACAGCGAGTAGGGCGAGTCGTAAGCAGTTGTTATACAGAGTAAGTATATGCAACTGCTCTCTGGATGCTCCTGATGGGCCGCGAGATCCGGGCCATCGCGCATGGATCTCGATTGTATGGAGCATCTGTGACATACCATGACAGCGCACACAGGAACACGCATCCACGCATCGAAGAGTCGAATTTCTCATTCATGTTCCATACACTCCCGTCGTGTTTACCCTCCCCCCCCCCCCTTCCTCTGCTTCGTCCGTTTGTCTGAATAGGACGGGTTCCCTTTAAACTGGAGAACCGTCTGAAACAAGGGGCGTAACGTCAACTGGCCGGACATTTTTAGATCACCCAGCTTTTAAAATTCCCCTATCGGCCAACACAACGCCTTTTGGACATCAACTGACATCATGCCCTGCATTACCCGACGGGTCTCCTCTGGCTCACCGTCGCGGGGAGGAGAACAAGCGAGAGGAGAAGGGGAAGACTCGCCACACAGCATCCACGCCCTTCATGATAGTTTCACAGCTGCCCTCCCGAACAGTCTTCATGCATGGAATCTTCTTTCTTTCGCCGTTTTCCCTTCCTTCATGATAGTAGCACTTTAGCTATGCATGAGTGGGTTTCTTTTATTTTATTTTCCCCCCGTATCGGCGCAAATATATAGTTGTAGTAATGATTTGTTCCGTGTGTGTGTGTTGTTGTGCTCAAACGAGGTCAAGATGACGATAGTTGTGCCCAGGAGATCGGCGGTATATCTCTTTCTCTCCCTCTCTCGGAGTCTCTCTCGCTCCTGGCCTGATATCCCAGAAGGGGCAGAGAAAGCAGACAACAAAAAGCAACGAGGAGCAAAAAAAAGAAACGAGAAGCAAAAGGACGATCGGCAGCCCGGGTAAGGATGTCATCGATGCTAAAAAAGAAGTCCAGAAAAGTTGTCACTTTTTTTTTTGCGTCGCCGACGGCGCCTATAGGTGCTTGTCATAGCCAATATTTTAATTGTCAGGCTTAATTACTCTCTCCCTCCCGCTCTTGCCTGGAGTTGCCGCCGACATCTCGCTTCGAGCTGGTGAGAGTTGGTTAGCTTATTAGGCGGTTTATGGTGAACTGTCGATGATGAAACTGGCATGTTAAGTCAGGCCACCTTTCTTCATCATCCACACCATCGGGATGAAGCAAACGAGGCGTCAGAGGCATTGCATCTCTTTCTCTGGCCGCAAAATGGAGAAATGGAACCCTTGCCCTGCCCCTTCTCTTGCTTTCGCCCTGAAGGTGACTTGGCAGGCCATTTTTCCTCTCTGGGATGTAGTCATGGGCGTTGTTAGTACCACTTGTATGTAACGAGATGCTGTGAGACTCGCTCTTGTTGCCCTTGTTGATATAGTTATCCTCCGAGTAAGTGCGGACTGGGTGCTGCGTAATCTGCGGTACTTTCTCAGTTGTCCACGATGTGCATGCAATTTATTATTGTTTTTTGGGCATCTGCGCGGAGCATCATCAGGTAGCCTTTTGCTGATAGTCTCGTAAGTGGTTTCTGCGAAGCTTATGGCCTGATCCTAGCTTTACTCTTTTTTTACCCGCCAGATTCAAAACCGAGCTCATGGCATGAACTGATGTGCAGGAGGGATAGAATGTATCTTTTTTGTCCCTTTCGTTTGTTTTTCCTTCGTCGTCTCGGCGCTTGATTCTTCATAAAGGCTGTTGATATACTACTGAGTACACCTTGAGCTTTTGCCTCCAATTATTCGCTGGCGTGCAACGACAGCACTGCTGTGGCCGTGACACTGCTTAGACTTGCCTGGGCCCTGATGACCCGTGGACCTGTTCGAAATGGGTTCGAGTCTTATATATTTATTGCTTTCTTGTCGATGTTGCACCTTCATGGGGGACCTGGGGTGTGGGGGTTTGGCTCTCGCTGTCCTTTTGACTGCCTGCTCTTTCCCACACACCCCTGGACAGTCTTCGGTGCTACCATGTAAAGAGGAAGAGGATAGGATGATAAGCGGGAGTGTAAGAAGGAACATAAAAGTGGGATGATGAACGTATGATTCCTGGGCGAGGAGAGGAGTTAAGTTAATTAGTTATCGTCCTGTGCAACCGGAAGCAGCCCTGGCAAGGACAAGAGAGATGCAGAGCAAAAAGAACCTCGACCTGGAGAGAGAGGACTGGTAGATGGACAGGGCAAGGTCCCCAGGCCGAGTTCTAGCCAGCTGGTGGAAAAGTGGAAGCTGGTCCCGGTCGAAATCTTCAGCATAGCTACTCGAAGTTTCTGCTGCCTTTCCAGCGTGGTTGTCAGTGACCGTTTGTTTTGCTGAGGGAATATATCCCATCCCATCTCAATCCCGTATATTTCTTTCTCAACGGAGCTGCCGGAAGCACCAGGGAGTGAGTTGTGATCGAGAGGACCAGCAGTGAAGAGCAGAGAGCGTGTAATATCTCATCTCTATATCTCCACTTGCCGCTGTCTATTATGCATGAAACAGACTCAGGTACGACCAAAGCGAAGAAAAAAAGCAACAGCTTCTCTCTGTCTTTACCTATCTGTCTCTTATTCTCTCTAGGGTCTCAGTCTTTCTGTTGTGCCCTTTTTTTCTTGTCTTCTCTGGATGCTCCCTCCTCCAGGGCTTGGTCATTGACCCTCGAAAAGGTAACTCTCGAGCTTACCTGTTCTCTCCTGTTTTCACGGTTCGTCCCAGTCGATCGTTGGCGTCACACTTGCGGGTGGCATCGAACAAGCACAAACCGTAAATCCCTTGCTGACGATCCGTTTAGAAGAAGCAAAAAATAGTCCAAGGCCCAAAAAGAGCCCAAGAGAAGGAGAGATTCTTCTTCGTCTTCTTTTTGCTTCCCGGGTGGCGACCGTAAATGTCGGCTTGCTGGGCTGGCTTCTTCTGGCCCCCCTTGCTTTTTCCAACCTTTTGCTGGGAACTGGGCTTTCTACCTTTTTTTGTTATTTTTTGCTTTTTCTCCTCTCTGCTGCTGCTTCTCTCCTTCTTTTCAAACTCTGGAAACTCTGGAAAAGAGACAGAGAGAGTTAAGGCTAGAAAGTGATTATTATATCGCTGGTTGGTAGGTCATAATATAGCTTATAGGCTTTATAATCGAAGGTTGAAAAGCAATAATAAATCTGGAACTCATTCCTTAGCAATTTCCTAGAAGGTGAAAAGAATCCCCTTACCTGATATATCGAACCACAAGTAGAGGCAAACAGCACAGCTAGCAGCGAAAGGGGGGAGAACTGCTGCCCTGTCTACCGGTCGAGTCGCCGGCGCATCCTCGCCCTGGGCCCTCCTCATCTCCAACTCGTCTGCCTTTTTTTTTTTTTTTGTAAATCTTCGTCCTGCAAAAAAAAAAGAAGACGTCCTATCCTTGCAGGCGGCAGAGGCAGGGCTCCGGGGTCATACAAGGGGGGAGGGGGGGCTCCTCCTGCGGTCTCTCATGCTCTGGTCTGCGTCTCCTCGCTGTCTCGCTGGCTGCCCTCGTACCAAGTCGATACAAGTGTAGTTTACCGCACTAGAAGAAAAAGCAACGAGGAAAGTAAATAGGAAAAAGAAAAGACGAGGAAGCAGACGAAGAAGCCTGGGTGGAGCATCTCTTTATAAGTATCTCTCCACTGTGTTTTGCGAGTCAGGGTACTTTTGGCCGACGGGGGTTGGTTGAGAGAGGTTCGACGATGGTCGTCCTTTTTTATACATAACTAGAGAACAGCCGCCGCCTTTCTTCGTCTTCCGCCAACAACACCTCAACACCACAACACCACAACTATCACAACTACACCTCATACCACATACAACGACCTCCAGCAGCCGGCATACAAGACGCTGGCCCTGGCCTCATATACTTGCAAGACGGACAGACTCATGCGCCGTGTTTACGCCCTCATTGACTAGATCTTCTGGGCTGACGCTGCCGCCCATTGAACGTTGAACACTGAACTCTGAACACTGAACAGACAGCCCCAATTCCACCGTCCGCCAGAGACACCTCGCCTCAGAGAGACCACTCAGATACCATCCGTAACCCTGGCCAGCACGGCCTTTCACGTCAGAAGCAAGGGGGAGGGGGAAGGGAAGGCCAGAGTGTGGAAAGATATCCGGTCCAGAGACACCAGCAGCCGGTCCACCAGCAGCAACAACAATATCAACACCAACACTAAGAAGCCAACCAGCTGTACCACCAAGGGGATGCCATCCTGCGGCAGAGGCTCGCGCTACTCGACCATCACCATCACCCCGTCAACCTGGAATCCAGGCTTCACGCCAGACTCGTCTGCCTACAGCTCGCCGGCGCCCTCGGTCCTCGACTCGGACGAGGAGAGGGTGATGGACGGTTGGCACTTCTCGCGGCCGTCTAGTCTGGCGCTTCCAGGTGGCCCGCTGCTCTCCCGGCCCACGCTGGACGATGTGCTCTCAAACACCGCAGCTCCTCCTTACACGCTCGCAGCCTTCATGGCCTACCTCTCGCAGAACCACTGCCTCGAGACGCTCGAGTTCACCATGGACTCCAAGCGCTATGCTGATACATACAATGCCGTCTCCCGCCAGCTAGGCGAATTCCCCATTCTCTCCGACTCCCCGCAAGCAGACCACCTTTGCATGCTCTGGCATAGGCTGCTATCCGCCTATGTCATGCCGGGATCTCCCAGGGAGATCAACCTTCCAAGCGCCGTCAGGGATGCCCTGCTGAGACACTCCAATCTCAGAAGACCTCCGCCACCCGAGACGCTCGACGCTGCCGTCAAGCGAATTCACGACCTCATGGACGAGTCTATCTTCATTCCCTTTCTCAACAGTCACGCCTCGCCCCAGTCACAGCCGAGCTATTCCCGAGATGGCTCTCCTGAGGACCGTGAAGTTGGCCGTCACAAGTCGATGCGCAAACGGCTATCACCGCAGTCCTCCTTTGTCACCTCTCCTCGCTCCGCTGCTGCTCCCGGCAGTGGTTATTTCTCATACCATTCTTCTTCAAACCCATCTACTAGCCCTCCCTCTTCTCACCACACTTCCATCTCCAGGACAACTACCACCAGCAGCCGCTCCTCTCCTTACGGCTATGCCAGTGGTGACTCGGTCTCAGGCACTCTGACAGACGACTCCGGCAGCAGCCTGCCTTCGAGCCCCGGTGCAGGAGATCCCATGACTCCGCCCACAACCCCGCCGTCGAGTGACATGCACCATCCCCACCATCATCATTCCAAGAGCCGACAAGACAATGCCTGGAAGAAGATGGGCATGAAGCTTGGTTGGAAGAAGAAGTCTGGTGGCAGCAGCGCCGGTGGTCGTGGCTATTCAACTACCTCAACCACCAGGGACACCCGATATCAAGATGACATGTATTAATCTTTGCTCTTTCCTTTCTTTTTTTTTCCTTCTACCACTTTTTAGCTTCTCACGCCCTCCTGCTCTTTCGCCCTCGCCCTACCATGTCCCTACCATGTCCCTTCCATGCATATGGTACATTCACGGCTCGACCGACCTATACCTACACATCATTTCCATTCCATCCCAGACACGACCGGAACGAAAGGCATATCAAGAAACCTTAACGACTTTTCCCCCATTCTTCGCCAAAAGCAAAATTCTTATCAAAATCCGGACCGCTGGCGTGGTTCTAGACCTCTCTTCTCTTCCTCTTCTTATACATACTTGACCACCACTTTTTCTTCTGTCTGACTATTTTATGATTTCCTTGCTTGCACTGTACGGAGTTTATACCCATGGCCATGGCATTGAACATTCAGCATTGTTTTTTTCTTTTTCTCCTCTCCCTACTTTCCTTCTGTTTACAGCGAATCCATGGATGGAGAGCGTGTATTATTTTCTTTCTTGACACGACTGAGCATTTGCTTCATTCGCATCCTCATCTACCAATGTACCTAACTAGCTTCACTTCCTCACTTCCCTCGCGACCTTGTCCGTTACAAGGTTCCGTTTGCCCTGCCCTGTCTCTTAGCCAGGGCAAGCCAATATGACTTGATGAAATGACTAGCATCATCCTTGCAGGCGTACCGTGTGCTTCTTTTCCCACCCCCCTTGCACATCCATACACATAAATGTAATGGAGACATACGTAAGAGGAAATGAATTACATCACTCTCCCACTTTTTGCCGCTGAAGCTGCACGTACGTAATAGACAGGGACCACCCTATGCATCCCAACTGCTTATTCTCCTTGCATCGCAGCAAGGTAGGCAAAGAAGACAACCCCAATGGCATCTCTGCAAGCGACATCAGATTAGGTAAGCGAAGCTGGCCTTGTCATGTGACAGGCAACAAGTCACGGCCTCGTCGGGGCCGATGGACACGCCACAGGCAGTATTTGATACAAGAAAGTTCGAGCGGCGAGCTACGCTCGCCGCCAGGCATCAGTCATCTAATCAGTGAATAATACCTGGTGGCGAATACTTAATTATATATAAAGATACTTAACTACCTCTAAGTAACGTTAAATAATTAAAGGCTTAAAATTTTATTTTATTAGGCCTAATAGTTATAAATATAAAATTAGTACCTTATAACTAGTAGTAGTAGAAGTATTTTATAGCTATCTAGTTACTATAATAGGGCGTTATATATTAATAATATAGGCCTTAGGGGTATTAATATATAACTATACTTCTATTAGTATAGTATTCCGTAGGTATAGGTACTTTATATTAGTATTAATTTAAGAAGTACTTTCCCTAAATACTTCTCTTCCTTTCCTTATATATAGGCTTCTCTTACTTTAAGAAAGCTCTTTATTAGATATCTAGTAATTAATATTAGATACCTAATAGTTAAACCCTTTTTTAGTACTCGATTTCTACTATAGATTTTACCTAGAGGTAGATAGTCCCGTTACTCTAAATATTTATCCCTAAGCTATACTATTTAGCCTATCTATCTAGACTTCTTTATAGTATAACTCTTACCTTTACCTTTTATATTATTATCTAGATAAGGTAGCTTATTAGTATATAAATTAGTTAAAGTAGTAGCTATAGTATTACTATTATTATCCCCTAAAGAATTATCTAAACTATCTAAGTTTAAACTAGAAAAGTCTTCTAATAAATCTAAATCTACTACTATATTTTTAGACTATATAGAGGAAATATCCTAATCTTTAAACTTTTTAATAGAAGGAGGAGTTACTTTAGAGGCCTATAATATTAAGCCTAAGCTTAATTTTAAAGAATTAGAGCGAGCTTTTTTACTAATAGAGACTTTAGTAGTTTCCTCTAGAATTTATTCTATTACTATATTATTATTAGGAGTAGAGGAGGGGGGGGTAGTAGTTAATAGTCTAGACTTAGTATCTTTAGTATATAGTCTCTTAATCGGCATTATAGGGGTATTAATATAGTAGAAGTATTTAAGTCCTTTACTATAAGATAGAGCTTTAGCTATATATTTATCTACTAGGGAGTAAGATAAATACTTACGCTAGCGTACTAGGCCTAGATTTAGGTACTATCTTAGAGGTAGTAGCTACTTAAGCTTCTAGTAGATAGCTTAGTTAAAATAAGTTAATAATAGAGGACTAGCAACCCCTATATTTATAGAGATTAACGATTTAACTATTAATAGAGATTAAATAGAATATTTAAGGTAGATAAATATTCTTCTAGTAGGGGTTACTAGATATAGTATAGTAAATATTAAACTTAACGAAGCTCTATATTCTAGGGGTTAAGCTAGATAGTAGATAATAATAAACTTTAAGTTAAATAATAAAAATTTAATATTTAGTAGACTCTAGTAGAATTATAACTACTATATTAATAAAAGCTATATATAGATTAGTTATCCTAATTAATATATTAATATATATCTTACTATTTAGGTCCCTAGGCTAAATATATAGAGACTTAACCTAGAGAGTTAGAACTAGTTAACTTTCCTAATACTCTATAAAGAGTTAATTATAGCTCTTAACGAAGTAGTTATTAATAAAGAAATTACTTATAATATTATAAAACTCTATAGTTATTAGTATCTCCTCTATATAAATAATATAATTACTAATTAGAAAATTATAAAATATATCTAGTAATATCTAGAAGACCTAATTCTAGCTATTAGGCTAAGGGGACTAATAAATTATAATAAAGGGGGTAGTAATAAAGTAGGTAGTCTAAATAATAATTAAGGTAGATATATTAACTAGAAGGTAGTTAAAGTAAGAAGACTTTTAAAAGTAAATAGGATAGTTAGATTATAGATTAACTAAAATATAATATTAAGCTAGTAAAGTTAATAAAGATAGAGAAGAAATATCTAACTTTAGAAGAGTAAAATAGATATATTTAAGTACCTTCTAATATATAACGTTTCGGATAAGTAGATCTAGATCTAGATTAATAAAAAATTAAGAGGCTAGAATTAGGGTATTCTTAGGGATATCCCTCTCTATATTCTAATCTAATCTATTAGTAGTAGCTATAGCTAATTCTTTTCTAGCCTCTAAATTTAATAGAACGGTGATTTATTTAGTATCTATTACTTAGGATAATATAATATATAGCTAGCTATATATAAATATAGGAGAGCGGAGATTAACTCTAATATACTCTAATAATTAGTTTTAAGCTTTATTAATAGTTATTATAAAGGCTAGCCTTATAGAGAATTAATACTAGTAGAGCTTAAATAGGAAATTTAGAGTATTACTCTTATATTAAATATAGTAAATAAGGTAGATATTCCTATTAAAATCTCTACTATTAATTTAAACTTCGAGATATTAATATAGAGCCTAGTATAAAATAAAATATATTCTATTATAGAGCCCTTTAGATAAGTTTAAATTCTATAAAAGTATTAGCGGAACGCTAATTTTAAAGTATAACTTAGATAGTAGTAGAGAACTAAAATTTAAAAATTATAGGAATTCTCGCGAGACTTCCTTATAGGCTATATTATTAATATTAGTAGTATTAATTATATATTAAGTAAGTACTTCTTTTAGAAACTTAGTAAGAAAATACTAATTAAGAAACTATATATTCTTATTTAAAGATATTATAATAATATAATTTTTAAAAAACTCTAAATTAGTAGAATTCTTAATAAAATTTAGATATACTTAGTCTATAAAGGTAGTTAAATTAGTAGTAGACTTAATAATTAGGTAGAGTTAGATTTAACTTTATAGGGATTTATTAATAGTAAGCCTTACTAGCTACTCTATAAAAGCTCGATTTTTAGAAGTAGTACTTTGAAGTCTTATATTTTTATATAGACTTAGAATATATAAATACTACTAGATATTAGTATTATATATTATAGTATTAATAATATCTTATTAAATATCTATTAGAATAATAGATAAAATTTACTAGAAGTTTCTACCTAAAATAGTTAGTAAACTACTAAAAGGTGAATTAATTTAACGGATATCGCGGAGTAATTAATTAATAGTATTAAATATCTAAGCTAAAGTTATTAGAGTCTTATTCTAAATAAATAAAGATATCTACTAGAGTAACTCTACTAGCTAAGAAGATCTAAAAATATTATATATTAAATAGTCTTCGATAGAGATTAGAATCTTAAAATATTTATATATAGTTCTACCTCTAGATAAAAGGGTAGAAGTAATACCTATAGATATAATATAGAGTATAATAAGGCCTTAGCTATATATATATATATAGATAGTTCAATATAGAAATATCTTTTTAGTACTATCGAGACTATTAAGGAAGAATAATATCTTCTCTAGTATCTATTTTAGAGCCTCTAAAATAGTTCTATAAGCTTATTATTAATTAGTATTAAGTTATACTTCTAGCTACTTAGCTAAAGCTTTCTATTTAGCTTAATTATAGGCTAATTTTATAGTAATAAGGGGGTTTATTAGTATACTATTTCCTTCCTAGTTATTTTTAAATATTAGTAGCCCAAACTCCTTAAGGGAATATTCTTTTTATTAGAGTAGGTAATAGATAAAGTAGAGGTCTAAATCTCTTAAGGCCTTCTCTATAGTCTAGTTAGAGAGATAATTAAAATTACCTTAGGAGATTTATAAAGGAAGATTATTATAGAATTAACTACTAAATTAAGATTAAATCCTAAAAGTAGTATCCTTATTTAAACTTCTAAATAATAGAGTTAAAATAAATATTATTCTAAAAGTAGTTCTAGTTTATAGCTAGTAGGCCTCTTTAAAGTAGAATATCTACTTATTATCTCTTACTAGAAGCCCTAGAGTATAGTAGGCTTCCTAAAATATGGGTTGAATAACCCTATTAATAGTTCTAAGATCTTAATAACTCTAGGGGCCTTATATAATAGTAAGGAGATATTAAATATAGTATATATTCTATATAGATAATAGAGAGTATATTTAGCTA